ATGAATGAGATTAATTAAATATAAATAAATGTTGTACACTCTGCTTAAAAATGTTAAAATCACTAACAGTAGAGTGATTTGGGTTTAGACTAGGACTATACTGATTTGACTGCTTCACAGAAAGTGGCACAAAATGGGTTTCTTGGCTTTGCAGTTATTCAAACATATCTTTAGATTTACAAAAGTAATCTCAATGAAACAAATGGTATTCTCAAGCTAAATCTATTGCAATGTACCTTGAGGATGGTGTTAACATCCGCAAAAAATGTTGGTTGTAAATTATCAAAAATGGAGGGATTTACATACACGACTTTTTTTTCTCAGGATGCCCTGTACAGTCGACCCTCGTTAATACAAACACTGTTAGGACAAATTCTGGTTATAACAAGCATAAAGCCTTGGTCCCGAATGTACATTTATGTACACAATGAATTGGACCAGCACTCCACTTAATACAAAATTCTGATAAAACAAACATCTTGGCTAGGTCCGGCTGAGTTTGTATTAACGAGAGTCGACTGTACAGGTATATTTAACTAATTCGCATTGCGGTATCTCACGTTACATTCTGTGCGCCCATCTTTGGTACAAGTTAAAACAAGAACATTTTAAATTAAAAAAAACTCTTTTTGGCATAGAATAGGAACTTTTCTCTCTGCCATAAAGATGCCTAAATGAGTACCATCATTTGTGCCAAAAAGTCATGTGTTGAGGCAAAAAATTAAAAACCTCAACAATATTCCATCTCACTGGCACAGCACTAAAATGAAAGATCTTGGTGTATATTTGAGGTTGTGTTGCATGTAAATTTCCCCACTGGTCAGCAGTGCCCACTTTTGGATGGAATTGCCGTAATCCGAGAATGACCAGCTAGTTTGTGAAAGTCATACATGTACATGTATTCAGATTGCCTTTTTTTCAGACACCATGAAAATCTCAGATAGAATACAAAGCTCATACAGGATGAGTAAAAAAAAGCAGAACCCAAACCCCCCCAAAAAATATTTCATCATTTAAAAAAATATGTGGCTCACCAAAATTAATAATGACTGGAAAGCCAATTTCATAAGCAACTTTTAGATGAAATTACTGAAATTACTCAATCCGTTCAAAGAATATCACCATTTAAACACAATAACCTTAAAAACCTGCTCGTCCAAAAAAAGCAATTTATTGATTTATAAAATCTCCTTTTTTTAAAGGACGGGCCCTCAAAGAGATTCTGTTGAATGTTTTTAACATTTAAACTGAGATTTTATCGCTGGTGATGTTTCAAGACTATTGCGACGACGATTCTTGAAATTGACGAGACCGGTTTTAGGGTCATTGTGTTTAAATGGTGTTCTTTTCTGAATGGATTGACCAATATTAGTAATTTTTTTTTCATCTAAAAGTGTCTTGTGAAATATGCTTTCCAGTCATTTAATTTTTGGTGCTACATGTACATATTTTTTTAAATATGAAATGTAATTTTGGGGTTTGGGTTCCGCTTTTTTTTACTCACCCTGTAGAAGGTGTCTTAACTGCATAGATCAGCTTTTGGTGTTGTGCTGTACCTTGTCCCCATAAACGTTTCTTCCGTTGAATATTTCAATACAATAGCTGCTGGAATCTCTGGCTCTTACACATCGGTCCTTCTGTTTTGAAAATCACAGGTGTGTGGAAAAAGGCACACCTGGATTTTCTAGGCGTGTGGTTTTTTCTAGGTGTGTGATTTTCTAGGTGTGTGATTTTGTGGTCCAGGGAAATCCAGGCGTGCAATTATTCACACTTCTCGGGAAGCTTTTAGGCATGCGATGGCGTAGGGGTGCGATCGCACGCCTCAAATCAGAAGGACTGACCAATGCGTGTACAGCCACTAAATGGACCACTTTGGGTAATGGGATCAAAGCACGATATATTTTAATTCTCCTCAGTCAAAATGAAAGTACGTGTAGTTGTATGATTCAGTGCACAAACTTTGATCGAAATTACAGATATTGGAGCCAGCTAGTGATTTTGTTTTATTAAAGTGTCCATTTTTTTTGTCACGTTGTAAAAACTTTTAAATGTGTTTTGTAAAATTTTGCACTTTCACAAGTTGCATGGAGCACTTTCATCATTCTTGCTTTATGTGCCAAATCAACTTACAACATGCCATCCAAGATTTTATATTGCCATTGAACTGTTATAAATTTTGCAAAACACAAATTTTCAGAAGTTGATTAGGCCAAAAAAAAAAAAATATTCGGTCTCTGGTCAGACCAAAGTTCCGGAATTGACGCGGCCACGCGGGGTTTTTTTTTTTTTTTTTGCTTTTTTTTTTTCTTCTTCTAGCTTGGATTGTACAGACAAGGCGGGGTACTATTTTGCTTTTTTGGTGTCCTCATGTACATTGGTGTCCTCCATAATTTGCCTTGGTGCTTTCGATCATTTGCCTTGGTGCAATTTCCCATTCCTTGGTGCTCTTTGGTAAAAAAAAATTGAGGAGGTGCGGAAATAGAGGGCGCTGTTGGAGCTACCGCGGAACATTTTGGAGAAAAAAAAGATCAACGCGCGCACTGACCAGAGACCGACTTATTTTTTTTTTTTGGCCTTACCTTTGGTTTCTTTCAAATCATGATGTAACCAATGGCTAGTTGGTCTGGATCCAAACTACTTACACACACACACCTATGGAAGCGGCCGCAGCCACTTTCCATTGACCCGTGTGTCTTTTTCAGCCATAGCCATGTAATTCGGACTCAGCCTTAGTTTTGTGATATCATTGCCAGCTTGAGTTAGTGAACTGCAGTACAAACAAGAAGGAGTCTTAGATGCTAGACCTGCACTTGAGGCATCACCGCAGCTCCGGAGCGCGGTAACAGTTTTCGCGTCATTCGCTTGGCCGTCTGCCTGAAGGACGGAAAAGAGACACAGTAGATGAAGACGTTGACGAGGCTGTTGCAAGTTGCGATTTGCCAAGTTGCGTATTCTGCCAAGTCCGAAATCACGGCGTTCTGTGCAAACTGGACAATTCTGGTTATTAGAGAGGGCGTCCAACATACGGCAAACAACACCGTTACCATCAGAAAGGCTCGCAGGGCTTTATTGTTGCGGATGTTGTTGTTGTTGTTGTTGACGCCATTACGATTTGCCCGCAGTTCATGCTCGCGGCTTATTTTGATCAACCGCCAGTAAATCAGGACCATCACCGCAATGGGAATCAGATCTAATAGGAGCAGATAGAGCACATTATACAGAGTGTGTTTATTATTAATGAAACAAATCCCCACACTCTGAATGTAATATGCAGGATTCTCTTCGTCAGCCACTAACCACAGAGTCAGAGGGATGACGATGCATGTCACAAATGCAACAAGCACGGACAGGACTGCCCTACGCTTGGAGCACCAAACGGGAAACCGGTAAGGCCTGGTGGTCGCAATGTACCGCTCCACATTCAGAAACATAATCAGCTCCACCGACAACAAGGCACACGACGTGCCCAGAATGGCGTAGACATCGCAGAAAACATCCCCATATGGCCAGCTGTCCAGCCCCAAAGCCACCGCAGACAGCAACGACAATATCCCGATGGCGAAGTCGACAACAGCCAGCGAGGTCATCAGGACTTTGGTGCTGTCGGACAGATCGGGAACGTGGGGTGTCACAGCGATAGATACAGCATTCCCAACAAGAACCGTCAGCGAAATGAGGACTGTGATGGACGTCTGCGGTGCCGTCGACCAAGAAGTGCCCAGAGGGCTGGTGGCATTTCCCCAGGTCATGTTCAGAGTAGCACTGTCCAGTCCCGTTACAAACATCCGGTTGAGATTTTTCAAGTGTCTATTTTCTCAACAAGAAGGCTCCAAGTTCTTTCACTTGTTGTTTGTTCCACACCTGATTTCAATGTGTTTTACCCGTTCCAATTTTGCAAGATTCAGGCACTCAAGTTTTTTCTTAGATGGCAGATGGAAAATACGGTTGCAAACTTACTGCAAACAGACATTGAAATCTCTTTCGTGAGTTTGTGAAAAGTCCCGACGAAAACTCAATGTTTTGGACGGAATATGCTCTGCCCATCATCCGGAGACTGAGAGATTTCAACAGGTAGTGATTATGTACATGTTGGAGTCCTGGATGCGGTTGGATCTCGTAAGGCTCTTTGAAGCTGCAACTGTCTAGGACTGAAGAATGGATAATGCCGAACATGTTTGCTGAGCAGTTGGAAAAATTAAAGTTTAACCACACCTTAAGGAGGTCCCAAACAGAAAGTCTGGTTCCTTTCCAGACACTTCACTTTGGATGTCCAGCTTAATTGATGGGTGTTAATAGTTCTGTAGTGTTTGCTCATCGGATCATCAGACAGGAGAACCCATTTAACAGACGGGCCTTATCCGAAACCTTTTGATTGCACTGACAAGAGTGTCTCCCCTTTCATGAATACACATGATTAATTCCTTAATTGAAGTGATCCATTTAAAGAAGAGTCTGTGGACACAGCTAATGGACGAACCTCACTTTTGCGAATTTCTCAGAAAACAACTCTGGCTAAGTTCACTGAGCTACAGGCTCGTGATGCAAGGCATTAACCAATATTTATAAAGCACAATCTTGAATGTATCATTTATGGAATTGATTTATCGTAATCCGTTTCATAAAATTGAATTGTTGATTTCTGATTGATTTTCATGACTTAATGACATTGACAAAATGGGGAACCACCAACATATGACTGGTTAGCTCAGTTGGTAGGGCACTGGAACGGCAATCTGGAGGTGGCAGGTTCAAACCCCGCTCCAGTCAATATCTTTGGTAAACTTTCAAAAGATTTGCAGCAATACTGAGCAATACTGCAGCAATACTTAATGACTTCTGACTAGCCCCCTTGAACACAGACATTGACAAAATGGGGAACTGCCAACATAGAGCTGGATAGCTCAGTTGGTAGAGCACTGGAACGGCAAACTGGAGGTCACGGGTTCAAACCCCGCTCCAGTCAATTTCTTTGGTGAACTTTCAAATGATTTGTATTTCAGGTGTACTTATTTTGTGGAGTATCGTTTCCCGGTTACTGCCTCTCCGCGGGAGCAGAGCCTGGTCAACAACATGGCAACTGAGGTCATGAGGCTGGCCTCTAAGAAAGTAGACAGCAATGGAGGTATGAAATCATACAGATCTATATTAATTAATATTTCAATCTGTTTAGCCCTTCAAAACTCATTTGGTTCACATATTTGCGGGGAGTCAGGTTGGCATAGCGGTACTTTCCTCGCCTTCCACCGCTGTGACTCGGATTCGAATCCTGCCTGGACCAATATGTGGATTGGGTTTTCAGTCCCTACCTGATTCCGTGGGTTTCCCAGAATATTCTTCTGGGGTTTTCCTCCCACCTCTGAAACTGTACTTTCTTCTCATTGTCTTCTCTCTACAGGTTTCTTCAGGCTTGCGAGCTACAGTGCCTAGGGCGCTTTTGAGGAATCCTTGGTTTCATTACCAGAAATATAATAGTTTTGTTACCTGAAATAAAATAGTAGTAATAGTAATATTTCCAATTTTCATTTTATGTTTTTTTTTACTGTTTGATGTGACACTTTGCCCCTTTTTTAAATTTCAATCTCATACCTTACTCTTTTTTATTCTCAAGAAATTACATTTGGTCATCGGTCTGTGTTCCCTGTTCGGTTTGACGGGACGGCCGTAGACAGCTGGTGGAAGCAACTTCTGGTCTTCAAGATCTTCTCACGCACAGCCGGCCAAAAATCGGTGAGTTGTCAATAGTTATCTCTGTTCATTTAGAAACAGTAATACAATGAATAAATGCTGTAGATAAGTTCAAGCATGAGATCTCCCTAAATTCAAAGGGCTGGATACGATAAAAAATAATAATAATAATAATAATAATGTGGTACTTATATAGCGCTTTATACCAAAGGTCTCAAAGCGCTTCACAATTATTACCTCTGTTCATCAGGCCATGAGACCAGTTTTTGCAGCAGCTCGAGATTCAGCGCATTCTGGTCTCTACCTTCACAGCAATCCATTTATACTCCTGGGTGGAGAGAGGCAATTGTAGTAAAGTGTCTTGCCCAAGAACACAAGCACCATGGTCCCTGTCAGGTTTCGAACCCACGTGCCGTGGCAAGCGAGTCGAACACAGTAACCATTGCACCACAGCTCTCCATAATATTAGACACATAGTACAAACTTTTGCACAAAATAACCGCCCCATAATGGTTGTCTGAACACCTGCTGGTTCATCAGTCAATAACTTGCAGAATTGAACTTTTTATTGTTAAAGTAAGATAACCGCACTTATGCAATGTCTCGGTCATAAACTCTCATACAGTACTGAGTGTACAGTGCAGAACAAAGTTGCAAAAAAAAAAAACACTTCGGAATTATTACCCCTGTTCATCAGGTATGACACCAGTTGTCTGTAGTAGCTTGAGATCAGCTCAATCCTGACATCAGCTCAATCTCTATCCTCACAGATCCCATGTATACTCCTGGTCAGAGAGAGGCAATTGAAGTGAAGTGTCTTGCCCAAGAACACAAGTTGCTATATTATTAACCACTTCGCGCTGGGTGTATTTTTGCCAAAAATTTTGATATTTTCAAAAGGTAACATTTTTCAGCCAACTTCTGATACACAGCCAAATGCCACAAACACTGATTCGCAAGAGCAATTTCAACAGTATTTGTACCATATTTTTTGCCGAAATCTCATATGTTTCAATACTCCGGGGTGTGCACTGGAGCGTAAATTGTACAACAATAGGCCGTGCACAATGGCCCACACAACGGTCAGCACACGGTCCGCCCCTACAGACAACACTGACTTTAGGATTAACATGTTTAGATGTCACCCGGAGGCAAGTCGAGGCAATCTTGACGTCTTAATCTGTCAGCCGTGCCTGGGTGCAAAAACAACCAGTGCGTGTTATCACAGCCTCCGGCGCAAACTGGTTAGCAAGGAGTTTACATTGATAACCATTACCCCGTCATTCTTATCCCCAGCCCGTTTTCCTCGGCGTAGCCAGCCTGCCATTGCGATCAGTCCTACAGTCGCCAGACCTTTCCTTGCTCAATATAGAGGTAGATGCAAGGGACAAGACTCAGTCCGATTCCCCAACCATTACAGGCGCTGATGAGTCCAGCGCCAGTGGAAGTGCGAAGGATGCAGTCGTTGGCACACTGAAGGTAGGCCCAGTTTTCAAGACACAAGAATGATTGTCTTTTAACAAAACTGATTTTTTTTTTCCCTGTAAATTTTTTTTTTCCCTGTAAATTTTTTTTTTCCTGTTTTGGTAATATTGACATGCAATTTGTTTTTTCTTTGCAATAAGCACATTGTTTTATAACAGTGTTATAAATCTGGACAAGTTTTTGCAGAATGTCAATCTTGAAATGTAGGATGGTGTTGCACAGTATTAACGCTTTTCATTACCATGCATAGGGCAAATTGCTCACTCATTTAACCAGTGAATGAGTATTAAAATGATGAGAATTCCAAAACCCTCCATCCAATTAGACTGAAACTTTTGCTGAAGCATACATTTTTATATGTGTGGCAAATCTCACAAAAAACCATCTGTTCATTGGACAGCCGAAAAATGGTAAAAACTAATATGATGAAGAAGTTATTTTTCTATTTTAATATTGGGTATTTCTAACATTTGAAGATTGACAAATTGGATAGATTTTAACCCTCCCTTTCTGGCTGGCAATTTCAACCAGGCCAGCCCAGCAGTCAAACTAAATCAAGTGACTGTTTGTAACAGTTGAGTGCTCCCTGCCTTCATAAAGCAGGATAGACTGGCTGTGATTGTTATGAAACCTGATATAGCCATGCTTTTGACTGTAGCTGATTGATAAGCCAGCTTTGCCTACCAGTTTACCTGCTTTTGTCTGTTGATGGAATTTGACTAGTCACAGTGCCTATAGAAATTTGATCTGACTGTTGGTGACTAGTCTCTGTGAAAGACATGGCAGGGGAAAGGATTGAATGCTTGACTGTCTGATTGATTAAACTTGACTGATTAAACAAAAGAATGAAATGAAATCGTGATTTGTTATTTTGTAGTCACGAACATAACAATCAAGTAACACCTACCCAAACTTTCCCTTTAGATGTCCATCGAACTGGCGTCAGACAGCAAGGATTTCCCCACGGCGTTAGCCAGGATGAAACTGGCCGAGCTGAGAGGAGCCAAGATCTGCCCGCTACCGTCCAACCAGCCACACCTGCCCATCAAGATCCCCACGGGATCCGTGGAGAGTGACAGCAAGAGCTCGTCGCGGAGTGTGCAGACGGATAGTTTAGCAGCCCAGGTAAAAAAGGGAACTTGAAAAAAAATGTCCTGGATCATATCGTTTGGTAACATTATTCAGTCACAAAACGTATCGACCGTGTTTCACAAAGTGACAAAAACCTCTATATCCTGTATAAAGATCATCTCAAGATGATCGCATGTGAAGTTAATCCTTTTTTCAAAACACATTTTCGACCAATTTGTTGCAGATTTAGGAAATGTTTGCATTGTCAGATAACGTATGCTTTGTTCTTAGCTAATTCAAAGGTGTTTGTTAAAATCTCTTTTAATTAAACAGTATTTGTTAATAATGCCTCTAATTTTCCTATTACTTTGTACACAGTCTTTGTCACTTTGTGACTACATGAAAAAGCTTCTTTCAACTGCCAATGATCTAACGTCCAGCTAAAATACCCATGAAATTTTCTGCTGAGATTTTTCCTTTTGTCTCAGTTTTTAGTTTACATAAGCATCAGACACATGATTAATTTTAACTCCGGTGGTTGCTCGGTTTTTAAGGTTGCAGAGAGCACCTCAGGTGATAAGGACGAGCCCCCTACCTCTGGCAGAGAGCCCACGGAGGGGGTAAAGACAAGTAACGGACACAGCCAACCTCAGCCCAGCCGGAAGCAGGCACAGAGGGGAGAAGAGAGACTACAGGAACAGCCAAGCAGACAGATGACAGATGAAAAGATTTACGTAAACTCACAAGATGATGCTGCACCAAAGACAAAGACCCAATATGAGGTTCGAGAGCCAAAGCTTGTAGTTTCTGCAGAGTTAAACCATTGCTATGATGTCACACTATTGATAAAAAGTGTGGATTCGGAACTACAAATCTGTTACACTGGTCACAAAGTGTGGATTCGGAACGACAAATCTTTAGTAAAGTGTGGATTCGGAATTACGAATCCACACTTTGAACATGTCGGACAATAATGTTCTCTCTATAATGAGCATTAATAGGACCGTCTGCATGAAAACTTTCCTTCCGAAATTACCCATGCATCTTCACTGTCAGATTCTCCACCGTCACTGGAAAAAAAATTCTTTGAGTCAGAAAGAAATCGTCGTCTGAACTATCCATGTTGACGGAAGGAGCCTACACACAAAATGACTTGGTTGTACAGGTGTGGCGATACACATTGCTTGATAAGAGCCTCGAAAAACTCCCTTGTAAATTACCCTATAAATGGCCACAACTCGACACGATATGCAAGTCTTTTCATCTCCACTCACTGGACTGTTAATGACAATACTTCTTTTGACGCAATGGTTTAAGTCGAAGAATACACTCGCAAGTGTGGATTCTTAATACAAATCCACACTTTCTCCTGTATTCTCCTTAACTGAGATCCCCAATTTTATCTCAAAGAAGAGAAGAGAAGTTTCATCACAAAAGATGCGTTCCAATCTGAAAGCTATAATTCCACCAATTTAAAATTGGATTTGAATAACACCACATGGTAGCGGTATCACATCTAACTACTGCTTGCCTGTTTGATTTGTTTCAGGCCAGGACCTTGCACTCTTTACTCTCAATCCCTGAGGGAAGAGCGGTTACGTTCCACGGTGTCGCCCCGTTGATATCGGGTAGCAATATTCCCCATGTGCCACCTCAACCACACGCAGGTCTGGGAGTTGGGATATCAGGTAACAGTCAGTTTTGTTTGTATGCACTCCATATAGGAACAGTAGATGGGCTTATGTAAGCAATCATGCGATCTCAACACTGTGTACATACATTGGTTCGCTGGACGCATGCTCACAACACATGTTAATCTGATCTTTATCCCTAACTGCCCTGAATCCTTCAAAATCCTCTTTGCCAAAGTGGATGAGTTTGGAGGCTTGAGGTTACATGGCAAAAGTGCCTTACTGATTTCGTAGGATGCACTTTGTCAAGGTCTTGGGCCAGACCTTGTGTTGTTTTGCTCAGCCATGCATAAATATGAGCCTGGATTATGCTTGAAATTCTCCGTACTGCTCCAGGATGTCACTGGCCAAGCCTCAACATGTTGACAGTCACTGCCGCAGGATTTCGCAGGATTCAGGCAGTGGTCACCCCTCCACGGACCATATTCAAGAAATAATGGAGGAATTTGCAGGATTGAGGCTATATGCCATTTTTCCATGAGGCCGATTGGAGGATGTGGTAGGATTGAGGCTACATCCTAGCAAAAAGGCCTAGGGAGTTAGGGTTAGTAAGTACAAACAAGTAGATCTTCGAGAAGTGCCTGTCACACTGCAGCAATGTTGCTCAGGTACAAGGTACATCACCACCAAAGCATATTTTCAATTATGTTTAAATAATTATACTTTACCTTGGTGAATCAATTTATTTAACTTCAGGGCTTGGTGGCAGGGACCAGACGACAAGGAATACCTACCTTGTGTGCCGTTTGTTCTGGAGTGACGACTCCGTGAGATCCAACGTGTGCTGGGGCACCACGGAACCAGACTATAACTTCATGCAGGTAAAGAAAGAAAAACCAAAAACTTTGCATGTCAAAGTTATCTTGAGTCATTTTTCAAATTTCGGCTTTGGCCTAACTTTGGGCTCCAGAATAATTTTTGAAACCTTTGCTGTTAGGACACAAATGAAAATCCCCCAATGTTTGGCTGCACAACTTGGGCACATAAAGCTGAAACTTGATGCCAATGCTGGAGTTAGAACCCTAGATTTTGAAAATGCCGTGGATTGATAGCTTGAGGGTCTCGAGCACAAGCGCAAAATCTGAAACTGAGTTCAAAATTGCACTTAAGACATACCTATTTAACATTTAATTATTTTGTGTTGTAAAGCGCATTGAGACATTGTGTAATGCGCTATATAAGAACCATTTTATTATTATTATTATTATTATTATTAGATCTTATGGCTGAAGCCAAAAACCAGAAAGGTAGCCAAGTTTTGGAAAACCTCTTTGGTCAGTCACTGGATTGACAGGTTTGCAAGTATTTTACTTAACAAACTTTGGCCTTTCTATAAGAAGAATCTATTGTCGCCGCTCCACTAAGAAACTTCATTTGTACCTGTTCTTGGTTGAGCAGGTGTCTCCGGTGCTGCTCACCCCGTCGTTGCTGGAACGTGCCAGGAATAACTGCATGGTGATTGAGGTGTGGGACAAGAAAACGTCAGCTCAAAATGACCAAGTAAGTTTGTGCAACTTTAAATAAAAAATAACTGACTTGTAATGAAATTTTTCTTAGTGGCAATTTAATATTTCGGTTTTTCCTTTCAGTGCTATATTTTACGTTCAATTCAGTTTTATTTCATAACTTCTATAATGAACACAAACAAAAAATATGTAACTTAATAGTAGATAAACAAAATATGAAAGGAAATAATAAAGATATATGGAAAGCAAAAAGTTATGAGGAAGATGTTGGAAGCCAGGGACTTATGAAACACTTCCTTTCATCCCTATGCGCCCCCCCCCCCCAGCCCAACCTTCAAGACCAAAACAAATCTGAGAATTCCCGTTACACCCAACTACCCCTTCCCAACCTAAGATGTTCCATCAACTTACTAAAACAAGAATGCATTTATAAAACAATGTACACTGTAAATACTGTGAGAGTGGCAAAGTAGTAATAAACAAAATGAACAAAATCAGTTTCCTTGCAAATATTTACTACACAATTTTGTATAAATCAAATTAGGTTTTGCCCTTCACCGACGTTTAAACACTGTATTCTCAGTGTGTTACCTCCCGAGTGAAAGTTGGAAAAATCACCCGGGTGGGACTCGAACCCACGACTCGTGGTCCCACCCGGGTGATTTTTCCAACTTTCACTCGGGAGGTAACACACCTGAGTATACAGTGTTTTAAATATCGGTGAAGGACAAAACCTAATTTGATTTATATCACCCAGACGTAAAATTGCATCTTATAATAATTTTGTATAAGCACTGTATGCCTGATGCTTTCTAAGATCTTTTGAGAAAAAAATCCATTGGCTTGCTCGGGTGGGACTCGAACCCAGGACCTCTTACTCAGCTGTCCAGCTATCTTACCACTCAACCACCCTGCTTACTAGGGTTGGCTGGTCGATTTAAATCTGAGTTGCTGTCGATTACTGCAGGCAGCAACCGCGGATGGAGTTGAACAGGGAATAAATGGTCATTTTTGAAACCTTTGCTGTCAGGACACAAATGAAAATCCCCCAATGTTTGGCCGCACAACTTGGACACAAAATCATAAAGCTGAAACTGGAGTTGAACAGGGAATAAATGGTCATTAAGTATAAGGAACCTTTATGTGGCTGACTTTTTGTTCATTTTTATTATTACTGCAAATGATTTGTTTATCTGTAGCTTGTTGGCATTGCCAAACTGCCACTGCACCAGTTCTACATGTCCTTCCGAGATGAAAGGATTGCCAGTACCCTACTCAAGTCACAGGCGAGTAAAAAAAAAAACCATTCATTTGATTATCTTCCCTAATCATACAGGGTGAGTCAAAAAAACCAAAACCAAAATGTCGGGACCATTGTTTTAGTGAAGTTCTGCATGTAGCACTTTCAAAATCTAGGATATGAAAGCCCAATTCATAAGCTTTCTTTTAGTACAAGATTCATTCAAATCACTCATGTACTTTTCAAGTTACAGAATTTTAAACAAAACCACCGTTTTAAGGTACTGTCCACGGATCACAAGAAGGTAAGTGTTCTTTCAGCAAAACGAAAACAAATCACGTAGGGATGTGTGTGAATTGTTTTCGTTTTGCTGAAATAACGCACACCCTTTTTGTGATCCGTGGACAGAACTTTAAAACGGTGGTTGTGTTTAAAATCCCGTAACTTGAAAAGTAAATGAGTGATTTGAATGATTCTTGTTCTAAAAGAAAGCTTATGAATCGGGCTTTTATATCCTAGATTTTGAAAGTGCTACATGCAGAACTTCACTAAAACAATGGTCCTGACATTTTTCAAGTGACACTCGCAAAGTGTTTAAGACCAGCCAGCCATGTCTTTATCATCCGTTTAAGACCTGCCACGTAACGGGCTCTCGACCAATAGGAATGGGTGAACTGTATTAGGTTTTTATGAATGACATTTTTCATAGGGGCCATTTAAGATTAGGTTTTTCCTTTCAGTGCAATATTTTGTATAAGTACTGTATACTTGGTGCTTTCTAAGAGCTTTTGAGAAAAAAGCCATTGGCTTGCTCGGGTGGGACTCGAACCCATGACCTGTCGCTCAGATGTCCAGCTATCTTACCACTCAACCGACATTTGGGTTTCACTCTTTTAACTCACCCTGTACATTGTACCAATCTCCAGCCAAACAAGAAATCTGAGTTTTGCAATAAGCACCAGTTTATCAGATTTTGTTTTTGGAAAAGGGTGCCCGAGTAAAGTGCAACACATATCTTCAGTGCATATTTTTGGTCTTCCCGTATGAGTAGTCGAAAACACAGTTTGATATGCGAAGTTGTTTCCTCTTTGTTCAGTACCCAGTTGTAGCGGTCGACAATTACGTGAACATCGTAGACCCTTTCACTGGGGTCCAGTATGGCCAGCTGAAAGTGCTGCTAGCTTTAGGGTCTTCCGAACAGGTAATTACATGTATGTTCCAAAGCTCTATAAGACAGGGACATTATAAATGACAAAATGAAAAATAAAAGTGACGGCCTCAAGATAACTATTTCTCTAGGTTTGCAGAAATGTTGATGTGCATTATGATAGAAGCACATTTTCATTTTGACTGGGGGTTCACAATCTTGCAGGGCAATTAAAATCCTCAGTTTGTTTCGGTTTACTTGTATCTCTACTTCATGTTCTTGGCATTTCATTTTTCGTACCACGCCAGATTAATATGGTGATGTCTCTCCCAAAAGAATCAGGCCCTACTATTATTACGCAGTTGTCGACTTCTGTTTTGATTTTAGATCTCTGCTCTTCAGAGACTGAAGTGCGACAAGGATGCACTAGATACCAGACCCTCCAGGCCTGGTCACTATCTAGAAAGGTAAATTTGTCCAGAATTGCATCCTACGATTGTTAAGCAATGATGGGGTGCTGTGGTCCAATGGTTACAGTGTTCGACTCGTGTGCCGTGGTACATGGGTTTGAATCCTGATTGGGAACACGGTGCTTGTGCTCTTGAGCAAGGCACTTTACCAATATTCCTTCGTTCTTTGGATGGGGCGTAAAGCTGTAGGTCCCGTGTAATGTGTAATGCATGTTAAAGAACCCAGTAACACATATTGCTAAGAGAAGGGGTTTGCCCCGGTGTTTCTGGCAGTGGCTACAATATGCGCTGCAGCACCTTGTAAACCCTTTATAAAGGTGCTACATAATGGGTCTCATTTTTCTCGTAAACTTCATTTACATGTCTTTATAATTAGACATAATTATCAGCGCCTTGAGTACCTAATTGTTGGTAGATATGTGCGCTATATAAGACTCTGGTATTATTATTACATTGTATATACATATGCCGATGAGACAACAGGGTAGTGAGTGGGCAACTGTTTTGCTGCCATGTAGCAAACTACAAGATATAACTTCAATGGTGATATAATCCCCTCCAAAAATCATTAAAACTGCAAGATATAGCTGTCTCCAAACAAAAGTCTTAAAGTTCCTTACAAAATGTTTTTTTGTAGGGGCGAAGCTGTTACCAGGAACATGGCAGAGCAAGACTCAACACAAGACGAGCTTGGTATGTACATGTAGAACTTCATAAGAACACAATGTTCCAATGTCAAAATGTGAACTTGTCCACCTTTATTCTTTATATAATTTTTTCATCAAAGTTTGTCTGTTTATCACTAAAAGGTGAAATAAAAACATTAGCATTTTTAGTGCAGAAGTTTTTGGGATGCAGTCTCACAAATTACACTTGGATTTTTCCTCATTTTTGGGCCTTCCAAGATGCAAGTCAATTTGTAGCAATACACATTTTCTCATCCTTTGGCATCAGTCGAGCACATCTTTGAGGTCGTGGTAGAGGGCGTGCGTGGCTTGCCGCAGCTTGAAGACACGGTCTGGGGAGAAGCCGACTGCTTCGTTCAGTATCACTTCCCTTCCCAGTCACCGCCTAGAGGAGCTCCTGATAGTGCTAATACCATGTCAGGTAATTAGACTCTTACAATCCAGATTCTTTCATCTCAACCCCTCAACACCAGCACTGCATTGTATTACATTGTATTTATTCCCTGGTGAATCCATAAAAAACATGGAAAGTTTAGGTGGTTGTGAGCGGTTCAGGGAGTAATAGGCATATTTTGATAAACTCAGGATGGTAGAGAACTGTCAATTGACATTGGCCTTGGTGCTCCAAATTTGTTGAAGCACAAAGAATGTGTTATTGGTGAACTGGACAGAGTTGCATTTTTGGAGTTAGGGCTAATAATAGTCTATCAATTTCACTCCGTACTTTCTCTTTAATCCTAGCTCCTAGGTTATATTGTTAGGAACCTTCCCGAGTCCTCCAAAAATCCACCACTGTCCAGAAACCAAAGGCACTTTCTTTTTTCATTAATTTTCAAGGACTTTTAGCCACTTTTGATACCTTTCTAAATCGTGCAAAATCAATTGAAACCTTTTAGTGGATTCTAAACGATCTTGGAGGGTTTGGGTTTAGATACTGTTCTGTACCTTTTATTGAGCATGAAACCGGGCTTCAGATCTTACATACTGTAAGTGCTCATCAGCTTGGGCGGAATAGCTCGGATGCAGCATCTGAAGGCACAAAACTCTACCCAAGATACCCTAGGTATGAGACTGATAGGATCAAAAGCACTATCATTATGAAAGCAGGTAGGTTATGTTGGTTTATATCTTTACCGTGTGAGCAACTTGACTAAGAGTACTTCTGGTAACATTGTTGTACTTTTCCATTTGCAGTTGGCCCCATCCTGGCCCCCCACCAGACCCCCACCACCCTCTGCATGCCGGACCCTACCTTCCACGATGTATCCAGGCACAGGCTGCAGCTACCGAGGGGCACGCCGGTGCAGAGAGAACTCCTCACTGGTAGGCACAAACACAGATTGATGGCAAAAGCAAAATATTGCAATTCCCATAGGAGGTCTCTTGTTATCTCATGACGTACCTCAGCCAAATTTTGTGGAACTGCCAAGCACAAGTCATTTTAAAGACATAGTCCATCATTTGTAATTTGTTCATTTTGTTCGTTTGAAGCAACAAAAGTGTTCGAAATCTAATGAAGGATACTGAACAACTAGCCTGATGAAGTTTCAGCTCAGCTTCAGCTGTATTTTCCGAGAAAAACAGCATTCTAGGATCTCAATTTCAAATCAAAAGTTGCTAAATCATGTTTTGAATTGTTTTGAATTGCAGCTTTACACGATGTCGCGCACTGATCCGACGAATTATAGCAACCGCGCGCGCCTGTGCGTCGTGTCAATGCTTGCGCGCTGCGCCGAATAACAAAACGAACTTCTAATTTGAATTTTCCTACGGTGCTTCTTAAGACGCACCGTTGGAAATGCCTTTTTTCGTTGATTTCTTCAAAATGACAGCTTGCCAGGAAGAATAATTTCACAGGGAGTTTAGTCCCCTTACTATCTTTTAACCAGTATGTTTTTCAACAATAATTACGCCAGTTACTTTTTTGGATAGCTGCAAATGATAGACTCCGGCTTTAAGCACATTTTTTTCTGCTGAAGCAAAAACCCTTTAGTTAAAGGTAGAGCAGATCATTTGCAGCTATCCAAAAAGTTACTGAAAAAATTATTGTTAAAAGGCTTACCTGGTTTAAAGATAGTAATGGCACTAAACTCCCTGTGAAATTATTCCTTCTGGCATGTTGTCATTTTGGAGAAAACAATAAACGAAGGTCGTTTCCAAAGATGAGTCAAGTGACGTATTTTTGGAAATTTCCGTGTGTAGTTGGTTTGTAATTGGGCGAATCCGTGAATGGGTGCCTGCAAGCGTTGACATGACACACACACGCACGGTTGCTATTATTCGTTGGTTCAGTGCGTGACATCGCGTAGTGCAATGGACCTGTTGCGGTAGAATTGCGTTAGAATCACGTCAACGCAGCATGTGAAATATTGTCCAATTACATGAAATACAAATGGACGTGGAACGCGCAAAATCTGAGACAAAAAAAACTTAGTGTACAAAACTCCATAGGGTTGTCTAAGGGGCGTGGCTAATTGGCAAACGGCGATAGGTCAATTCAAACATGACTCGGCACCTTTTGAATTGAAATTGAGATCCTAGAATATTGTTTTCTCGGAATATACAGCATTCACTGAGCTAAAACTTCATCAGGATTTGTTGTTAAGCACCTGTCGTCAGATTTTGAGCACTTTTGTTGCTTCAAACGAACAACTGCACAAATGACAAATGACCTACTCTACCTTTAAGCTATAGGAACCACCTTTGGGAATTCAACATTTTGTCAGAGGAAAATCTGTAGTTTTTTCCTCTCTTTTCTTCTCACCTGATTTTGGTTAATAATATTTTCATAGCGTAACTCTTGTCTTATCTATTCTATCTTATCTGCAGCATGTGCTGGTGTTGGCGGTGGAGCCGGGGGTATTCCGTTTGAAGTATGGTGCCGCTACTACTACCCCAACATCAGGGACCAAGTTGTTGCTAAAGTATGAATACATTTCTTTCTTTTTTCCAGTGAATTCAGCATTGTGTTCAGGCATGCAACTTTCCCTCGTATCATCTGATTTCCTCAATTTTTTACTTCACACTCATGCCGTTAAAAATTGAAAAACACTATACAAAGTCTTGAAAAGATTTGAGTTTCCTCATTTTTTTTGTTTCTTCCAAGTTGCATGCCTGTGTGTTTCTACCTTCCAATGAATGAACAATGCCTCATGGTTTTTGTCTCTTCACAGACGAGCCTGCCCCTTGCCAAGCTGTGCGCCATGGTGACCATGCAGAGACGCGGGGAGCCCAGCGTCCAGACGTTCTCCCTGCCGCTCCGGCTGCAACACCCAGACCAGGACTCGCTGACCAAGGAACAGATTGCTAAGGTATGGGGGGGGGGGAGTGGTATCTGAGGAAAGAATGTTGCAACCTGACGCTGCTTTTTTTTCTTCATATATCATTTCAATAAAGGTCAGTCATTGCAAAAATGACGATAAGACATGAATCTGGGACTGAGAAACATCTCCAACTTTATTAGGAAATACTTAAAAAAAATTCTTGACTCTCTACAGACTTTGTACACAACCGCTGAAGTAGTGTCAGGTTGCAACTTTCTTTCCATTACTGAATATGCAATCTGAAAATTTGTAATGTAGTCACAAAGAGGATGCCTATATTTTGTTTGGACACAGCTTGGATTGTAAGAAATACTGCCAAGCATAGTGGAGTCCAACGTTGTCAAAACTTTTTACTTGCTTCAGAATTTGAACTTTTTGTGAATTCCATTTTGTTGTTTCGTGAATTACCCTTTGTGACAAACTGGGGTTGTTTGTTCTGAAGTGCACATCCTGAAATCTTATGATTGGAATACCCAACTGGCTCATGCTTATACGGTTGATGCTTTAAAACCAAAAGCTGTGGTAAATGTTAGCAGAACTTGTGATCGCGTTAACCAAAAAACTAAAATATTTGGAGTTGTACAATCAAATCAATTCAAATCAAGTCAGGATTAAAACTAGATAGGCACTTGACACAGATAGCACAGAAAATTGATAACACTTGACGTACTAAATGTTGCTATAATGAACACAGTTGGGTCCATATAAGCATTCATTTGTTGTAGCCATATTCCTTCGCCAGTGCTGGTATATGAGTGCATAAAGTTCAGGAGCCAAAGGGAAGTTTGTTATAACCAAATATTTTGGACAATGTTCCTCATGACGTTACTTCTAGAGTTAAACATGCTAACCAGCAATTTGAACATTTTTGTGTCTTTCAGTTGCAAGATGCTGGCTTACTGGACGTGACAGTCAACTATCGCCACAATGTAGTGCAGGGAGGAGGTTCCATTCCTAGGGGCAGGGAGACAGGGGGTCCACAAGTCTGTTTGTCAGTGGGCGTCCTGAGAGCATGCGGCTTGAAGGTACAGTCGTTGCATGGAATACATATATCATGCGCTGTGGTCCAGTGGTTACGGTGTTCGACTCGTGTGCCATGGTACATGGGTTCGAATCCTGACCGTGGGAACATGGTACTTGTGCTCTTGAGCAAGGCACTTTACCATTATTGCTTTGTCCTTCGGAGTGGGACGTAAAGCCGTAGGTCCCGTGTGTTGTGTAATGCATGTTAAAGAACCCAGTAACACTTGTCGCTAAGAGAAGGGGTTTGCCACGGTGTTTCTGGCAGTGGCAGCAATTATGCCCCGCAGCACCTAGCAAAAAGGTGCTACATAATGGGTCTCATATGTTCATATACTTCATTTACCTGTCTTTGGTTGCATTCTCCCCCAGCGCTTTGTATCCTCTGGCAAAAGGCGCTATATAAATACAGTTATTACTATCTCAGAAAATTTGTTTGTAAAATTCATGAAGAAGTAGGGATATTTTGGCAAAATAACAGGATTTGTTTGACGCTTAGGCACATTTTAATGCAGAAGTCCAACAAAGTAGGCAAAGACATGTTGAAGGTGTCGATGCTTAAAATGATACATCATCGAGTTGTCTTAGATATAAATAAAACATTCCAAAGAATTCGAAATCCCTTGCCTTTGGTCACGTAGCCCACAGTGACGGCAGCATTTTAGTAAAGCTCATTTCACTGCATAAATAACCTACTGCAACAACCGCCTATTGACCTATCGCGGTAGAATCGCGTTAGAATTGCATCAACGCAGCTTGTGAAATATTGTCCAATTACATGACATACAAATGGACGCGGAAGGCGCAAACCCAACTCAGTGTACAAAAACTCCATAGGGTTGTCTAAGGGGCGTGGCTAACTCGCAAACGGCGATAGGTCAATTGCAATAACCTGTCCAGCTTTTTGAGTACAGTTATCTACAAATGCAGGGGTGCAAGTAAGGAGTTATGTGATATAACCATAGCAATCAAGTTGAAACTTACTAGTCTATGATTCTTTTTATTACTCCCTTCCCCCCTTTTTCTTATACACCCTTCAGAGTGCTGCAGTGTCCCTTGCTCAGTTCGACAGCAGCCTGCAGTATGCCAGTGAAGTTGGGGTGAACGCCTACATCAAGATGGAGCTGTCATTTCTGTCTAAGCAGGTATGTTGTCTTATTTCAAGATAAAACAAAATAATAACCCCAAAATGCATCTTATGTCTAGAAATAAATGAGAAAAAAAAATCAATTGGTTTGGTATTTTGCTGTCGGAGACTTGTTTGATCGAGACAACGTTCACAACTTGGATTTCAATCCTTTTTTCCCCTAGGATGTACGCATCACCCAGACCGTGGCCCGTACCTTTGCCCCGGAGTTCTCCCACCATGTAGACTTCCCCTGCCCGCTTCTCTTTGATGATCAAGACAGTGATCAGCTGAGCCTGGCCGAGGCCCTGGAGACAGCCGAGATGAAACTGGAGGTTTGGCATCAGGTCCCCGGCTTCAAATCAGGTAACATCATAACTTCAATTAATGACTTTTTGTAGTCTAGCCCATCACAAGTCCTAACAAGATCATCATCATCATTGGGCGGCCGCAGCCGAGATGGATGCAGCCAAACTCTTCTCTTGTCCGCCATGGCCGTGGTGATGTCATTAACGTGCTGACTCACATCATGGGGCAAGGCAATCTCTAGCAAATGAGATCGGAGACAACTTGCTCTTTGCCTCTATAGCAGTGGCCGCAAAGCGGGCTCTGCGTTGTGTTGATGTAGTGGAGATAGGTGGGATGCTGCCGTATATTTCCGCCTTTGTCTTATGTTCCCTCCTGGAAATATTGTGCGATCTCATGAGGAGGCGAGTGTAGGTACCATCTAGTCTCTGTTTGAGCTGACCGTCAAATACCTGCCCAGTCTAAAGTCAAGTCAACAACAGTTAGTTCACTTGCTGTAAATTTGAAGCAGTTTGAATGGTAGAGGTCTGAAATTCAGAATCTTCAATTCTATAACCATTGACATTAACCAGTTTGCATCTTAGGATATGATAACATGCACTTTATACACAGGCACGGCTGACAGGCTTAGACGTCGAGATTGCCTGGACTCGCCTCCGAGTGACATCTAAACACGCTAATCCCTCGTGCCTTTTGTACACACACACAAATTCATACAAGTCTGTGGAGGCGAACCGTGTGTTGATCTTGAATTGGCTGTTGTGTACGGCCTATTGTTGTACAATTTACGCTCCAGTGCACACCCCAGACTATTGAGTTTTCGACAACAAATATCGTGCAAATACTGTTGAAATGACTCTTGCGAATCAGCATTTGTGGCATTTGGCTGTATATGAGTTTGAATTGTGTTTTCTCCCCATTTAGACCACGACGCCAACTTTGTCACCATAGACAGCGGCACCAACAAAGCGGCTGGGATATCTGCTCATAGACTGTTTGCGCCAACCGGGGATATTCTGCTAGGGACTGCCATGGTGCCACTGCAAGCCATCCTGTCTCACAGAACAGGTGGGAAAGCAAACACATGCTGAAATAAGAATCTTATTTCAGGTGGTTCAGTTTAGCCTTGAGCTGTGAGGGGAAAAAAATGAGCTGAAAACTTTCAGCGATACTTTGTTAATGCTGCAGTTGACACCTGCTTTATGTGTACAAGTTCTATTACATGGCATATCGTTTAATAATGCAAATAACAGAAGAAGGCCAATATAGGACTGGTTGTAGTTACATGGTCAAATTCTGTTTCAGTTAATTTTTTTTTTTTTTTTCATCCTTATAAAAAGACTCGAGGTTTTCTTGCTGCTCTGAAAATTTTGAAAAAAAAGAAAGATTTAAGTAATTATTTTGATTTTATTTAATATAATATACCGGAGTCTTATATAGCGCACGTATCTACCAACAATTAGGTACTCAAGGCGTTGGGAATTATGTCTATTATGAAAAACTGGTAAATGAAGTCTATGAGAAATATGAGACCAATTGTGAAGCACCTTATAATGGTTTACAAGGTGCTGCGGCGCATATTGCAGCCACTGCCAGAAACACCTGGGCAAACCCCTTCTCTTAGCAATAAGTGTTAATGGGTTCTTTAAAGTGCATTACACAACACACAGGACCTACGGCTTTACGTCCCATCCGAAGGACAAAGCAATAATGGTAAAGTGCCTTGCTCAAGAGCACAAGCACCATGTTCCACGGTCAGGATTCGAACCCATGTACCATGGCACACGAGTTGAACACCGTAACCATTGGACCACAGCACCCCATTAATGGCCAAGAAATGTATTTATGGCTTGAGAGTGGTATCCTTGTAAAAATATTCTTCAGAACAACCACAAGTATGAATTCTTATGTCAATATTTAATTTTCTGGCCAAAAAACTTATTTAATGGCTTGAGCGTTACATCCTCGTGAAAACTTCTTCAAAATAACCATTATTACGAATTTTTATGGCAGCGTGTACAAATCTAAAGTACTGTGTACATTTATCAAATGTTAAGTTATTGCCATTAAAGAATTATTTTGTATTACAGTTAAACCAAATATTTTGTTTTTGTTAAAATTGCTGCTTCAGGTCTGCAGGGATGGTACCCCTTGTCGATTCCTGCCCCTGGATGGACCAACCAGCCCTCTGTCCATCACTCTGGCCATCCGCCAGACCATTCTGCATCGGATTCACCCCAGGCATCCCGTGGGCGGGGCTTGGATCGAGTGGGAGGCGGCCTGGAGCTGTCAATCAAGTTTGCCCATCAGGGAGACCGGGACCGCGTCATCGATGCTGGTAGGAGGGTTGGCTGGTCACCGGATGTGGAGCTGGAAGGCCTGGAGGAGTTGTGGGATGATGAAGGTGCTTATCTTTGGCCATTTCTAGAAGCTGCTACGTTCAGAATCATACTAAGCATGGGAAGGATTGTACTTAGCAAAACAAGTTACCGACTGAAACTTCATTCAAAGATGCTTGGTATTGACTGGTACTCTGCCAAGTTTTTCTTAAAAATAAATTTTGCAAAGCGATATTTTCAGCTTTTCTGACTTAAAAAACAGAAGTCTGTTGGATTTTGTATCTGAAGGTGATTATTATAGTTGACGAAAACAAAAAAGACCGGATATCATTCATTATATATTTCAGTTTTATGATTATTCCAATGTTGTCTCATAAAGCAATTTTTTTCATTTGTGTTTACTTGTTCATGTTCAGGCGCTTCGGCTGGTTCCTACTCTGCCGAAATTAATGTGAACATAGACTCTGCCTGGTTCCCTGTACACGCAGCCCTGCGGCCAGGCCAGCAAGCTTTGGACACCGCTGCCAAAGCCTACATCCGTTATAAGCTGTATGACAAAGGTCAGTTTTTCTGCGAAGTTTGCATGATAAAAAGCTACTTTTGATTATTTAAAAGTTCTCCTAAACATTTCTAATAACTTTGGTTCCTTAAATTTATGTGTGGAGTTTGAGGAATGAAACAGACGAACTAAATGTTCACAGATTTGAACAGCAGTGGAATGAATGTGGAACAGTGGAGAATACTCGCTGTTTTCTTCTTATGCAATGAAAAATACACAGTGTACATATAGGTTTGAAAATAATCAACGTACTTAAATATATATATTTTTACTTAAAATACATTTATTTGGATTTCTGCAGTTGGCATGGTTGGCAAAGTAATCTACATTTTTGTGAAACCAAAATCGGAAAAGTTGAATGATTCCTTAATGATGGAGAAGGTTTGCTTGGAGTAAATTCTAATTATTTGAATGTTGTTTTCAGTTGTGTGATTGATATTTTTTTTCTCATATGTCAGGTTCCATTTGTTCCAAGTTGTGTTACCTGGATGCGAATGATGAGAATTATATAACAGCAGACCTCAAGCACGGCCATCACTTCCACACAGCGCTGACTCAACCCCTGGCTTGGTGAGTCTAAAAGCCAGAAATTTGAACAATGCTTAATCTTTAGTTGCTTTTTATTTGAACCAAAATGTGATTTAAAGGGAATGTACAACATTTGCTTTTGCTGCAATTTTCAGGAAAAAAATGAATTTGGAGGATTAGTTTGTTTTAGCAAATTTTGTTAAACTGACTTGTTTCACGTTTTGGGCTTGTAGATGCTGGGAAAACCAATCGTGTTCTTGTAGTCTGGTTCCCTGACCCACTTAAGATAAAACAGAAAAATCTGTACACTTTGGGGAATTGTAAGGTCAGAGAATCAGTCTAGCAGGCTTGTACCCCTTCACAGGTGTGTAATCAATTGCAAAGAAAATGTGGAACAACTGTTATGAAAAATTCGGAGCGGTTTTTATAAAAAGCCAGTTTTCTTCAACGCTGGTCGGCCGACCAGCATTGGAAAAATACAATTTTTTTTTGAAAATGTTAGCACACCAGGAGACACGATTTTACAGGATGCTTTAGACTGTCATTCCCATACAATCCAGTTAAGTATTTTGTGACAATTTGATCATTTCGTTTTTTAATGTTTACAAATGTTGTATCTTCCCTTTAAATGTGCTTTATACGTGCGATTTTATGTGCTTAATATCTTAAAGTATTTCACAATTATTGTCTTCATTCATTGCCATGAGATCAGTTCTAACTTCAACAATTCGAAATCAGTGCAGTCTGTTCTCAACCCTGACAGGTACTCATTTATGGGTGGATGGAAGCAATCATAGCAAAGTGTCTTGCCTAAGAACACAGGCATAATCATCCTTGTTAACGTTCAAATCTGCATACCATTACATCATTGCACTCTGTTTAGGGTTCGGCACAGGAACCCATTTATATTCCAGGTTGAATAGAGTGTAAAGCAATAAAGCATCTTGCCCTAGAACACAAGCATCATGATTCTTCTCAAGGTTCAAACCTGCATACCTCTTAGTCAGACACTGTAACCATTGGACCATAACAATTTTTTGAAGGATTTATCCTTACTGTTATTTTCCATCTTCAGGTATCTCAGAGAAGAACGACTTGAGATTCAACTCTGGGTCAGCTACAACGGAGAGCTCTCACCGACCGACACCGGTCACACCCGCCCAAGGCAACGGGACAAGCTGATTGGCTGTGCCTACGTGGACATGTCGGCACTGTGCGACAAAAGAATCAAGCAGCGTAGAATAAGGTGAGTACAATAATCAGGTCGGCGCAGTGGTCCCCTCCTCCCTTCCACCCCTGTGGTCCAGGTTCGATTCCCGCCCAGATCCACATGTGGATTAGGGTACAGTCCCTACACAATTCTGTTTTTTATGCCCCGCCGGTGAAGCCGAAGGGGCATACTGTTTCCGCCTTGTTTTTTCCTCTTTCTCATGTCCTCTTGTGGAGTTTTCCTCCCACCTCTAAACCTGAACATTTCTTCTCTGTCTCCTTGTTAAAGATTTCTTCAGTCTTGCAAGCTTCAGTGCCTTGGACACTTTTAATAATAATAATACTACTAACAGGAATTTATAAAGCGCCTTTACCGAAGGATTCAAAGCGCTGAAAACAAATCAACAGAAATTGAAACAAATAAAATCAAAATAGGTATGTTTTCAAGAGTCCCTTAAAGTGTTCAAGTGATGATGCATTCCAGATGGTAATGGGGAGAGAGTTCCATGTTCAGGAACCAGCCATGGAAAAGGCACGGTCCCCTGTATTCTTGGTGGTGCGAGGGATAACCAAATTGGCTTCCGAGCGGAGACCTTGACGTTTTGGTTTGCTGAGGTCTACGACCTCGAAAACATATGATGGGAACTTGTTAGACACGGTCTTGTATATATTAAGTGCTGCTTTAAGACAACCCGTTGTTTGATAGGGAGCCAGTGAAGTTCACAGGGAGCCAGCGAAGGGAGCCAGTGAAGTTCAGCTAGTAGAAGAATCTTTGATTTCATTACCAGAAATAATTATATGTGTGTGTAAAATATTTATAATAATTAAGCTGAGTTTTAGCGACAAAAAATTGTGTTAACTCATTCTGAAGTTGTTCATCAGTTGAAAATTTTTGGCAAAGTTCACACAAGCCTTTTTTCAGAGGCAACTTGGAGGCAACCAAACACAATGCAAGAAACCCTGGGGAAAAATGATGTACTTTTTTCAGGCAGTTTATGGAAATTCCTCAAAGAAAATTTAAAAATTTCAAATTTTGCCGGTTTGTTCTCTTCTTGGAGAGTGTCTGTTGACTGTGCACCTTCCCTCATTTGGCGTGTTCCTCAGGAGGATTTGGAGCTTTAAACAGGGGTGTGAAATCTCAGATTTAAAGCTGATTTCAGCTGTTTCTGTTGTGGATTTCAGCTTTTTTCCCTCACTTGCTGTGTACAAAAGTATAGGAGATTTCTAAAGTTCAGCTTTTTTTACGCCTTTTTCAGCTGTTTTCAGCTATTTTTATCAGTGGTCACTCACACCCCTGTTTAAAATCACTAAGATTGTAAGCAAGTTGAGTATGAAATGTGGTAAATGATTTCTTTTTCATGGTCGATCTTTTTACAGTGGGCTGTATCCATTGTTCAGGCCAGGAGCCAGTGATCTAGGCGGAAGCTGCATGAGGGTTCATCTCAGCTTGAAGCACGCCCATGTTGATTCTCATCGCCAACAGGTATGACACCAATGCATCTTTGGTATAACTTGCTTACAAATCATGCTGATGATCTATCAGCATGATTTTACAACATTCAAGAACAGAGGTTTGAACCATTCAAAGACAAAGATTATATAGTAGTTATATTTAAAACTGTCTGTGAACCTCTCAAGTACAAGCCGTATCTCGTATTTGCCACCATTAAGATATCATTTGTACATTTGTACATACTCCTTGTGCAAAACTGCCTTTCATTACAAAAGTCACGCACAGTACTCTCATGCCCCACTCCAGGAATCAGCTGACGAAGCCAAGATGCCCTTACGAGATGGTATCAGACAAATCCATCCATCCCGACCTCATCACCAAGAACACCCCGTGGATGCTGAGGAAGAGGCGGCGAGGAGACAGGAAGATGAGAGGAGACAACGGGAGGAGGAGGAGGAACAGGAGACGAGGAGGGAGATGACCAAGCCGGTCCTGATGGGTGTGGCTGTGGAGAGAGCCATGCATCTGGTGTCAGTCCCTTCCAGTAACAGGTAGAAAACAGAAAACCATTCCTTTATGTGCCTTTTCATATACAGTGAAATCTCGATAAGTCAAACTCTGATAACTCAAACAACTGTTAAGTCAAACAAAGAATCAAATCGCTTCAGTAGTATAACAACAATATACAACCCTGCTTAACCCGAAACTCTGCTCAAGTCAAATTTTGAACCTGTTCCCTTGAGGTTTGACTTATCGGGGTTTCGCTGTATCATGCATATCTTGTCCCTATATTGTCCCAATAAGCATCCTATCTCTTGTCGTAGGGATAATTCAGTGCACTTAATTAATCTCATTTTGGAGCATAAAACAAAAAATATAATCCAGGCAAGTTGAGCGTGGTCTCAAATGTGAACAAAAAATACATTGGAGGCTGACAGTATTTTATTTTAAAATTACCATGTTTTGAAATTTTCTTTTAAACTTTATTGAAAATTTCAAAGAAATCTTAGATACTTGGGAAAAAGTTTAGTTTTGGAGCTTGGATTTAAATTTCTGTTAACTTAATCCAATTGGAAATCTTTTTAGATTTAAAAAGAGCACAATCTCAGCATAACTGCTGTGAAAACCGCATGCTAATACCATCTTTAGTTAAAAAATTATGGAAGTTGGAACACCAAAAGATGTGATGAAGTGATGTGATGCAGTGGCCCTATTTTGGCCCGTTATTCGAAATAAAAATTCCCGACAAACGACTCATTTAGCTTCATTGCATCACAAATTATGGAAATCCTTCTCCCAGACAGTTGTATAGTCAGGTCAGAATTGCAGATTTGTAGCTAAATCACAAAACGTCTTTGTCTCCTTTCAAGTCAAAAGCTGTTGCATTCCTTAGTCACTGCTCACTTCCTGTTACTTGTGATTTGACATGTGACTTGTGATTGACTAGATTTTATTCCATGTTTTGTCGACAGACTGGAGGACAGCCTGCCAAGCTGCTACGTGACATTCCAGTCGGCCGATGGGAACCCTATCCACACCCCCACCGTGCCAAACTCTGCCCAGCCCGTCTGGGGGTTTGAACAGGAAGTCAAAATCAGCGCCGAGGTTCTTGATCGCCAGGTAGGAAGGTTTTGGTGCATTTGTGATCTTCCACTTCTGGTAAATTGAATAACAAAAGTGTTGTACAAGCTTGCAGCAGACATGGTAACTATCATCCTGGCGTTCCAGAGGTGTGTTAAACCAAATTATGATCAACGTTTAAAGCATTTGGCAGCAACTTCACATGCAAGTAATCAAACGTGTGAATGTTGCAGTCATTTGGAACAACTCCAGAGTCTTGGTCAATCCAAAATTAATAGCAAAACTTTGCCTGTCTGAAACCAAAGTTTAATTGGGTCAACTTGAGTCCTCGGAATATTTTTTGGTCCAGCATGAATCTGGAAGACCATGCTTCAAGAGGTGTAAGCCTTTCATTCACCTTGATCGTAATCACACAAAAAGAAAATTCAGCCTTGACAGTAGGGGATTTAAAGCCTGTGTGAGTAGCCTGCAACACTTTTCCTGCTGCTGGGAACTCTGTAAATTTTGTACACATTACTGTTAAAAAAATCTTTAAAATATTATTAATATAAAGTTACAAAACATTTGTTTGATTTGCATCTCTAGCCAAAAAAAATTCTTCAATTCTAAAGATACACTTTTCATTTTCAGAGTTTCATCTTCAAGGTGTGGCACCAGACCTCGTCCGAGCCCGACATGAACAGCGATCGTATGCTGGGCTTTGCCTCGGTGGACCTGGCCCCTCTCCTGGCTGGCTTCCGCAGCCTGAATGGCTGGTATAACATCCTGGACTTTGGCGGCCACTGCCGGGGCCAGATCAAGGTCTCCATCACGCCCAGGGAGAGCGTGTCACCTCTCAAACGCTCACCCAAACCAAAGGTTAGCTCATCACAAACATAGATTTGAAGCCTTACATTGTATCATTCATGTGCATTAGAACATGAAACACCCTCAGAGATTCTTTAACATTGGTTGGTATGCGTCTTGACAATACCTTAAGTCTGATTAGCCTATTTCTCCAGTCCAGTACGCTAACATGTCACACAGGATTTAACTACCGATTTATACTGTTGGATATTTGAATCTAGCTGAGCCACTGATGCACTGGCTGATCTTAGACTCATAATCCTCCATGAGAGATTTTGAGGCTGTGTTGTGACTGGTCCAAAGCGCAGCTTCTGTCTATGGTTCAGAGACGGATAAGTGTGCAATTGTCTAATTACATGTATGACCAAACAATGATATAGGACAGAAGACAACAAAAATAAGACAAGAACAAAATAACTAAACCAGTAATAACATCAGCTTAGGAAGTTTGGACTGATTAGCCAAAATAGACAAAAATGGTTAAACAAATAATGTTTAATCGTTCAAACTGATTCAGAACCAGTGGTCACTTGTGCTTCTTTGCTTGATGCAGCCTATGAAAAATGCTTCACATGTGCCGTTGGTGACATTTGAATGTTGTAAGAGCACTATCAAAACACTTTCAAACTAAGCAGTTATTAAAAGTTTCTTTTTTGATTCTCTTTGGTGAAGAAATTTCCTTTTTTATTGTTTTATTTCAACAGACGAGCCCCAATACCTCGGCCATCCTGGCCCAGGGCTTCCCCCACATTCCACTCACGACGCTGTCATCATCATCATCTCACCCGCCCAGCCTGCCTGCCAGATCATCCTCCCCTCCCAAATCCACCAACCCGCCGTCAAACCACTACCAGGAACACCTGCAGAATGTTAGAAAGTTCCACGCCGACCTGCACGATAGGCTACAGACACGGCAACCGGACTCCACCACTTCTGAGCAGGGGAGGGACAGCAGGAGGGGAACCAAGACGGCAGCTGTTGTCAGTCTTGGAGATGGTGGCCTGCTACCATCTTCTGTGTCCAGCTCGTTCCTGATGCAGAATCTCAGGTATAAACTGAGAAAGTTACACAAGGTTTTGCAGTTGTCTGGCAAAGTACCGGTTCTCTCGAAGCTACTTTCTGCTTCTTTTGTGGGTTGATTTTTTTCTTCTTGAAAAAATGAAGTAAAACTTGGCAGATGCTGCTGTTGGAAAATAACAAAAGTGATCTGTAAAATTTAATGTACTGCTGTGTTAGTGGCATTGAAAAATGAGTTATTTGCGGCCAATTTACCGTATTATGATAAACGTATTAAAGTAAAGAATCTGTTCTTGCTCATGTTGGTTACTCATAATGTTGTGTCTCAGTCAGTTAGTAATCAGATTTTTACTTCTTTGCTGCAGGAAAAATCTGACAGAGCTGGACAGTGTCTACCACAGGCTGCAGCAGAGATTGGCCCATGACCCATCACCGGACAGCGTCAGTCACCCCGAAAACAAACCTTCAGATGAGCAAGTACACATTCCTCGCCTTCCAACAGAGAAAATACCCAACAATGATAATGTTGAGAATTCAAATCAACAAGTGCAATATTCTACCGGCGATCGTACCAATGATCCCACTCACAGGAGGACTAGTGACGAGGACATCTTGGAGAAAATCAGGGCCGATCTGCGACAAGAGGATGCAGAGTACATCTCAGATGATGATGCGGTCAGGGAAGAAACTGGTGGACGGAATCATTACTCGGAAATGGAGGAACCTGCATCGCCACAAGTTGAGAGCGACTGGGAGGACAGTGTGCAGTTTCAGGACCGCCGAGAGGACAGAGAGAGCGAACCAGAGGAGGACATCATCATCGTACCTAGGCCCTTGAACGACATCTCCTCTGCGAATTTCAGTAACGGGGTCCGACCGGATGCAAACGTTGGACCACAGATTCATCAAGGAGGTGAACAAGACTTGGATGGTGTCAACCAAAGTCAACAGGATGATAAAGTTGAAGACAACAGCGATTCGGGAACGTCGAGGCAACAGAAATTTGATGAAAATGATGAGGAGCTGGGTCACGCTTCTGATTTCTTAGGAGCTGGACACGAGCTTGACCTGGAACCGGGCTTGACTGACCAATTCAGGACGGGCATGGGTGATGGGAGACTTCCCATGGAATCAAATGGGAGAACGGGGGTTGCTGGAAAAGGATTAGAATCAGAAATAGCCAAATCAGACTCTGAAGACGACAAAAACAGAGCTGACACAGATCATGTACATCTGGACAGGGATGCCATTGCAGATGAAAACGCTCAGCATCCATCGGAAAGAAGCTCTTCCAATTCTGAAAACCACATGCAAAGTCTAATTCCACCAACCAGCAAAGTCAGCTCAAAGAGTCAAGATGATTCTGGAGGAGAAGATTCAAACTTTGGAAGTGACAACATGGCTGGAATGAGACCCGAACACCAAATTTTGGAACACTCGGACAAGTCTCAAGACATCAGCAGACGAGGAGACCATGCAACTCCAAGGATTATTGCAGACACTGACAAAGACCAAACAATGGGCAGAAATGCTAATGATCGTAGAGTGGCCGAAAGCTCTGGAGCCTCTGACCGTGATGCTGGACGCGGGTCAAAGTCCAGGTCCAACGAGGACTGGCCAGAGCAGAAGGTGAGAGAAGGGGCAAAAGAGGATGGAGGTGGAGGGAGTCCTGACGAGAGCAGCGACGAATCAGTGGTGATCACCATTGATTCCAGACAGGCTGAGAAACAGACCGTAGCAGGAACAAGAACAGAGCAGCCAGGCAATGTGAACCTCTCATCGTATCCTCTTGTTACTGCAACATTCAGACTTATAAATAAATGAAGACTAGAAATGTTGTTGTTCAAGCCAAGAATTTAAAATACCTAAACCTTTTAAACTTTTAATCAAGCAAATCAAGTCAACTTTTTAAATTTTTATTTATCAAGTATCTGTGCATATCAAAGCTTGCAGAACTGTCTCTGGAATACTAACCTTGAGTTCTTGGCATTTTGCTACGATACTTTCTGGATCCTCAACAATCCTCCACTGTGCCGAAAACCAATAGTTTATTTTTGCATTCTCCAGGGGTATCAAGCTCAAATGAAGTAAGGAAGAATGTGAAATTAAGCAGGCGGTAGCTTGAGGTTTTACCTGGAGGTTTTACCTGGAGGTTTTACCTGGAGGTTTTACCTGGAGGTTTTACCTGGAGGTTTTACCTGGAGGTTTTACCTGGAGGTTTTACCTGGAGGTTTTACCTGGAGGTTTTACCTGGAGGTTTTACCTGGAGGTTTTACCTGGAGGTTTTACCTGGAGGTTTTACCTGGAGGTGTTACCTGGAGGTGTTACCTGGAGGTGTTACCTGGAGGTGTTACCTGGAGGTGTTACCTGGAGGTGTTACCTGGAGGTGTTACCTCGAGGTGTTACCTCGAGGTGTTACCTCGAGGTGTTACCTCGAGGTGTTACCTCGAGGTGTTACCTTGAGGTTTCGCAGGGTTTCACAGAACCTCAGAATTCAACCCCAAATTACTGATTGTTAGGGACAGGGCCTACCAAATTCCTCCAAAACCTCCTGGTTGATTATAACTATGATTATTCCTTCACTAGAGCTGTCTTAGCTCCCATTCACCACCCGCCCAGCTTCCCAACTTCTTCCTACCCACGCGCGACCTGGAGGCATCGATGAGGGCACTGCACAACGTCACCAGCATCTTGCCCCGAGTCCAGCCAAGACTGGTTGAAGACAGCGATGTAAGTCATTCATGCGATTTGTTGTCGTGTTGACGTGTGGTCTAGCGGTTGAGCACAGGATTCATGATCATGAGGTGGTGGGTTCGAGCCCCACCGTGGCCATGTGTGTTGTGCCCTTGAGTAAGGCGCTTTACCTCAATTACTCCTCTCAACCCAGGTGTTAAATGGGTACCGGCATTGTTCAATGCTGGGAAGGTAGCAGACTCGCTGTGGAGATGGTGTGGCGATTCCCCCCCCCCCCCCCCCACCCCCAGCAGGATACGAGTCTGGCCCAATTGCTATTTAAAAAGAGAGATGGGCACTCCGTTCCTGTTAACACAGGTTCGTCTCATTTTGTGCTTCACTTAAAAATTCAAATGGTCCAGCCATCTCAGCGAGGTGGTCAAAGTGGGTAGGACGTCTACACTAGTGAACCTGAGAAAGTAATTTGCATACTTCTGAACCACACTCTGTTTTGTAATTGATTTGTTTTCCTTCATTAATCCCTTTCCAGGAAGCCACATCCAGACCAACAGACGCGGCCAAAGAGCTGACCCAGAGGCTGGCATCCCGTCACTCGTCATCCAGGTCCCGGGTCTCTAGACCTTCCTCTAAGCCGGCTTACAAGCTACCCACTGCAGAGGAGGCCAGGCGGATCGCCAAGATCTTTGCATCCAGGTTCTCTGAGAGCTGACACTGTGACATGTGACAATGGTGACACTGAGGGTTGCTGCTTTGAGTACAGAGGTTGTAAGTCTTAAAGGCATATAGGATCATTTGCTTTTCATGCATTTTGTTAGTTTCCAGTAATAACACCACTCAAAATCCAAAGAAGAATGTTCAATACCTAACCTGTTGAAGTTTCAGCTCAGTGGATATTATACTTTTCGAGAACACACATGAAAAACCATGGAAAACTTTTTATCACGAAACACAATTTCGTCGCTCATCATCATCAACATGTCGGGATCGCCTGGGTAGTGACGACATCACGAGCCAGTCCCTGAGTCCTCTTCCTCCAGCTGTCTCGATCTACCATGCAGGTGCGCAGCTCCTCTGCAGATGTGAGATTAGTGTCCCTCTTGAGCTGGTCCACAAAGGTCAGACTTCTTCTCCCTCTGAAGGCAGTGCCCTGGGTGGGCTCCCACAGTATGGTTGGGTGGGCAGCAAGCTCAGGGTGGCGGACGCAGTGGCCAGCAAGATTAAGACGACGCTGTCGCTAGCACTCTGTATTTCCAATGATCAGTCAAATTGACTGATCGTTGGATATCACCTACATTTCTTGATTTCTTCTAAATGACAGCAAGCCAGACGGAGTAATTCCAAGGTTTTTTTTAGTACCAGTAGTCGTACAACCTTTAATCCAAGTAAGCTTTTTTGATAATTCAATAGGTTACTTTTGGGATAAATGCAAATGATCCTATATAGCTTTAATGGTATTTATTTTAGAATGAAAATTTACTTGAGCTGGATTCGAACCTGCAACCCTTCAGGATAAGCTATCTAGCACTGTGTTGGCGGTCTCCAAATCTCTCAATGTGTAAGTGGAATCAATCTTCAGTGAACGAATACTAACCTTCTGTTCGATCTGTGTGCAAAATAACTCATTGGTGGAGTGATTGTGTTTGACAAAAAAATGCTCACGGTTTTCAAGGCAAATCAAAGTACACTCCCATTCGTGGGTCAGGCCAATTCCATACTCTCACTAGTGACTGCTATTTGTATGTAAAAATACTACAAACATGTTTTAGCTGTGTGCCTTGGTTGGAAAAATGCTAATGCTTCCTAACAATATTTTGTGAAACTTTAGGCAAAAAAAAAGTCTCCGGTTTCTGGTATGCGCGTGCGTCGCCGTAGCCATGCGTGTCGGCAAAATGAACAAGTTTTTTTTTTCAATGAAAGATGATGTCTCAAAACCGCCAAACTCACTGGTTTGACTGGAATCCTGCTGCTGCACAATTTTAACGTGTTTTTAGATTGGGTTATGGTCGAGAATAAGCTTTATGTGGCCTCTCTGGACTCCCATATATTTGCACTAAGTTTAGTCGGGCACCATTTGCAGTCATCAGCCGACATTTGAAGCAAAAAAAATCAGGTAAAAAAAATAAATAAAAGCCGCGTCGCCGCACCACTTTTTGGGCAAGCTCCATACCAGAAACCGGAGACTTTTTTTGGGGGGGGGGGCCTTACAGATACAACACTCTGTCATGAAGAAATTCAGTCAACATTTATAGGAATTAAATATTACTGACAAGATTTACCACATAAATGTCTTATAGGGTAAGCCAGACTTTTTGAGAATCATTCTAAATACTTGTTTTTGTTTGTTTTCGTTATTTGCTTTGTTCACCGAATTTACGTTTGTGCAAACCTGTTACCAGATTTGCATATTATTTTTGCTTTGCTTCAGTTTTTGTACATTTGTATTCAGAGTGAAATGTAAATAAATGAACTGATGACAAAATAGTTCACAATTTATTTTGATTTACTTTTTTACTGTTTTGTTTGATTTCATTTAGATTTTTGTTCCAAGTTGATATTAGAATACTTATTTACACATAACACAAAATAAGGAAGAAAAAGACTCAGGCGAAACTATTTTGTAGAAATAAAAAGTTTATTTATTTTACAATGAAAGGAAAGGAACAAGAAATGACTAATATATACAGGGAGATATTTATTATGTTATGTACACGGTACATATTAAATACAAGCTGCAGAGTCAAAAAATGCATCACCATGGACACCTAAAATTGCCATCATCGTTAGATAAATGGTAGTAACGAGAAATCGTAAATAAACGTTTCCACTCGTATCGATTCAAATACGCACTAACCCCATGTGCATTTCAAATCTGCCCATGATTAACTTGCAAGGTCCTTCATAGTCACAATATACATGAATTTAAAATAAAAACTGAACAACATGCAAAACAAATTTAACATTTGATCCAAAAGAGTTTAAAATGAGTTGCAGTTATTGGTTCCCTTGCCTTAGTTCTCTTATTCACACACTTTGGATTGTAGGGCTTTTTTCCCGGACGCCTTTGCTCAACAATTGGGAAAACTGGATGGATCGTGATGCGACATTAAGAATTGTGCGCAATCGTTTCAATATGTAATAAAAAAATAGCTTTCAGGTCGAATGGGGATTTTTAGCCTCGGAAATACAATAACATATTTAAATATGTATTAAACATTGTTGACCTCCTCCTTCAAAATTCAAGGTTTATTGTATTCAGCTTATATTGAACACGAGAATTTTACTACATTTTTGAATTCTACTTTATCATCTTATTTCATTGGTCTTTACTTGGTCATAATAAATCAGTTTATACAATAAAGGATTGCCCATTCAAATATCCCATACTGTTACAGTATACACAGAATATTGGTTGCACTAGTCGTAAATCGCCATAGAGATTAAAGGGGCACTAGGTCCTGAAATCCCCCAAAATTTCATGTTTTGGATTGTTTACTAATACTTAGCCCTTTTCAAACATCTGGTTGAAAGGAAACCAACCTAATGTCTTACTGTTCCCGAAAAAAAGACGAAAAAAACCCCGGTTGTTTACATCAGACACGACGGAGTATGAATACGTTTTCCGTGTCGTTCTCAGTGTACGATATCCGTTGTGTGTCTCGGGAACAGCGGTGACCAATCACCAATGCAAAAAAATATGTTTTTTTCAACATCCGCAAAAGGCGAACACTTTACGAATGACAGCTCAAATTTATGGGGTCGCAAAAGTGGACCCCGAAATTCGTTTTCGCACTCATAATACAGGAATAACACAAAAACGCCCAGTTTTTAAAAAATGGTTGTGTGGATGTTTATATCCTACTTTTAAATGTTCTTTCCGATTAACATCATCTTGTTCAAAGCGCCTTTTGTAGCCCAATTGGGCTGTTCCAGGACCCAGTGTCCCTTTAAAGAGGTTGTGGAATGCTCGAAGACATTTCCGTCATTTTTCGGGTATATGTAGCCTAAGGTGTGATGAAATAAAAACGACTATTGTTTCTGTCATAAAATGAGTACAAAAGGTACTTTTGAGAGCTGTTTTTCAAGTCCTGTCATGCCTGTTTCGACCCGAACGTGCAATTTGTGTAAAAGTCGTCGTTGCGGGCAGCAAACAAAACACAGTAAATCGTGACGTAATAAACAGGACTCCCGATGCAGAGTAGCATAAACGAGTCCCGTTTATTACGTCACGATTTACTGTGTTTTGTTTGCTGCCCGCAACGACGACTTTTACACAAATTGCACGTTCGGGTCGAAACAGGACCTGAAAAATAGCCCTCAAAAGTACCCTTTGTACTCGTGTCATGACAGAAACAATAGTCGATTTTATTTCATCACACCTTAGGCTACATATACCCAAAAAATGACGGAAATGTCTTCGAGCATTCCACAACCTCTTTAACATAAAACAGAAATGAAAGTATTAAAACAAAATTTATGGACTTATTTCAAAGAAGTTTCAAGTACACCTTTTTTCTCAAAGGATATCATGCACATTTTTTTTTAAAAATGCCCTTGCACAAATGAACATAACGATTGATGCAGTTCCCAATGAAATAATAAAAAAATAGCTACATGTAGGACTGAAATATGTTATTTAAGGAATAACTGAGTATGCAATTCAAGATAAGTTAGTACAATTGATGTTAAGATTTGTTTTTACATACTTGAGCCAACTGAGCCTAAAACAAAAACTCAAAGAGTAAAAATAAAAATCTGATTGTCCCGCTTTATATTTTAAAAATACGATAATTTGCCATTGCAATATGGAAATCGGCAATTCCCTGAAAACTGGGTCGATGAACCTTCGAGAGCAAGACATAAATGCAGCAGCTTTACCGTGACTATGAAAATCAGCCAAAAAGTCCTCAGTCCTGCAAGATCCAAGCAATGTGGGCCATTCACAATGCAGTGCGCCACCAAGAGTTTCCCACGGAGAGTTCATTTTTCCCAGTGCATTGTAGGAGATGGTCGACAAATTCGCAGCGCGGGACATTTGAAATTGTTAGTTTTTTCCAGTCAGTTGTTTCGTAAGCCTATGATTCGAGTATCTGTTTGCCTTTTTCTTTTCTTTTTATGAATATGGTGTTTTTTGTGAGGCGGCAGAACGCTATGCTCCAATCTATAACAAATAAGCTCAAGTTGTCTACTGACACTCATTCAAATGGGCCGTGTTTTGTCAACCATAAACTTGAAAATGGACTCTCCATGGCAAACTCTTGGTGGCGCACTGCATTGTGAATTGCCCGAATTGCAAGATTCCTTTCTCTTGTGGTTTTATATTGTGACCTTGTCTCCGGGGCCCAATTTCATAGCGCATGGTTAGCACACGATAGCACATATTCAGCTCACAGAGCCTCCTTCAATTTCGTGGAGACCGTAAGCAGTAAGCACAGCACAAGGCACGCTTACCTCAGTCATGTCAGTGGAAAAAGTTGCTAATAGTGACGTTACAACAGAAATGCATGTGCATCCACGGAAATGATAGTGTGCTTAAGGTAAGCACACTTTTCTGCTTTAGTTAGCACAACGTTTCTGCTTACTGTTAAGCAGCACCACGAAAATGATAATCAAGTCAAGCCACATGTAACAAGGTAAGAACAGTGTCAAGGGAATATCTTTGCCACAATGCAATAAGCCATTTGCGTGTTAAATTTGAATAAAATCTAGAACCCTGACTAATAATCCAATGCTTTGCACGTTTTAACTTTGCATTCTCCCGACCAAAGAGACTGTTACTATATCATGTGATTCGGGCCAAGCCTTATGCTAGCAACCCCCAGCTCCGGCATAGTCTGGTGTCTTTGTGCCATTCTCACCCATTGTGAACAATGTATCGATGCTGAGCGTCTCTTATGTAACTATGCAAGAGCTTGCCCCGAATCATGTGATTAGCAACAGTGTCTTTGGTCTGGAGAATTCAAAGTTAAAATGTGCCAAGCATTCTAAACAAGTCAGTGTACCGATGTTTTTCAAATGTAAATCCCAAAGGGTGAAGGTTACTCGCAAATGGCGTATTGAATAGCATGTAACTTGACTTAGGAGACTGGAAGACTTGTGATTGACATGTGATTGACATGTGACTGACACGTGACTGACTTGTTACTGACTTGTTACTGACTTGTGACTGCCTTGATTGATATGATACAGCACTGTTTCTGTCAATACTATATGTCAGCTGTTCCATTCATCAGACCCAGGATAGGTTGCAAGTCCCCCGTAGACATTGGTGCGTCTGAGGTTGTTCCGAGGGAAATAAGATTCTCCGGCACCAAACCCGGGAACAGTCGCTTCAGGGCATCCCAAGTGCCAAAACACGCACTGAAAACAAAAATAAAAGGCAAAGATTGTACAAACAGTAGGTTTCAAGTTAAGAAAGTTGTCATGTTGCGGTGGTTACTGGGTCCTTGCTCTATGTGGATTATGGTTCTTGTGTTCTTGGGCAAGACACTATACCACAATTGCCTCTTTCCACCCAGGAGTATGAATGAGCGCCTTTGAAAACAGGGGGCAGATTACGCTGATTTTAAACTGCTACATAAAACTGATCCAATGGTCAATAATAATTATTAAGTGCTTTGAGACATTTGTATAACGTTATTTTTTAGCACCGCGTTATTATCTTAGTATGAAGACATAGATTATAAGAAGAAAAGCTAGATTTGAGGTTAAGATAACGGATCACAACATGAACAGAACAAATAAGGGCCGCATTTTTTTCAAAGTCATGATTATGTTATCACAGGAAATCCATTATGTTAAATATTTTCTTTATAACTTCAGTGTCAAATCACGGGCTTTATTCAAAAACAAACGCCCCTTATACAATCCTTTTTTTCCCCTTCAAATCTGTACAATACATATTAAGATCAATCGTCTCGAAAAGACCAAGTCTATAAGGTGAAAATTAATAGCCAAATTAGGCTTTTATTATTTTTCAATATCAATGCTATAGCTTTTTTTTTCCAACCATAAAGCCAAGCTGTACTCACGCAATGATTCCCATGACTATCAGAAAGATGTCAAACGCCAACTGTCTTCTCGTCAGCGACCTAGAAATGAAACCAAAAAATCAATTTAGATGAATGCTGTGTTGCACCTGCTGATCTGCAAGGCAGTTTCAGCACTAACTTCATTCTAATATTTACATTTTTTACAAATTGAGTTTAAAGGGAATATACAACATTTGCAAACATCGAAAAACAAAACTACCAAATTTTTACAAAATACCTTACAAGGATGTTGGTAAATAACAGTCTTAAAGCATCCTGTAAAATTATGGCACCTGATGAAGTCATTTTCAAGAAAAGTGGGATTTTTGTATAAATTTTCAACGGTGGTCGGCCGACCACCATTGGAAAAACCTAACTATTTTTTCAACTACTGCTTCAAATGTACCAATTTTTTTTCAGTCCAAATTTGGTTTGCTATTGGTAACATGTTCATGAACGGGTGTAGGCCAGCTAGACTGGTTCCCTTACCTTACAATTTTCCGGCATCTATTAATTGATCCATTTCATCCTAAGTGGAGTCAGGGAGCCAGACTACTTGAACATTTTTTTTCTTGGTTTTTCCAGCATTTTCGAAAAAAACTTGTCAAACATGTCAGTGCACAATTAATATTGAGCTATTATTTCCCCTCAAATAGCTCTTTTCTTGAAAATTACATCAAAATCCAATGATGTACATTCCCTTTAAAAACAATCAGTGCTCGACAAACATTGGCCAATACCCAAACCACTTTGTTTTCCTGTTTGCTGAAATATGTTAATTAAATCATTTCCGTCCTACCGTCCCCTTTTTCAATCAATACAAATACAAGCAAAGGTCATACATATGTTGAGTTTGACAGTCCCTGGCAACAGACAAATTTAATCAAATAAGGCGGCCAGTGGTCACCAGAAATTGAGGGCAGAAAAAGCAATCAAAACACGGTTTGCATCTGTGGATCTAATTTATTTTATTTTATTTCATTTTTTTTGAAACAGATTTTTTTTGGAGGAGAATTACAGCATGCAGAGAAGGTTTTCAATGTGCCTCACGCCTCTGGAACCATTATTAAAATGTCCTGTTTTAATTTGTTTTTTTCAGAGAGTTTGTCACGATCAAATCGGCACAAACTAATCTTGGTCGGCAATACAAATGTACACGTCGTGTCTCGTTCAAACTGGTCTTCCAGCACAACTCAAGTGGACGTGCATTTAATCAACGTCAGACAGATTCACTTTGAACCATTGCTTTTCTCTTCATCCTGAAGTGGTGTGTCTAGATGCTCATCTGGAAACGGCTGTCATCTGGAAACGACTTTTGATAAAGTGGCACGTACCAAAGGAGAGATAATTTGTATCTGATGCTCTCTTTACATCGGACATTCATTTTGCCTTGCCTTTCTCAGTAGTGTGTCAGGGTACTCATCTGAAAACTGTTCCCACTTCACTTAAGCATTTGCTCTGATAAAGTCAAGCAGGAGATTTTTTTCCCCCTCTTTACTACACCGAGTCTCAAGCACTCGACTTGGATGAACTTGAGTTAACAATGTGTTGATGCTGCTTATGTTCCCCCGACAGAAATCATGACGTCCATCATTTGTTGCTGATCAGCAAATATGAACACGGGAACTGCATAGTGCATGACAAGCTTTTATATGCAGTGTTTCATCATTTGTAATGACATGTAAGTGTGACGTGAAGAATGAAATCAGCGGATCCGAGGAAAAGTTGCCTGACAGAGAAGATGGTCCTCTGTTCTATCCTTCTTTCATCTTATATTTTGATTCTTGATTATCAGTAGAAATCACAGCTACTGTTAGTTCAAACAACATTGGATCTGTGATGCATTTGCTTATTGGCGCTTGTCGACTGCAAGTTGCGCCTTGAGTTGTTTGTCCAAAAATAAAGACTAAATTTTTTTTTTTTCCCAATTATGGAAGAGCACACATCTTACGATAACATCACTTCAAGTCAGACTGAGGACGTATCCGTCGTTTTCATTGTCCTCCGCACGTCCTTACTTCTCGTCATCGCACTCCTGATCATCGGCGGCAATGCCTTATCCATCGCCGTCACCTGGCGCATCCAGGGCCTGGCCGACAGCACCAAAGTCCTGATGACCTCACTGGCCCTGTATGACCTCCTGGTTGGTATCCTGACTCTCCTGTACACTATCACATCAGGGTTGGACAGCTGGCCCTTCGGTGCGGTGGGATGTCGCATCAGCGCCCTGCTAGCGGGGGTCAGCCTATCCATGTCCATCATGTGCGTGACGCTCCTCAACGTTGATCGCTACGTTGCCGTGACGCGACCTTTACGCTTCCCCACGCTGTGCTCCAAGCGGCGCGCCGTCGCGACGGTCATCACGTTCAGCTGTCTCTTGCTAACATTCCTGATGACTAACACCTTCACTGATATAAGATTTGAGGCTTTGCATGGTGGGGTATCGGTATCGTTTCGGGTTTTTGCGGTAACACCATGTGGTAATAACTACTGCTTAGAAGATATTAGTTCTGAGAAGAACTTGTCCTGCTTGATGACTAGAGCAGGCTAGTCGAAAGCCTGCTCTAGTCATCCTGACGATGACTAGAGCAGGCTAGTCGAAACGTTGAGACCAAAGACAAGTTCTTTTAGAACTTACAGCAGGACTGTTCTAAACAGAACAAAAACTACTTAGCAAGTTGATAATAAGCAGGACAAGTTCTTCTCAGAACTAATATCTTCTAAGCAGTAGTTATTACCACATGGTGTTACCGCAAAAACCCGAAACGATACTAACACCTTCACGTTTAACATCCCGGTGTTTTACGATCGCTTCTCGGCAGTGTGTTCATCGCCGTACGACAAATGGATCAACGAACTGGTCGTCTTCTGCCTGTGGGACGTGTTCCCGGCATTCACCATCATCATGATCTACTGTCGGATCATACAGATAAGCCACCGGCACGCCTTGTTCATCAACCGGCAGGGCGCGAACACGGGCAACGTGAGCAAGAAAGCCCTGCAGACGTTCCTCACCGTCATGCTTCTGCTGGCTGCATGTTGGACCCCTCTGCTTTTATCACGAGTCCTGGCCGGGGCGCTGGGAACGAACGTCCCAAACTGGCTGAACTTCTTCAACAACTGGCTAGCCACTCTCAACAGCTTCTTCAACGTTCTTGTCTACAGTTTCTTCAACAAGGCGTTTCGCGGGACGGCCAGACAGATACTCGTGAGGAAATTTCGCCTTAGCCGGGCATCAGTTCAGCCAATCATTGACTGATCTGACAATTTTCCCCAAAACTTTTACATACACAAAGCATGACCTATTTCATACTCATGTCTTAAAACGGCTACCTTCATTGAGATTTGGGGCAAATGAAAAATCCGCAAAAAAAATCGGCCTGAAAAAAAACCAATGAATTTCTGACTCACTCTTTGAATATTCTCATGTGGAATATGCCAGGTAGGACGAAGGCCAGCAAAGTGCAGCATGTCGCTCCTATAAGAGCCATCAACGTTGCTATATTGGGTATCAGGATAACAACCAAGCCCGTCACCATTACCATGCCTGAGCGAAGTATGTTCTGAAGTAGACAGGAAAATTCATTTATTAAGTGTGTTAACTTGGCTTCTTTCACAAGAACTCAGTCAGCAGAAAGCTTAACAGCAACAGCTCAATGGTAGATTTGAGCATTCATTGCTTATAATTTTGGTGAAATGAAACTTTGCATTGTGATAAATTATGCCATATTCATAAATACCTAAGACAGTTTACCCATTCCCACTGGTCGAGAGCCCATCACATGGCCAGTCTTTAATAAATGGATGATAAAGACATGGCTGGCTGGTCTTAAACACTTTGTCAGTGTCACATGAAATTTGGACTCCTATGAAATCCAGTGCCTTTTACCGTTTTATTGGTCGAGTGTTCACAATCCTCACGTAGGCATGCGCAATACTACCAGTGAGTCAGTTTTTAATAGTCCTAAATTCACAACGCACCTGCGCAGTATGCACGACGCACGCGCCAATCTCCATAAAAGGAGTTGTTTAAGTCTAACTCGCAAGCTGGACACTCCATCATATAGCTAGAGGGGTGCAGTGCAAATGCTCTATTCAATATTGTACTTTCATATTGTACTATTTAATATTGTACTTGTCTATTTCCAATTGTTAACAAAATAACAATTTCAAGTGAAGACTCACCCCATAGAATGTGGACTTGTGCTTGTCGTGCATCAATCGTCTCTCCAGTGTAATGACCACTGGGAACATCATGACAGGATATGTGAAGAACAGCGAGAAGCACAGACAGCTCTTGACCAGTTCGGGAACAATACCTGCGGATCGGGGGTTGAAACAAGGTGTCGCGTTTAATCCTGGCAATGAAGTTGAGTTCCAATCAAACCACAAGTTCATCACAATCTAGGGTGCTGACAGGGGTTTCCCTTAACTTTTTCCTTTACTGGCCGGCCGGGCCAGTAAACCAGAGTTTTCACTGGCCCGCAACCTTTTTCACTAGCTCACATGTTTTAATAGTAACTTTCAATCAAATCACCATAAGCATTTTTGATAACATTTTTGATAATAAATTATGCAATATGAATACAATCGGCAATTATCTTAATCATGTACATAATATTGCATGTAGTTCCTTTTTAAGTGATGTCAATGTTTCTTTAATCGTCCATGCTTTAACATAGAGCAAGGCTTTAATTAACAGGAATCAAATAGGGGGAGAAGTTATAATCAAAATTTATGCAGTGCGCTTCGTTCCGAACTTAAGGCTTTAGGTGTTCTATTTCCGACATGTTTTGATAAAACACGAACTAAAAAAGCGTTATCTTGAGGAACAAGAAAACATTGCACACAGTCGTGGTATTAATGGGAGTTTACCAAGTTAGTAACTGAACTGTTTTAACTTGTTTGAAAATGAGTGAGAAGGCCAGTATTTTCAAAAAAACCATCTCTCGCGCGCGCCATGCATTTCTAGCGAAGAATGGTGCAATTAGCGTGCCTAGCAAAGAAGCGCTGCGGGCGGGCGACCCACGAACTTACGCTGGTCACGTCAATCCATAACGTTTTCCGGAGCACGGTCCACTTTACATTCACTAGTCTTTACATTCAAAATAGGCCCCTTGAATCTCATATTGTCCTCATCTTTTCGGTACATTCGTTTGATAGTGTTCAAGAAATCATCCCAAGAATCCGTTCGGGCACAAGTTTTGGCAGTGAAACTGTCATGAAAGTTTTCTCCTCACCACGTTGTATGATACGAATACGATGTTAACGTACGTACGTCCGTACCATGTGGACTGCAGACGAAGTAAATCACGTGCGCTGCATGTGTGCACAATGTGTAATGGCAAATACATGTTGATTCGCCTCATGTTCGTCGTTGGGATTTCAATGCACAGCGCACTGCGAATATACATGGAGTGATACGAATTCGAACTACCGATGTTTTTATTTCGGTCGGCGTGGCAAAAGTATTCATGTGTTGTATCACCCTTAACTTTTTATTTTGATTGATTGAAAAATACTGTAGGGAAAACTTCGTTATTTTTATCTTTTTTAAACAGTTTTTTGACTCGCCCGTCGGACTACTGAGAGGAGGGTTTTGACTCGCCCGCCGCTGTTTTCACTCACATTTGGCGAGCGGGCGATCGCTAAGGAAAACCCCTGAGTACAAGTTATATGGGGATGAACAATGACAAAGGAGTTGTTTATGACTACTCACGAGCAGGCCATACCATAGCATAGCTAGAGGGGTGTTTTGAAAAACATTAAGTAAAATTGTTGAACAATATCATAGGAAATTTATCATTTTTGACTTGTATTGTCTTTTGGACAGAAAAGTTTTGATATTTTTTTTATACTGAAAGGTATTTATGAATGGGAAAAAAATGTGTGCTAGGCTGCTTTTAAAAGCTATGTTTAAAGACTGGTTCTTCCAACAAATATCTAAGCATTCAACTTACCTTCAGGAAGGTTTAACGTGATGATGCTTTCTGTTGAGGGTCCAAAAGACTAGAAAGAAATGAAATGAAAATAAAAATGTAAAAGAGAGAAATAAATTTGAATTGTTAGTATTTGGTGGTAGTCATTAAAGATATGGTAATGACTGCCTACCAGTACCCGCAACTGGGAATTTGGAGAGAAAAAAACCGAGGAAACTCCAAACCACACAAAACTTTGTACATTATTTCCAATTTGTAAAGGCATTCGTGAGAAGAAAAACAAAATGCTGGGGGGGGGGGGGGGTGGATGCTAAATTTAGACTGAACTGTATCAATGCCTGAACCGTCTTAAAACCGTCTTTAAAAAAAAATGCCCCCCTCCCATGCTGGATTCGCCATTGCTGCCTACACTATTTGAATAAATCAGAGTTTTCAAATGGTGGAAGGGCAGGCTCCATTCACAACGCGCACACACTACATTTATGAAAAATTTTGAAAGGTTAAATTTAGAAGCAAATATGTTAACATATTTAATACTTTTAGGGAATGCCAATCGGTTTTGTGCTTACAACATACATGTAGCGTTGCTGCTAAACGAAGTTGGCATATTAATTATTCTAAAGATTTAACCCTCCTATGCAAACACACATTCTGTGTCAAGTCGTCCTTGCAGTAAAAATCAATCAAGTGACTGTTTTCAACCCATAAGAATTTCTCAGCTCACATAAAGTAGGATTGACTGCCTTGGACTGCTTAAAGATATAGTCCATCATTTGCAATTTGTGCATTTTGTTCGTTTGAAGCAACACAAGTGTTCAAAATCTAATGACGGATACTGAACAACTAACCTGATGAAGTTTCAGCTCAGCTTCAGCTGTATATTCCGAGAAAAACAGCATTCTAGGATCTCAATTTCAAATCAAATGTTGCTGAATCATGTTTTGAATTGTTTTGAATTGCAGCTATACGCGATGTCGCGCACTGATCCGACGAATTATAGCAACCGCGCGCACCTGTGCGTCATGCCAATGCAACACGCTGCGTCGAATAACAAAACGAACTACTGATTTAAATTTTCCTAAGACGCACCGTTGGAAAGGCCTTCTTTCGTTGATTACTTCAAAATGATAGCTTGCCAGAAAGATTAATTTCACAGGGAGTTTAGTCCACTTACTATCTTTCAACCAAGTATGTTTTTCAACAATAATACGCCAGTTACTTTTTCGGATGGCTGCAAATGATGGACTATAGCTTTAAAAGTAACTTGATACAGCTATGCATTGTCTCAACTTGCCTGCTTTGTCTGTTGACCCAGTTTGATCTGACTGCTGGTGACTAGCCTTTGTTAAAAGTATAGCAGGGAAAGTGAAAGTGAATTTTGACCGTCCGTGACTGCTGAAATAGCAGGCGGGTTAATAAACTGTTTCAGATAATTGCACAATTGCATGGAGAATGACACAAAACAGAAAAGGGGGAAAAATTTCCGCAAATGTCTTACCAGATATCCGCACACGCCAAAACTGATGTACAGTGTCGTTACTATGATCAGCGCAAATATAAAAATTCTGAAGAAAAAAAAAATCACAGTTACCAAAACCATGATCCACTCTTTCATTACATTTCTTTATTTCTCTTCTCAAGGATTTTTCATCATGCCTGTGAGTAAAATTTTGAAAAATCTATGATTTTGTAACCAGAAATAATAACAATGTTTGTTTGTCAAATGCAAAAACACTTACTTTCTAAACATATGCCTCTTGGTCGGTAAAACAGACGATTCTAAAGCCAAAATCATGCCAGCTCCCTGCAAAATAAGAATTTAAAAAATACTTAATGTTCTTTTTCTGCAAACACACTAAGCAGAGAAGATATGGCAAAAACTGGTTACCAGCCACAATGCCATGTAATGCACATTGCTTGTGACTGGTACCTTGTCACTGATAGCTGAGCAAGCATTATTTTCAGCTTATTGACTCCCTATAATTGTAGATCACCAAGTGACACATACCCTGGAAAAAAATCCGTCATTTTAAAAAACACTTCCTTCATGTTCATAAATTTTGCAGCCAAAATGTCAGCAAATGTGTTTTTTTAACAGATACCATTATTTAAAAACATGTGGTATGCTGTGGTCCAATGGTTACGGTGTTCGACGGTGAATCCTGACCGTGGGAACATGGTGCTTGTGCTCTTGAGCAAGGCACTTTACCATTATTGCTTCGTCCTTCGGATGAGATAAGGCCGTAGATCTCGTGTGTTGTGTTAAACACGTTAAAGAACACAGTAACGCTTATTGCTATGAGAAAGGGGTTTGCCCTGGTGTTTCTGGCAGTGGCTGCAATATGCCCCGTAGCACCTTGTAAACCCTTTATAAAGGTGCTACATATTGGGTCTCATATTTCTCATAAACTTCATTTAACTGTCTTTAAAAATAGACATAATTAACCAGCGCCTTGAGTACCTAATTGTTGGTAGATACGTGCACTTTATAAGACTCCCGTATTATTATAATATCAATTATAATAGCAAAGTAGACTGATTTTTCGCTGATTTTGTAAAATATCAAAGTTAATGATGCAATAGCAAAATACTGAGAAGTACAAACACACACGTACCTCGTAGCAATAGAATGCAATGCCGAGAAAAAATGGGAATCCGACTAGAGACATCTGTTTTGGGTGTATACTGCAACGAATGGAAAATTGAAACAAAAATTTGGAATGCAAATTTGAAACAAATTTACTACACAAACAAAAAATTGAACAAAGAATGTTTGATCTTACGATTGACGCGACTTGCTTTTACTTACCGAACGTTTTGCACATGCTCAAAGTCAAACCAGAAGACGACGGAATACGCAAATATATTGGCAAAGTCTGCAAACAAGCTGGTTGGAGAAAAAAAGACAAAATTACAAGGTACGTACACTGGCCAGTATTGTAATCAATAGTTTTAATTTACATCGTATTTGAATAAAAAACCTCAAAAATACAGGTTTTTTTACTTTTGGCTTGTTACCAGCAAAAGTTCAGCAAAAGTTCTGTGCTAAGGCATGTCAATTATTTATTTCAGTTTCCAATTAAATTGTTGCTGAGCAGGTAGAGTTGGTAACCAGTTCGCGCTGGATGATCTGTATACAGGCAAAGACTTTGTCGTATTCGGAATGGATGACGGATAAACACACAGGGAGCGAAGTCGAAACATCTGTCAGTGACCCGCTCGCAGTGAGCGAGGCCGGAAATATTACTGTGCTGCCCAAGGGTGATGGCTTCAACCCGCCCGGCTTGAGGTTGAGTGAAAATTCATCCTCATTCCGTTCTTGTTAAAATAATCCCGGCGCAAACTGGTTACAAATTTCTGTACTTTGAAGCATTGTGAAATTGGTACAGCCCCAAATGAAATGTCAGGTATGAATTCTAAGTATTCAAACGATTTTGCTCAGGCTGGTAAGCAAACACTCTCTGCTTAGCTCATCTAGGAAATTGACCGAAGGATTAACAAGACCACCTACCTGAAGACTGCTAATCGGTTGAGATGTCTCAATAAGCACAGTAGAGTCAGAGGTGCCATCATCAGGGCGATCCAGCCGTGTTTGCTGAGGCCGGGGACAAACGTGACCAGGTTACTGGAGATGAAGATCAGGTAGGCGCAGGAAAAACCTGTTTCCGATTAAAAAAAAACCCAAAATTGCAATTATTGTGACAAATTATATGAGATATTAAAATAAGAGTTTGAGAATAAGTACGAAACTGCTAAGTGGAGAACAAAATTATTTTGTTTCTGCTAAGCAAATTATGTTTTAATCAAAAACTTGGCTGAGAACCACTCACTGGCAATATAAACTATGTGATATTTTGTGTTGTAAGCGGTTTTGTCAAGCAAAATTTTGGGCTGTCGAGGGTAAAATTTTATTCCGCTGATGACACATGGCTCAGTCAATTTGGCTTATAAGAAAAAAGATTTTTGGAACTGTTCTACTCACCAACTTGGGATATCACTATAGAGAAGTCAACAATAACTTTGCCTTTGCTTCCAAGTGCATAGAAACCTATAAATTTCAGTGGAAATGAGGAAGAAAATACACAAAGTTTTTCAATAATTTATACAATGTTTCCCCGGAGATTCGAAGAACTTTCAGTACAGCATTGAATAACTGGAGGAGAGTGTGGAAAAATGCGTATATCTATCAGAACTTTGATGAAAGCACTATGTTTTGCAAAATAAACATGTGTTATGCCATGTGCCTGGTGTGACACAAACAACAAGTATTCAGCTCAACAATTATAAAACAGAGTAGTTCATTACCAATTCATTAACCCTAACCTTCCCAAATCCTCCAAAATCCTCTTTGCAAAAGGGAGAATTTTGCAGGATTGAGGCTATATGACAAAAATTGTGGCTGATTTTTTAGGATACAATGTGCCATGGTCTTGGGCTGGACCTTGTTAAATTTAGGCCTAGGTAACTTGCAATCCTCCGCACAGCTCCAGGATGTCACTGGCTCTGCCTCAACATACTGACAGTGATTTCCAGAGGATTTTGGAGGATTGAGGCAGTGGTCACCCCTCCAAGGACCACATTCAAGAAATGATGGAGGATTGTGCAGGATTGAGGCTGTATGCTATTTTTACATGGTAGCATCAGGGGATTTTGCAGGATTGAGGTTACATCCTAGCAAAAATGCCTAGGGACTTAGAGTTAATAGTTAAACAAGGGTTGATTAACTATTTATCAATTAAACAAGTAAATGAATAATTGAATTATTGATTGCAATGAGGGGGCAACATGTGCGATAGATAAACTACATCAGGTAAACATTTCAGCGGTAATTTGACTGCGCAGCAAGCATGTTTTGTCCAAACACATTTCTACAATTATTACAGGCATTTTGTGTGTGCATTTCCAATTACTGCAAAAGTCAATAAACCGGTCTTAATGACATGACCAAGTATTTGTTCCAAATACTGTGTGTGTTTTCCTGCGTCTTCATTCCTAGGAATTAACGAACTGTAAACTACTGGTTTAACAGCAAGCGCAGAAATACAGGTGAAAACGAATAATATAATTATGACATGTTATCGTAATACTGAACACTATTAAATACTCACCAACATCACCATAGTCTATTTCATTCTTGGCACCCTGTTAGGAGGGGAAAAAAGGGAAAAAGTACAGGCTTAATTTCAGTAATTGTTTTTTTTTTTTAAGGCAGCCTGGTCTTTAACCATTTGTTATTCTGGAGGAGTCTGTAAAATATTTTAAAAATCTATAGACATATACAACCGAGTTAAACAATGCTTATTAAAAAGAAAGAAAATGCAATAATTACATTTTCAAAAAAATTAATTAAATATCATTAAAAACAAAGAAATGCATAGGAAACCAAACCACACAATACAGTGAATCTGCAAAGTTAACCACTTGACGCCGGGGTTATTTTGACCGAAAAACACCATTTTAAAAAAGACAAAACGAATTTTAAAATTAAGTCTAACACCACAAAAGCGAAATCGATGAAGTGTGAAGTTGCATCCTGTGTGGATGGCAAGTAGCTGGGATCCTAGAGCAAGCTTGGTGCCCACTGAAGTGGAACAGTAGGGCACATCAGAAATTACCATTTATTATTTGTACATAACTCCTCGCTGTAACTTCTCACTGTAACTTCATATTTTGCAACACTCTGAGGCCCTGGCATGGAGTAATATTTGCTACGGCGCCGGCAGTGTACAGCGGCCAAGTTCAAGTAAAACACACGGTCCACCTCCACTGACTTGCCAGACACTATGAGTGTATAAAAACTATGGTAGCCACTGACACATGAGACACATCCACTGCCCAAGACTTGGGGAAAATCGCATCTGATTAACACTTACGGCTGAATCATCTGAGTTCTTCCTCTGTTGACCGCTCGCCCCTCCGTTTTGAGTCAAAGCCTCCCCCGACATCCCGTCCACGTCTTTCAGTAACTCCTTCCCTTCGACATCGTCTTCTTTCTCCTTGCTGACTATCTTGAATTTCCGGCGGACATCCAGTCTTTCTTCAAGCTTGTACTTGCAGTCGATCAGCATCAGCATGGCTTTGACACTGGCAAGAATAATCATTTTCAGCACACACACAAAATCAATCAATGAGCACATCAGAAATTACCTTAAGACCAAGAAAAACTTTTATTTCCTTTTACACTGAACAAAAAATAGCTTGGATGGGTGGGTAATTTTTCTTGTTTTTTCGCTCTAAATTTTTATAGCCATAAAATAGATGGGATAATTATCGATTAGTTTTATAATTATTTTTTAGGGCATGTATTCGTACCATTTAAAAATTGTCAATACGAAATTGCAAAACCTGTCTGCAATAACTAGGGTAAGGTGGCACCTTAAGTTTATAATTTTTTGGTGTTTTTTTGTTTATTTTATATGATTTTTTTTATTTTTGGGGTTCTACATGATTTTCTACATTGGGTGGGGTAAATGGAAATTTCACTGGTATTTACAAAATGTATTTTCTTTGTCTAATATGAATATCAAGAAAACTATACAGCTATTTTGAGAATTACGCATGTACGTGTACACAACTGACATTTCAGCTGCACTTTATTTTCAAACAGCTGCCTATATTTGTTCTTCAGAAGGAATAGGAAATAATTAGAGTTGCTAAAAAAAACGTTGATACATATAATTAGCCAGGTGTTCTAACATGTTGGAAAACCAAACTAATGAAAAGCAAACTGAAACAAACTATTAAATTAAACAAGCATGGCTTAAGGTATACAGGACCATTTGCATTTATCCACAAAGTAACCTATCAAATTATTATCAAAAATTGACTCTGATTAAAGAGCGTACACGTATCTCGGTACAGTGGTATAAATATTGAGTGTAATATTCACTGAGCTAAAAACTTCACCAGGTTAGGTTTTGAACATTCTTCTTGGGATTTTGAGTGGTGTTAAAAAAGGAAAAAAATTAAATGCATAAAAGCAAAGATCATAAATGTTCATTAGGTACATGTGTACATGTAACTCTTCCAAAAAGAAGAACGTCTTCTTTTCCAACTTTTAAGCATTTGTTTTTAAATTGAAAGTTTCAATCAGCTTTTTTATCAGCTGAATCATTGCGTATTACTTACTTTCACGTGTTGTTATCTTACCTCACAATTGATACAAATCCAAGAATTAGGACGCCTTCCAAAATTCCAGCCTAGACAGAAAAGATACAGACAGAGCAAATGAAATTAACAATTGACCTGTTTCGCCATCCAAATGAAAGATTTTTAAACAAATTAAATAATTCAAGAGAAGCGAAAAAGCAACAAGTACTGTTAGACCTAAAATTATTTCAAAAATAGAAGGCAGTGTATATTTGACTGTGAACTAGTCCCTGATTTTGTTTTTGTACTCTCGTACTGGCATTTCCGTTTGACATGAGCAGTCAATGTTTTTTTGGACTTGGACATTTTTACTGTGATGAGTCTTCATCTGATGCCATGCTTACATTGTCGATGTGACTTCGTATTCAGGAGATGGGAATCAGACCTAAAAGCAATTTCTGACATTACTTCCCTTAAAAAAATAATCCTCCAGACTCCAGAGCCACGAATCAAAAATTAAAGAGACAAAATATTCTGCAATAAAATGTAGGATTCAATTTAAAACAATAAAGAAAGAAAAGTCAACCATTACATGATGTACTTTAGGGGAAAAAAACAACCAAAAATTCACTCAGTTCAGTGACATAATTTATTATGTTATAAAGCATACTTGTATAAATGCACGTGCGCTGAGGAAGTGCCAGCATTTAAGCAATAAGAGCTGAAAAAATGTGTGACCGGTTCACAGTTCTTTTAACACAGTGGCTATTGTTACGGCAGCCATAAGGCAATTTTCAACTGCTATCGTTTGGTTCCCTGACCTAATAGTATTCAACGTCAAGATCTTTCGCTGTTGGAACCAGACTATCATTAAACCGAATGGTTCTCGGACTTTATTTTCCTTTTAGAAAAAAATCCTCCAAAGCCGAGGATTACGAAAAAAACATGAAAGTAACGAAAGCTTTATCCTGTTTATACTTATAGTATTAAAAAAAAAAAATAGCAGCACGGCAGCAAATTTGAACCCTGATCCCCGGCATAGTCGAATGTGTACGGTAACTATTCTAGCTACCGAAGGGTTCTGGTTGAACGAGTACTACATGTACTATAGATTTGCAATGGTGATTTTGCAATAGGCCTACTGTAACAATAGCAGTTGAAAATCGTGTTATGGCTGACCTAACGATACATTAACGACAGCCACTAGTCATGCTAGTACGTTCTTTTAACATCATAACATGTTTAACAACTTGTTCAATATTATTAACTGATTATTTAAGATGAACATTAACCTAAATTTGTAACTTATTTAGTCATGTAATGTCCTTCAGAGTTTTATCAAAATAAAGTTAACTTCATATTTACGTCAGGTAATTCGAAACAAAGGCATGCATATTGCAACTGGTCAAGCAGATTTTGAGCATGTTTACCGTTCTAAATGCGTATGGAAGTCCCAACCCGCCGGCTCCAACGAACGAGATAAAAATGTTGGCGAAGATTTTGATGGGATTCGTCGCTCCACCGCCGTCATGCATTTTGAGTTGATCCTGGAACAGATTTCAAGTAGAAAATTGATAAAACGTTCCTGTCAGTTGTGAAAATACTTTGTCACAAGTTACACTTCCACGACAACCTTGCCAGCATGGCACTTCTTCCGGTACGTTGACACTGTCGTAAATACAGGAATCACTCATAATCATATGCATAAACTACCTTTAAATATAGCGCCCTCTTCGGCCAATAGTTACACAGCTACAAGTCTGCAACCCAGCCCCTATTGCTGGTAAACGAAAGTGTAACAAGGAGAGAGACCTGACGATCTGTATTATTACGACATTCTGAAACACGTGAGATTTGTGTACATCGCAACTCACATTTTTCCCCAGTAATTATATGTTTGATTTTCAGAATTAAAGAACGAAAATGAGCGACAGGAACAGAAATCAACTCCCAAACAATCTGCCACAGTTGCAGAACCTCATCAAACGTGACCCACAGTCGTATATTGAGGAGGTTAGTAAACTAGTCTCAAAATGGGCCCCCATGTGTGTCGGAAATACCGTCCTTTCTGGATGGTCTAGTACATCGATGATGATATGAATTTGATTGACCAAGTAAAGATCTGAACATGCTGTAAAAGTTGCCAGCAACAGCATGACCAGTAACTTAGGAATGACAAATACTAATAGAATTTTTTTTTTCGCTTTGTTGTAGCCTATCAGGAAGATGTGATCAGTCATGTCAGTGGTGATCACTGATGCAGATTAAGAAAAAAACGTAGTTAGTGGCTATCGTCATATTCATTACGGCAGTGCTGAGTGCAGCCGTAACGCGATTTTTATATTGTTTATAATTATAGTATACGGCATTGCAAAACCAGCATTTCAAATCTTCACACATGACATTTATATTCTATATTTAATTTATATATAGGGCCTAGTAATAATTGCCAACCCAACCAGAGCGTTGTGGCGCACGCGCATGTATGGAAGCTTGATTGGTTGAACATCTTAAACACTGGACTAAACATGCCTAAGGTTCTGGGATCAGATCCGTCATGTCTGTGCTGCGTGAATTTTTTTCTTCTTTTTTTGTATATTCTTTTTAAATATTTTTCTTTACTTTTATCGTTTTAATCAAATCCTACTATTTACTTTGTAGTCGATTTCAATTTTTTCTTCGTGATCTGTGGCTTTGGAGGATTTTTTTTAAAGGGAAATCAGGTCTGAGAACCATTTGGTTGATAGTCTGGTTCTAAGGGCCAACATGGCCAAAGATTCTGACATTGGATATTGTCAGGTCAGGGAACCCGATGATCGACTGCCATAAATGATAGCCACTGCGTATATTTTTTATTGAGTGTACAATTACATTATAACCAAGTTCAACACATTTTTAAAAATACGATAAGGTCGTGAAGCTATGCATTGAAAACCTTTAAAACTATCTGTTAAACCATAAACGGACACGAATGTGAGACGAATGTGAGCAACGCCCCAAAAAATAAACTTCATTCACTTATTTTTTTTTTATCATTAATATGATAATTATTGTTTTCCTTCTCCAGTTCCTTCAGCAGTATCGCCACTATGAGTCCAACTTGCAGATTTTTCAGCTCAAACCGACTCAGCACTCCAAGAACCTGGCTGAGCTTGTCATGTTCTTCTGCCAGGTAAAAAGGAACTCACCAAAAGTATTCGTTTATTATTCCTGTCTTTAGTAATATTTTTTTTAAATCATCCTTTATTGTCGGATTAACCCTAATATTTTACTCTTCCCACATGTGCTACATGTACTCTCAAATATTCTCTAAGTAAATTTCAACTGAACAAGTAACTAACAAAAAAACAGGCTATTTCCTCGCTAACTATCGTAGAACGGAAAAAATTCCATGAACGTACGCCACTAGTTTTTCCCTGCTATGACTTATCAGCCATCAGAAAGCGGTAACATGTCCTAAAAAGTGAAATTCAGCAGAAAAAATATTGAAGCATTTTGTGAGAAAATACTTACAATTTTCAGACCAGTCTCATAGGGTTTGTACACAGGGTATCAAGTGACGTCCATATATGGAATTCTTTCCCATAGATCTTCCAAAGTCAGAAAGCTAATTTTGTAGGATCTTGATGGACTTGAGACATTACAGCTTAGCCAGTGTAACTTGAAGTTCCATTTTAGTCTACGTACTTACACTGTTTTGGATTCGGAAAAATGAGAAAGCTTATGATCAAAATCGGCGCGCAAGTAGAATTAACAGGTTTGTCTTGTCTTTTACTGATCTCATAGGTGTCGCAGTGTTACCCAAAGGAGCTAGCCGGGTACCCACAGCAGCTGATAGACCTGCTGCAGAGGCATAGCACAGTCTTGGACCCAGACATGCGAATGGTATAAAAGAAACTCAGGCTGTGTCCGAAACGGGCTTCCAGAGCTACGGCTACGTCTATTGTCAGCACGTCCCTGCGTATTTTCAATGGGCGCAGACCTAGACCTAGCTCTAGACAGCTGATTCGGATGCAGCCTTACTGTCTCCTTTTCGTGGATGAAATTCAATGCCTTCATTTCAAATTTAACTTTCATTCAACTGAAAAGCTTCATCCAATTCGCATTTAGATTTTCTCACAGTACCATGCTAAAACCTGCTGTATCCACCAAATCTCTCGAGCCAAAAAGTGACTTTTGTTTCTGTTCTAATTAACAAAAATCGGCAGCATTTGCTTCGGGGATGCAATGAAAATCCTCACAAGTCCTAACAAGTCAATTACAACGTACACACACGTCATCCTGTTTCAAGTCAAGGAACGATGAACTGTGCGAAAGTTGTGTTCAAGTCAAAGTTGTTCATTGTTCAGCATCTGTTACTTAGGACCTGAGTTGTGATTGAGTTGTGATTGACAACAACCTTGGGATTGATGACCTTTTTTGGACACTTTGGTGCTTTCAAGTTTTTACTTCGACAATTTGTAGTAAAGTTTCACAATAAGCAAAACCTGGTGTGACTGAGTTTAACCTGTGAGTCCCTGTACCGCTTCAAACCACCCTGCCCGTTACTCCCTGCACCGCCAAAAAACTACCTAAGCACTTGATGGTTTTAAAGATCTCTCATTTGTACATTTTAATACATTGTAGTATTGGTGTGTTAAAAAGAGTTGTTCATGATAGTTGAATGCCATTGATGATTGTGTAGCATCATATTTTCTTTCTTTCATCAATTAAGACGTTTTGCAAAGGCTTGATCCTGCTTCGCAACAAGGGACTAATTGAGCCCACCAGCCTCCTGGAGCTGTTCTTTGAGCTCCTCCGTTGCCAAGACAAGCTTCTCAGGAAGATGCTGTACCATCATCTCGTCAACGACATCAAGAGGATCAACAAGAAGCACAAAGACAATAGAGTCAATACGGTGAGTTATCATTCTTGGGTGAAGATTGTTCCGTTGAAGGCAGCAATCAGAAATTAACAGACTGTAGTTTGAGGATTTCAGAGAAGAGAATTTCAGAGGATTTGCGAATGATGTGCTGTAAGAAAGTGGATAAAGAGAATACGTTTTACCACTGATGGAGCACAAAATTGGTGTATTTGAATGATGTAACAGACAGTTTGTATAGCACTTTTGTTGTCGCTTTTGTTTTGTTCACTAGCCGCTGTCGGAGGGTCAGGCGGTGCGTTGGGTCACATGTGCGCTAACCTAGTTCTTTTGTCTGGCTAGTAGCGCGCGGTCCAGAAATAGGCTCTATAAATGCTTAAGTGGGTTTCATTTGTTCAGACACACGGGAAGGGTTTGGCTAGACACCGGGGCTAAAGTTGTTACAATGTAATACATTTTGTGAAGCTGTGCTTGATTGCTTGCCTATGCTGGGAATCAGCAGTTGCAGTTCTGATGGCAGTGCGGCGAGTTGACCGCAGAGTCCGTTTGGCGAACTAAATAAGAGCTTCCTTTTGAGTTTAATCCTGTGTGTGAGTCCCCTTTTCTTGCATTTTGCTCGACTTGGAGGACAAGAGCCCAATAGGTTCCAGCTACAATGTCATATGTTATGCACATACTTGGCTCACTCTAACGTAAAGAAAGAGTACTCAAATTAACATCTTTTGAGTTATATCTTTCAGTAACTTTTAAAAAAAGTTAGACCTACCAGTCATTATTTTTGTTTTTGTGACTTTTTATGCCCCGCGGCGAAGCCGAAGGGGCATACTGTTTCCGCCTTGTCCTTCCGTGGGTGGGTGTGTGGGTGGGTGTGTGGGTGGGTGTGTGGGTGGGTGGGTGTGTGTGTGTGTCCGGACAAATCTTGTCAGCGCGATAACTTGAGAAATACTTAACATATGAACTTCAAATTTGGTTTGTGTATTGCTCTTGGTAATCCTAAGAAGCCTTTTGCATTTGGGGCCGAAAGGTCAAGGGTCAAGGTCACAGTGGCTGAAACAATAGAAATTTTGTCAGCGCGATAACTTGAGAAATACTTTACATATGAACTTCAAATTTGGTTTGTGGATTGTACTTGGCAATCCTAAGAAGCCTTTTGCATTTGGGGCCAAAAGGTCAAGGGTCAAGGTCACAGTGGCTAAAACAAAAGAAATTTTGTCAGCACGATAACTTGAGATATACTTTACATATGAACTTCAAATTTGGTTTGTGGATTGTTCTTGGCAATCCTAGGAAGCCTATTGCATTTGGGGCCAAAAGGTCAAGGGTCAAGGTCACAGTGGCTAAAACAAAAGAAATGTTGTCAGCGTGATAACTTGAGATATACTTTACATATGAACTTCAAATTTGGTTTGTGGATTGTTCTTGGCAATCCTAAGAAGCCTATTGCATTTGGGGCCAAAAGGTCAAGGGTCAAGGTCACAGTGGCTAAAACAAAAGAAATTTTGTCAGCACGATAACTTGAGAAATACTTTACATGTGAACTTCAAATTTGGTTTGTGGATCGTTCTTGGTAATCCAAATAGGCCTATCGCATTGGGGTCGAAAGGTCAAGGGTCAAGGTCACAGTGGCTAAAACAATAGAAATCTTGTATTTATCCTGAGATCATAGGGATTAGGGATTAATTCATATAAAACCTACAGAAGACACTAATGCTGTCAATGAACGTTCCATGTGACCAAGGTACATGTACATGTAAGTTGATGTTAAAAGAGTGGTGTTATGTCATAGGAACAGTCACGGTTGCGGGGCATTTGTGTTTGTAAACACACCTGACTTGTTTATTAATGTTTTGTATTTATTTGACAGACTCTGCAAAATTTCATGTACACTATGCTGAGGGAGAGCAACGTAGCTGCTGGGAAGATGTCACTGGATGTCATGATAGAACTGTACAGGAAAAATATCTGGTGGGTACCTTACAACTTCCTATTTTACAAAGAGTAATCTGTTATCCCCCAAACTAATTTAACTTCTGTGGAGTTTGCAAGTGTGATTTTAATTTCATTATAAAGGAAAGTTGACTGATGCAGAATTTGAGCAAAATTATCCGTAATACATTACTGACTCTTTAGTAAGTGTTTTTGTTCCTACAGAAATTTATCAAAACTGAAACTTCTCAGTTAATCATGATTTGGTCTTGAGTTGTCCTGAACCCTTTTCTTTTTTTTTGTTCATCTGTTGCAGGCGAGATGCCAAGACAGTTAATGTCATTGTTACAGCTTGCTTCTCAAAAATAACCAAGGTGAGTGGTTTTCTAATGGTTGGACAAGTTTAACATTTCCTGAATTGTTCTTTCGATTTTATTTTTAAAAAACTACCTTAAAGACTAGACCAGCCCTTTCAAATTTTCAAGTTGACCTTGGGCCTTTACTCGTCTCCCAACATTCCAAAGAGTATGTCTACCAACAAATTAATGTACATGTAGCCTTCACCTCAATTTGCATTTGGTCTTGTGGTTGTCGAATCTTGCATAAAAATAATAATAATTTGGGTTTTTTTGTGTGGAATAGATTGTTGTGGCGGCTTTGAAATTTTTCTTAGGCACTAATGCTGAGGAGGACGATGATAGCGATAGTGATTCAGATGTGAGTACAATCATTTGAATAATTTAACCACCAACCCCCCCCAAAAAAAAAATTAATGATGATTCACCTTGAACAGACATCTAGTGAATATTGTTGTTAGTAAAAAGTAAAGTCTGTGACCAGGCAATACGGCCCATCAAGCTGACATTTATTTCCAGTTTCCTTGGCATAAAATGGCTGAGAATATTTGTAATCTCCCTGGATGGGATGCTAGTCCATCGCAGGTTACTCCCAGGTAATGCCGGTACTTATTTATACTCCTGGCTGGAGAAACACGAGTATGGGTGAAGTGGCTTGCCCAAGGACACAACATATGACTTGGCCGGTATTAAACAAATATGTTTAAAACTAGCTTGGGACCTGGTTGTAGGTTTTAAACATACATGTTTAATACCGGCCAAGCTTGGTGGAGAAACCTGAGTATGGGTGAAGTGGCTTGCCCAAGGACACAACATATGACTTGGCTGGTATTAAACAAGTATATTTAATACTAGCTTGGGACCTGGTTGTCGGTTTTAAACATACTTGTTTAAAACCGGCCAAGTGCACATTTATTCCCTAGTTGAAAAGTTAACATTTTAAAACTTACATTGTACAGGATGACGCGCCCAATCAGAGAACGTTAATGATGGCCCAACGCGTCAACAAGAAGACCAGAAAAAGGCAACGGAAAACTCAAAAGGCTCTCAAAGTCCTCAAGGTATGACTAAAATTTGGTTAAGAATGTCGATAAGTGCTTTGGCATGATTGGAAAAGGTTAATAAGAACTCAACAGTTGTGTTAGAGAAAAAAAATTACAGTGAATGTATGTGGTATCTCACATTATGCCAGAAAATGCAAAACAGGGCAAAATTTCATTTTGCAGTCCAAAAACAATGCCTATTAAAATATTGCAGGTAAAAAAAAAGGCCTAGCAGACAATGAGAAGAAATTACAGTTTTAGAGGTGGGAGGAAAACCCCAGACGAATATTCAGGGGAAAATCCACGTAATCAGGCAGGGACTGAAAACCCAATCCATGTATTGGCCCAGGCAGGATTCGAACCCGGGTCACAGCGGTGGAAGGCGAGGAAAGTACTGCTATGCCAACCTGACTCCCCACGCCAACCTGACTACCTTATGTCCTTAATTCCTAGGTTAAAAAAGTTTAAGCCAGTTACAAACAAAAGATATTACATGACATATTGGCATAACCGTTTGTGCTAAGCAACTGTTTTCTATGCTTAAAACATTTCTTTGGCTGAGACAAGTCGTTTAGCCTTATTGTTGTATGTAGAATGGTTTTGATGTGGAATAAATAGTGTTTGCTAGCTCCATGTACATTGCACATGTATACATGTACTACATCATTCACAGACATCTCAAGCCCTATCAATGACTCGACCTTTTGTTTTGGTAACACTTACAGAAAGACAAGAAGAAAAAGAAAGCCGTCTCCTTCAACTTCTCGGCCTTGCACCTGATTCATGATCCACAAGGTGAGTATTATCAACCCTGACACTTTTGAAGGAATGAGGGAAGTAGAGCTCAGTCCACTATTACTTTACGTGGGCTTTATCCCTCACAAGTTTAATTGAACGTTTGGATGAGGTGCAAAAATATTAATTTAGGCTCTTACATGCTTACAGAAGAATGGCCTGGAGCCGATTTCACAAAATGTTAAGACGCATCTTAGGAAGGGTAACTCGTCTTAACTCGTGACTCATCCTAGGATCGATTTCACCAAACTTAAGATGCGTTCAACATGTCCTAACTTCCTTAGCAATGCGGCTGAATTCGTCTTATCTTAAGATCTTTCTGAGGGTCGTCTTATCGCATTAATGGGTGCATTAATTTGTATATCGTCTGGAAATCATTGCCGTTAAAGACGAGTGTCGGCCTACAGTTATAGTCGAGGAAGAAAACTGTTGTAGAAATAGATTTGAAAAGATTTCTGATAGGTGGGTTGTTTGAAATAAGTATAGCTTATTTAGAAAATTTAGTTATACACCAACACCTAGTCGACTTTTTGAAATAGAGTAATGAAACGGGGAGCAAGAATGACTCTATCGCATCTTGTGTAGAGCTACCTTACTTGTGAAATTTATTGAGTAGAGTAATTTTTCTGGCGAAAGTTTGTGTTCTATGCATGCATGCAGGAAGTTGGGTTTGTGCGTTGCTTTTTCAACCACTGTTTCGTTAAGCAGTAACAACAAACATGAAACAGCCATCAAATTGGTAGTTTTGATGCGTCTTGCTTGAGATGGGTTTAGTGAATTGGTCTGAGGATGCGCGTCTTAGCTAGGATTGATCTTAGGGCGGGGATTTGTCTTAAGTCCTAAGATGAGTTGCATGATAAGACGAGTTTCTGTCTGAGGACGCCTCTTAGCTAAGATCCATCTTAGAGTTACAGCGGGGACTCGTCTTAAGTCCTAAGATGAGTTGCAAGATAAGACCAGTTTCGTGAAATCGGCCCCTGTTTCAGTAGGCAACATGATGGAACATGGCATATCCAATGTGGGAGTAGATACTGCAAAAACTGATGAGATTTTTTGGGGGGCATTATTTGTAGTGCTCAGAGTTTCCATAGAGCCTGAGAAGAATGTAGATTAGATGGAACTTGATAACCCCGACAGTACTCGAACCCACTAGGAATTGGATATCAACGAATGGCCAGTCAAGAATTTCAAATCATAGTTGTTGTTGGACATGAAAGGCGAGCCGCTACAGCCTTCTACCCTGTCCGATTTTGACCAAATTCCTTATTGAAATCTCTCCTCTTCAGACTTTGCCGAGAAGCTGTTCCGTCAGCTGGAGTCGTCCAACGAGCGGTTTGAGGTCAAGCTGATGATGATGAACCTGGTCTCCCGGTTAGTGGGAATCCACGAGCTGTTCCTCTTCAACTTCTACCCCTTCCTGCAACGGTTTGTCCAGCCGCATCAGAGAGGTAGACGCTCATATTTCTAATAAGTAAACTTGATAAGCCAAAGTTTGTGGTCTGTGGCTTTCGACAGAATTGTCAAATCTGCTTACCCTGAAAGAGAATTCTACTATTTTGTAATCTGAGGCTTTTGATGGAATTTTTCTAATATTTTTATGCTGAAAATTCGTTGTGCACATTTTGTCACTCCTGGAGCTGGATTATTCGTTATATTTATGCAGTTTTACATAATTTTGTTAATAGGTATAATAATCATAATTTGTTTAACGTTTAGTTTTGCTCTTCACCAAAATTGATTGGCAAAACCCAATACGGAAATTTCCATGAAAGATATTTATTTGCTGGGTTTTTTTTTTTTGCCTGATTTCCAATTTGAATTTGCTTGTGTGAATTTCTTATTTGGTCAAGTGACCATCTTTACCAAAGCCAAACAAAAATGTTCTTTATAAATTTCTTCATGAAATGAAATAGAGTAGCCACCCTCACCAATTTTACTTTGGAGCGAAGAAAGTTTTAGTTTTAGTTTCTTTCTTTAGTTTTCGGCTTGTTCTTGTGATTATGGCTTCTCAGAGTTTGTCTTGTGCAGTAAAGTAATTCCTTTCAGACCATGGCTTTTGAAACAGAGATATCATTCCCGATCTATAATAATAATAATAATAATAAAGGCATTTATATGGCGCTTTATGTAAAAATACCTCAAAGCGCCTCACAATAAAAGCTATAAATAGGCAATGAAAATATTAAAATAAAAATATAAAAGTTACTTAAAGTGCTACAGTGACAAGTACTAAAACACAGCAGCAAACGAAACTATCAACCACTTAATCTTGAATTCATCACAAGTTTCTGTTTTTGTTTTGCCATACCCCAGAGGTCACCAAGATCCTTCTGTTCGCTGCCCAGTCCACCCACCAGCTTGTCCCTCCAGACATCATAGAGACCCTGGTCAGAACCATCGTCAACAACTTTGTCACCGAGAGAAACTCCAATGACGTCATGGCTGTCGGGTAAGGCTTGCATCCAAATTACAATGGCTGTGGCTAGCAATAACACATGTGTCTATGGGATGTGGAGTCAGCCGCTTCCATAGGCGCATCTGTAATCCCCAGCTGTAGCCATCTAATTCAGATGCGGCTTATGTTTCAAACGTGTAAGCCATTTCTGAAACCTTGGCTGTGATTCCAGCTTCGCGCTCTGGGCACTGACTTGATTGATTTGTGGCATTCAGACTTGAGAGACTGTGGCAATGCATGTTCTTTGCCGCTACAGGAACCTGAAGTCCCTTTTGTCCATTTTGTTGTAACATTAAAAGCAGAGTTGCAGTTGAAACAATCACAAGTCAAAACAAAGTCAAGAGACACGATGGCAAACATGTCCTTGTTACAGTTCATATGAAGATGTGATGATGACTTGGGATAACTTGATGAGAGTTCGATGACAAGATTATGTAATAGGCTTTATAAGCTCCTTATATTGCTCCAGACCAGAGACTAAACCGAAACTGCAGAGTAATCCAAATTTTCAAAAATGGCCCAACATCAAACTTGTACAATTTTAGATGGTTCTTGTACACACAAAAAACTCGCATGCTATGAACTCCACATAGAAACCGTAGATGGCGCATTGTAATCTACCCACGAGAACCACAAAACGATAAAACTGCGAGTTGAAATTTGGAAAGAATTTGTGTGAACATTATGGATGTACGTGTTCTACATAACCCCCGAGGACCGACACACAAAGGGAGAACAACAGATCCTTTCAGTCCTCGGGAGTTTGGTCTTTTGTTGGAAACGGTCCTCTGTAGTAAGTTTGTGTGCTTAGTCTGTAGGAGAGTGTTATATTACAGGGACAAAGGGAAACACAAAGCATTGTCCTCGAGTGTATAGTAAAACAAGAGTGTATGTTTTTTTAGTGTACATGAGAACTTGTGTAATTCTTCTCAATGATTGCTGGAGTAAAACTCCTTTTAAAGCCACATTTTTGTTTTGCAGCCTGAACGCGGTGCGGGAAATCTGCAGTCGTTGTCCCCTGGCGATGGGCGCGGACCTGCTCCAGGACTTGGTGCAGTACAAGAGTTACCGCAACAAGGCCGTGGTGTCTGCGGCCAGGTCCCTCATATCGCTCTTCAGGGGCATCAACCCGGAGATGCTGCACAAGAAAGACAGGGTGAGTCAGGGAGATGATCTATCCAGACTTCTTGTCAAATCAGATAACATTATGAGTCCTGACTACTTCACAAGTCAAATCATAAAATAAGGTCCAGGGTTGAACTATAACAAAGGAATATGCCATTAAACCGAGCATTATGTTTGGCCTTTTCTTTTTATCAATATGGTATTTTTCATAAGGCGGCAGCAAACCCTATGCCTCAATCTATAACAAATTAGCTCAAGTTGTCTACTGACACTCATTCAAATGGACCATGTTTTGTCAACCGTAAACTTGAAAAATTGACTCTCCGTGGCAAACTCTTGATGGCGCACTCCATTGTGGATCATCCGAATTCCTGATAAACTCAGTGGAAAGAATGTCTCTTCTGCAGTCAGCACAAGTTCTCTGCTAATTGTTAAGCAATTTCATGATATTGGATTATGCAGGTTCTGTACATTGATTTTTTCCCTCCATCTTTCAATCTCAGGGCAAACCAACTGAGCACAGCAGAGAGATCAGAGCCAAGGAGTACGGTGAGCTGGTGGCCCAGGACTTTATTCCGGGCGCTGAGGTGCTGAAAGATCAGACTGGAGAAGAAGGTTAGTCCTAAAATTTGCATGTTGGACTCAAAGGCAAGATTGTTTGCAGTGCATCATTGGAAGAAGTCTAAATCTGCTTATAGATGTTGCCAGATGGTCTCTGCATCAATTTTATTTTTTTGGGCCGTTCAAAATCACCCACGTGATGAGCCCTCGACTAATAGGAATAGGTCAGATGGAATTTTTTTTGCTTTTTTTTGAGTCGGGGTGATGTTAATCAAACTAGGTTTTGCCCTTCAGACATCTGCACTAGAAAGCAGAGGGTCATGGGTTCGAGTCCCACCCGATCAATTTTTTTCCAACTTTCACTCGGGAGGTAACACACTGAGTAAACAGTGTTTATACGTCAGTGAAGGGCAAAACCTAATTTGAGGAATAGGTAAACTGTCTCAGATATTTATGAATATGGTTTATTGATAATCACATCTGTACATTGCAAGTTTGGAGTGCTTTCTAAATTCTTGTATAGAAAGGAACATTGTGGAATTTTTTTTTACTTAATAGAAAACGAAGACTCGGAGGAGAGCGATTCCGATGACAGCGAAGGAGGCTGGCATGATGTTGTTCATTCTAGCGACGAGGAGACGGAGGGAAAAGAAGATGAAGAAAGCAATCCCGCTGAGAGCTTAACGGCCGAGGAAAAGAAAGCCAGAGCCACAGCCATAAGCCAGACCAGACTGCTCACACAGCAAGACTTTAAAGTAAGGTTTGAAAATGGATATTTTTGCTTGTTACTGATCTTCATAGGCTCAATTTCAAGGAGCTTGGCCATTCTATAAATTAGGGGTCCACTTTTTTTGTCCTGTCCCTGTTACATCTGGCATCTATAAATTTTTGTTCATAAGATGGAATTTGCGTCGGGGTGATGTAAATTCAATATCTTGTTTTGCTCTTCACCGGCGTAGTTTATAAATAAAAACTGTGTACTCAGTGTTGCCCTCCAGTGATTGTGAGAAAAAAATCCATGACCTCCTGCTTACTAGTACATACATCCTTTTACTTGACCACCGAGCTGGCCGGGACCGGGTGACTGGTTTGAATCAGGTATCAGGCATGCAACTTTTTTTCAGATCAGCTGATTTCCTTTTCTTTTTTTTGACTTGCCATTCGTGCCATTGTAAATAGAAAAACACTGTACAAAGTCTTGGAAAGATTTGAATTTCCTCTTTTTTTGTGACTTCCCAGTTGCATGCCTGAGATATAGATTCTTTTAATTCCGATGCACCACTTAATGCAGTCGTCCTCCAAGAGTGATTATGAATAACAAACTACCTATCCAACAAATAAAAAATCATTTGAAGACATGCTTTAATGATGCTTGAATGGCTGATTACAAAGATTGACTAAATGGGGAGCCGCCAACATAGGGCTGGATAATTCAGTTGGTAGAGCACAGGTACGGTAATCTGAGGTCGCAGGTTCAAACCCTGTTTAAGTCAGTTTCTTGTTCAACTTTGATTTTTTTTTATAAGGACATCAAAGTGCACCAACTGTCCAAGCAACTGGAGGGATCCAAAAGCAACAAGCGAGGAACTAAAAGGAAACATGTGGAAATAGACGACGAAAAAAGGTAACAGACGTCGCATCACTTCAAAATGGAACTGTTTTGCTGACCAGTTTTTATTACAAAACTGTATTGTTTGATTTGTTACCTTTCGTTTGAAAGTTGTGTTGATTTATTTTGTCTTTTTATCCGTCTAGTGGTGAAGTGTTGTCACTTAATAGAATTGAGGGAATCAACAGTAGGCCGAGACATGACAAAGAGGCAAGACTAGCTACCGTTATGGTAAGAAAAATCAATTCTCCCCCCCCCCCCCCCCCCCCCCCCCCCCCCCCCCGTAAAAAAGAATAATGGCAGCCTCTCTCACAACTGTCAGGACAGTCTAAGACTGATATGTACAGACGGTGTTGGATATTCCTGAAAAATAGTATACCTGGTTTTTTTTGTTTTAGGCCGGCCGGGAGGGAAGGAAAAAGTATGGATCTAAGAAAGGTCGGATGAACCCCAATGCCAGCACCACCAACAAGGAGAAGAAGAAGAAGAAACCCTTCATGATGGTCAAGCAGAAGATTGGTGTCAGGGTCAAGACGAAAAGGTCGTTCCGCGATAAACAGGTAAAAAGCAGTTGCTTTCATATCTTTCCCCTGTAGACCAATCTGGGCATGCAATCAATTCTATCACGAAGGCCCCCTTCAATGGCGAAAGCATTGTGCTAGCTATTGTTCAGATAACCCATCGTGGAACAGTTGCATTGAGCAATAGCTAGCACAATGCTTTACAAGACTTGTCATTGCATGAACAGTAGATCATGCTTCACTTGTGATTTACTTGCGACTGGACTTGTGATTTACTTGTGACTAGACTTGTGATTTACTTGTGACTGGACTTGTGATTTACTTGTGACTAGACTTGTGATTTACCTGTGACTGGACTTGTGAGTGACTTGTGACTGGACTTATGATTTACTTGTGACTGGACTTGTGATCAACTTGTGACTGGACTTGTGATTTACCTGTGACTGGACTTGTGATTTACTTGTGACTGGACTTGTGACTGGACTTGTGACTGGACTTGTGACTGGACTTGTGATTTACTTGTGACTGGACTTGTGATTTACTTGTGACTGGACTTGTGATTTACTTGTGACTGGACTTGTGATTTACTTGTGATTTACTTGTGACTTGGCTTGGTATTTACTGTGACTAGACTTGTGACTGGACTTATGGCTCAATTCATCTACATCCTTGTCCTCGACAACCTCTTCCAACAGCCCCCAAGTTGTTCTGAAACTTTGTTTCTTTTTCTTACAGATTGCGCTCAGGGATTCCCTCTTGAAGAAACAGAAACGGCACTGAGCCTAACTCACGCAGGCTCAGCCTTCCCTACCCAGGACAGCTGGTGATTGATACCGTGCCGCATCACATCACTGCTTGTCACAGCCTTCCCTACCCAGGACAGGTGGTGATTGACGCTGTGCCGCATTAAATCACTGCTGCTCACATTTGAACAATTAGTTTGCAACCTGAGGTATTACCCACAGCAGCAAGGACCTGATGAATATCTATGCCAGTCGAGACGAAGATTTTTAACCGAGCAACTTTGCTGTCACATCCAAAGAACTCCACTACTTTTTTCATGTATTTAAAAATGCAAGATTTGGGTCTCGGCAATTCAGGTGATGCGTCCCGTTTTCTGCTCAAATTTGGCGACAAAGCCTGTTGTATTTTGAACTCTGGCAGCAGAGCTTCTATAAGTCACTCCGGTGTCAGTTGATCGGTTGGTCGGTCCACCAAAAAAATTGACCAAAAACGAACCCCCTAACTCACCCATAAAACTGTTAGTACCAACTTGTAACTGTCCAAAAAGCAAACAAAGTACATTAAATACTTGACAAAGATTGTTTGTGTGGGCTACAAACTAAGGAAGTTAGGGGGCTTCCATACACCTGTCACTATACATCACCCCTGCCTCTGGCCCTGTGTCATTATTACGGGTCTCAGGGCGTACAAGTGAGGATACAATTGCATTATGAAGGTCACTGTTATTTTGCATTGTGACTTTCAACAACATGGGAAATTCTTACTTCAATTGACAATCACGACTAAGTGAGTAATTGTATAATTTCATGCAAGACGGCCAGAGCTTATCGTGCATTCGAACTTTTTTTTTAAACTATGACCTGACACAGTAAATGCTCCTCTAGAAAATGAAGACCACCAATCACTGTGCCTCCTCCCCTAACGGTTTTTCTTTAACAAAATGCAAAACACTGCCATCAAATCTCCATCAGACACCTCACAATAAAAACAACACGTAGTTCTTCACAATTTTAGTTTATGCATTTTAATGCATATTTATTTCAAAAAAACAAAGGCTTTAATAGTGACTTTTGTACAAGTATAATTGAATGCATTTCAGACCTGATATGTTCCCTTTCAAGAACTTACAAATAGTTTTGTTGGCCTGATTTGAAGAAGAAAAAAAAACATAATGAATAAGTTTTTAAAAAAATGTACGACCAGGAATTGTCAAGAAAGCCAATGAAAGTCGTAAAATGCGCCTTACGTGTACATGTACAGGCGTTTATTTGTTGGCAAAATTTCTGCTGGCAAAATCTAGTAACTATGGTCATAATAGGGTCTTCGAGAAAAGTATTTGCTTCAACTTTTAGTCACAGTATTTAACTGAATTTATTACAACATATTTGTTGTACTGTATCATTTTTTTTTTTAAGATGAGCCAAGCAAATTATATTAAAATACTGGTTGTTCTTTCGACAACCCTCCAATTTTCCCACAATTTTATGAGTACATTTGGTGGGTTGAAGAATAAACTTGAAAGTAATTTTAAATCAATTTATCTGCCATGTGAATTTATTTATATTTTTATAGCCATTATTTCAAACAGCACATTATTCTTTCATTTGTAAAAATTAAATAAAATGTACCCAAAATGGAAAAAGGTATTACTAACTGAAATTAACCATCAAATTCTTTATCAAGCACGTAAATTTGCTTTTGTTATTGAAGGTCTTAAACACTTTTTTAATTCTACTTTTTTTTATTTAGGGGGGGGGGGGTTGAATATAGAGGGGAGGGGTGGGGGAGAAGGGGGGATATCTGGGAAGTACGTAGGGGCCTTGAGTTACTAAAAAAAAATAAAAAAAAATTGCTGGTAACACCTCACACAAACGAACAACTGGAGTGAATAAAAATGAGAAATTAAAAAACCCTATTCCCTTTTTGTACCAGTTCACATCGGATGACGTGTATACACGCAAAGATTTTGCATTATTCGGTATGGATGACGGATAAACGCGCAAAGAACGAGGCCAGAAATATCTGTCTGCGACCCGCTCGCAGCGAGCGAGGCCAGAAATATCAGGGTGTGCTACCCGCAGATGACGGCCTGACCCGTCCAGCATCGAGGTTTGTGAAAACAATCCCGCGCCTGGGTCAGGTCGATGTGAAAATAATCCCTGCGCGGCCTTGTCAACATGCAGCACGTGTTCCTGCATTAAGATTATCGTTAGTGCGCAGATGTGTTTTCTTTCTTCCTGCTTTACGCCTACAAGCTCCATGACAAAAATGTGGATGTATTGGCCATTTAATAACCCAATAATTTTACAAGATCTTAAAAAAGAGCTTTGACAGCTGTGACAGTGGTAATTATTTTTGAAGGACATAATTTATTTAACTGTCAGTCAAAATGTATGCAGTGTAACCAGATAAAATACAATGTCATTTTGGGGAGGATAACGGTACAAAATGACCGGTCCTCAGCGTTGGTTGATTTTGACATTAACTCCCTGCACTTTAATCCAGGAGTAAGTCAAATCAGCCAACGAAGAAAGACTGGTCATTTTGCCCTTGGCTATTGTTATAACCAAGTCATCAAAAGTCGTCACAAGTCATCACAGGCCGTCCCGTCTCAAGCCAAGTCACAAGCTAGTCAAATAATTAGTGACAAGGGCAATCCTTTGTCAAAGATCGTTCCCTGTAACCCGTCGTGTGACCTGGCTTGTGATTGGACCTGTGACTGACTTGTGATCTGACTTGTTACGAGCTCACATCCCTGCATCCCCCAAACCAGAGCTGTAATTAAGTCATCACAAGTCATCACAGATCATCACAAGCCATCACAAGCCTATTCAAATGAAACGTGACGGAGGCATTCCTTTGGCATTGTTATCCCTTTGACTTGACTTGTGACCTGGGCCCAATATCACGGCGCTGCTTAACAGCCAACAGAGAAGTTGTGCTTAGCATAGCAGAACAATTTGCTAATCTTAAGCACTATTTCACGGCGTGGATATGTACTAACGGTCATGCGTGCATGGAGATTTCTATTGTTACGTCACTAAGTTAAGCAATTTTTTTCTCTGAAGCAAACGTGCCCTTTGCTATGCTTATGCTCACGGTCTCCATAAAATAGATGGAGGCTCTGTTAGCAGAAAATCGTGTGCTCAGCAGCGCCGTGAAATTGGGTCCTGACTTGTGAACGACTTGTGAACGACTTGCAATTGATGTTGTTCATGTCTGCTGCCATCTGTTGACGATTTTTAGAAAACACTCAACAGGGCAAAGACGCCGTACAGCAGAGCGCACGGGTAGGCCACCAGGAGCTGCTGGGAGTCCATGGCCAGCTCCGTCACAAAGAGCTTGGAGGCCGAGAGGCTGCACCAACCGATCGTGACTAAAGTTGCTATCGTACCAACCACACTCCTGCGGAAAAGATATCAAGAATGACAACTTGGATTAATGACAAGGGGCTTATTCAATAACCTGTATGATTTAACACTGTATTACCATTCATTGCTGTAACGTGCTCTGGGTCAAAGTAAAAGTCAAGTCTGTCAAGAGTAAATATGACCCATCAGGCTGGTTTCCGTGGCAAGAAACGACTGAGAATAATTCTATTCCCCCTGGATGGGATGCCAGTCTATAACAGGCTACTCCCAAACTAATGCTGCTACCCATTTACACTCAAGAGCGGAGAGAGGCAAGTGGGGTGAAGTGGCTTGCCCAAGGACACAACATAATGACCAGCAGCTAGATTTGAACCCCTGACCCTCTGATTATGAGTCACGAACCCTAGCCACCAGGCCACATTCCCCCTAACCTCTGGGTCAAACCAAACTTCAATGACTATTCGGGAAAAAAACTTACTCTAATGGGAACACGATGGCCAGGCAATTGAGCAGTACCATAGGGAGTAGGCAGTAGCCCAAGACACTGATGATGCAGCCCACAGCCACGCCCGTCAGGCTCATCAGGTTGAGCAGCATCCACATGGCCAGGCAGCCCAGACCGCCGATGCCGTAGATGTAACCAAACTGCACCTTGCCCGCCTATGTGTGTGAGAGACAAAGAATGAATAAAAGTCCATGTCTCGTCCCAAACTGCCCTACCTTTTTCTCCCCGTACCACCCCCAAACCTCCCCAGCAATGTACGACTTGTATGGATTCATCTGGGACTCAATTCAATGTAATTCAATTTAGTGCAGGTGGTAATGGATTAACCTCAACTCTCACCTCACTTTTTTCTAGGTACTTCCCTGTGTACTACTGGAATTCTCAACTGTGCAGAAAACCAATGGCACACTTTTTTACATTTTTTTTTAATTTTAGAGGGATTCAAGCTCAATGTAATAAAATAGTGACTGGTTCTATCTTCCTCAATCCAGTTGAATCTGACCCCCCCCTCCCCCGCGGTGGATTAACCCTCCCTATCTGCCAGGCAATTTCAACAAGGCCAGCCCAGCAGTCAAATAAATCAAGTGACTGTTTTTAACAGTTATCATAACGCAGGATTGACTGGCTGTGATTGTTTGACTGTAGGTGATTGATAAGCCAGCTGTGCCTAACAGTTCTTGCATTTGTCTGTTGATGGAATTGGACTAGTCACAGAATAGGCTATGGGCCGAACCCCCAAAAGTGCTCTAGAAATAGGAGAATGCTACATCCTAAGGGGTGAAGGGTAGAACTATACACACAAATGTGGGGATATGATTTGACTGTGTAAAAGGCATGGCAGGGGAACAGGACTGAACTTTTGACTGTATGTGACTGATCAAACAAAAGGAGGGTAAGAAAAACATACACATTTTCGTTACTCACGTTACGAAAATGTAACGTGAGTAACCAATTTTGTGCGTCTTGTTTATCATACATAACACATTTTCTGGATGTCATCTTTGGTGCTTAGGTAGGTCTAGGTCTACTCTATCTACCATGGGGATAACAGTTATTAAACCTTTTCAGTAAGGTAATTACAGCCCAAGGAAACTCAAAAGTACATCAAAAATGTAACGTGAGTAACCGTGGAATTGCCCCTATTCATCTGTACCTTTGTCATCTATTACATCTGCCACTTAGATGGACTTCATTGGCAAATGTAGAGAACTTAATACAAAACATCAGGAAAATCCTGTAAATTCAACAAAAGCAGGTTGTAAGGTAAAAGTTTGTTCTTACCAGTAAGAGAGTGCCACCAAATGCCAATGCAAACACCAGGGGTCCCGCCAGGTCACTGTCGTGGATGGCTGCAGGGTCTGTTTCCCTCAGCGGGTTCAGGACAGTCAGTGTCTGGGCAAGGAACAAACAAAAAATGAGAAGTTAATGTTTGGGTTGTTACAGACTCCATGCAAGAACTACAGCTGGTGCTGTGTTGGCTGCGCATGAGATACAATGAAGGACAGATTGCAGGTGTTTACGGCACAGATTGCATGCATTTAATTAAGGAGTAATATAAGTTGGCAGATATTATACTCACCTTTTGGTAGATGTGTTCAAAATTTATTCCAAGTTCTGAAGAAAAAAAGGAAGAGAGAATTGGATTAATATCATATAAATGTATTTGGTATGAGGCCAGTGGATACATGCCCTTGCCAGTAGCCTTATGTCCATTTTAGCCACAAACTAAGGGCACAAAAAAAAACTGCTCAAAAGTGGCCAGAATTTAACATTCATTAAGTTTTGGGACTCTCCAATCATCTGTACCTGTACACAGTATGGGCTCCGTTCGCGAACAAGAGAGGGCGCTATTTTACTACTTTCGAAAGCCACTTGGACAAGACGCACTGCGTGCGCGAACTGGTTCGCATGCGTATATAACACAAAAGTAAGCACGACTAATTTTATTCCGAATGTGCACAAACCCATGGTGTCTTCGCATCAGCTTCAGGTGGCAATGCATTCTAATGTCACTCTAAGTAGTCTCCCCCAACACTCTTCTCTTACCATTGAGGAGGTCCATGCGCACACAGACTTGTTGCCAAGTCGGTAATTGTTTTGCGTACGTTACCGTTTACTGGGTACTAGTCTTATACCAGCCGCGCCGATGGAGTTCGACTGAAGTTCACGGACAAAATACGACTATCTAACGACTTGTCATCAAGTCTAATGTGCACAGAGCAGATGGCAACTTACTGGCCCTCACTAATGCTTAGCACATATTTTCTGCAAGTTCTGCAGTTTTGGGCCCTTCTGTATTTTATATATTTACCTTCTAGGAGTGGTGGCTCATCCTCAAAGCTGTCTGTGTAACCGCTTGACCCTGCGGGTATGGGTTCAGGGGTCATGATTTCCCCTGTATACGGTGCCTGTGGGGCTATCATGTTGGGTGCTGCACCGTACCCCTGTTGACTGTAGTCATATCCACCATATGACCTATTAGTATTATGGAGGAATAAACAGAGATTAAGAAGTGACGTTTCTTTTTTAATGCAACAAATGTCTGTCCTTGTCAAAAAGGAACTCTCCATTTTAAATTTAAACTGTATATGTTTAGATATTTGTTTATTTGTTTTGGAAAGAATGTTGCATCCTGACATCCATATATCTCAATGAAGGTCAGTCATTGCAAAAATGTTGATAAGACATGAGTTCTAGGGGTAACTTTTTGGTATTTTCCAACAAAGTAAGAAATGTTCTAAGTCCGAAATTAATTTGCTTCCCCTCAATGTATTGCCAATACCATCATTTAAGGATATATAGGGGAAAAGGTGTCAAGATTCTGTATTAAAACAAAAATTGAAATTTAATTAGAAAATTAATAATTCAACAATCAGTGGAAATTTACAACACACTTTGTTTACTACTCATTAAATCAATTTAAAATCAAATAAAATTAAAATTAAAATCACAGAAATTAAAATCAATTCAACATTAACACATTACACAAACTTTCAATCAATGAAAAGTGACAAAACAAATGAAAATCAAAATCATATTTATCATGTTTATTCATCATGTCACTTTAATACAAATTAAAGTAAATTTCAAATTAATGGTATTTACTTGACCTATGAGCTGTTTTTCTATGCCATTGACACCAAAATTTATTTCACAGCGAGTTTATACAAATATATTGTGCGGCACTTCGGCCGTTCCTTACCCTTCCTGCTGCCACTGTTGCTGCTGCGGCTGCTGCCCGCTGCCCATATCGTACCCCTGCTGGTCATCGTACTGGGTTTGGAAAAATCCCTGTTGGTCCAGCCCCTGGTCCGGTCCGTACCCCGCCATCTCTACAAAAACGACGAGTTATTGCTTCAAATTTGGCCACCAAGAAGCCCCGACTGTCAGCTTGGTGAAACACTCAAAATCAACTGCAAGAACTATGGAAACAATTGTCAAAATCGCAAATTTGTGAGATGATAGTTGAGGCTAGATGCCGACATGTTTTGGTTTTTCGAATGTCGGACACTTCGCCCCATTTCCACGTCGCCCCATGTCACTTCGCCCCTAACCACTTCGCCCCATCCCCACTTCGCCCCATCCCCACATCGCCCCATTCCCACTTCGCCCCATTCCCACTTCGCCCCATCCCCAATTCGCCCCATCCCCACTTCGCCCCAGCCGTTACATGTAAAAAGTAACAAAACATCTCATCTATTTTATTGGCTTAAAAACAATTCCAACAGATACACTAATTGCTAACCAACGGAAAGAATTAGCCCACCAAATGAACAAGGCAAATTATGGAGGACACCAATGTACATGAGGACACCAAAAAAGCAAAATAGTAACCCACCTTGTCTGTGCTACAATCCAAGCTTGAAGAAGAAGAAAAAAGCCCCCCCCCCCAAAAAAAAAAGCCGCGTGGCCGCGTCAATTCCGGAACTTTGGTCTGACCAGAGACCGAATATTTATTTTTTTTGGGCCTAAAAAGACCCGACTATACCATGGAGGAATAATCCTCCATGGCTATACCAACCCGTCTCCCACTTATCTGAGAACGACAATACCTTTGACATCCTAATTTCACTCTTGGAGGAACCAATCTACATGGGGCGAAGTGGGGATGGGGCGAAGCGGGGATGGGGCGAAGCGGGGATGGGGCAATGTGGGGATGGGGCGAAACGGGGATGGGGCGATGTGGGGATGGGGCGAAGTGGGGATGGGGCGAAGTGGTTAGGGGCGAAGTGACATGGGGCGACGTGGAAATGGGGCGAAGCGTCCGACACCGGGTTTTTCGATGGACGGCCTGTCGTGCATGTCATTGGTATCCTGCGTTTTGTACGTGCTTATCAGTTCATTATTGAGCTAGCTGAGGGCACCAACTTCCTATTGACACGTTTGAAAGCCCCTTTAAAATCCCAAAGAATAGTTACAACGGTGAAAGGAGGGGCGGGGCCGAGTGGGCTGGGATGTGTGATTTTAACTGTTTTATAATCTATATTAGGCTGTAGTTTCCAACCTTTCACTTTGATTTAAAAATAAAATAATGTTGGAAAGCTTAAAGCTGGAAAATATCTGTACTTAGAATCCAGTAATGGTTTTCTTTACCTCCAGCCCCAGTCTGCACAATAATTACAAGCTCGATTTGAGACTAGCAGCTGCCGGATCAATAAGGATTTTTTAATTAGCTAGGGAGTGAGTATTTTACGCAAGGGCGCCACCAAGCACCTCGACCTCTTTTTGTCGGGTCAAAACGAAGGTAGAAATGGCGAACTGACATGTTATAAAAATCCACGAATTTCCATGTTTAGTTTACTACATCCTCAAACAAAAGCACACCAGAATGTTAAATAAACAAACAAGGATTACTGTTGGTTAATTATTTTTGCGTAAATTTCCGACATTAATCTGAAATTGGGCAGTTGGTGCAAGATCTTTAGCTCATGATATAGGCATACGGCGTTACGTTACCGAGTTCCAGAAAAAAATTCTGAGATTGCCAGCATTACTCAGGTTCAGATGTAGGCCAAAGATATTAATTAATGAGCACAGTAATCGTTTCACTGACTGTCTTTCTTGTACGAATTTTTTAAGTATTGCAAAAGCTTGGCCGTTTAGTCGTATAATGTTTATGTTTAAAACCTGTTTTTCCGAAACCCCGGGCCTTATTGCTCATGATGGCGCAACTTTGGTGTTTGTGTACAAAGTCTATGGAGAGTTGTTGAGTGCATTTCAAAGTATCGTCAGCTTCTACGCACTCGCCTTCAATTTGTGTGTGAGTGTGACGCGTGGGCGTTGCAAGCATTACCTGCGCAGATTATGGAGGGTCAAGGATATTTTTTTAAAATTTAGATTTTTTCAGTCCCACATTCATCACGATTCATCGGTCGATCGCGTTGCACTATCGCCCATCGGTTTGTCTTCTCAGACTAACCTTTTTAAAAAAAATCCTCCACTCCAGATCCGTGAGTTAAAAAGAAAAGGTGTCCGTCTGGTGGCAGTGCGATCGACCGATAGCGTCATGATTGACTGATACAGATCGACCAATTGCACACATCGACCGATTGTGCCCAACAGAGATCTTAATAGGCCTCGGCCTGTATGATGAAAGAAGACTCATGATGCAACATTCTTTCCGATTGCTCCCCCTCGGCCCTGCCTGCCTTCTACCCCCATCTGTAATGCCTATCCCCAAAACAGGAAAGAAAAAAGTGCCTCTGTACTGATGACGTCACACTTCGTTTACATGTGCACTTTGCTATGGAGCTAGTGAGTGCCGTCAGTCCACTGGGCACCATACATGTAGGAAAGCACACACGTGAACAAAGTGTGACGTCATCAGTACACACAGCGAAAAATTCCCCATTGGCCGTGTAACACGGATGGGAATGGGGGCGTGGGCGACAAGCGCGGCGCTCATTGGTGGACGTGCCCGGCCGGGCCCGTGACGTCACAGAAACCACATGTCAGGGATTCGTTTACGCACGCACGCACGGCCTGTGCAGGCACGTACGGCCGGTGCATTCCGAGCCGCGGAGAACTTCGCACTGTCGAGCGGGCTGACCTGCTGACTTCCCGCAAGTTTATCACGAAATAGATTACGGATTTTACTCAAACAATTATCATTTCCAAGGCGTGTTGATAGTCGCAAATTGAAGTATTTTAAGTAAGAGAAGTCCTCCTTTCATCCTAGGAAATTCTGGTTAAAATAGGAGCATATTTTAAACTATATTTTCTAACTCTTAGTTGTCTAAAATATACAAAGAAATGACTCAGGATACAAATTCAGAGACATCAGAGACTCGTTTTTAATAGAAAAGTTTGGCCTATGTTCATTTTTATTATACGCATGTTCGTAATACCTCATATTTTGTGTATTACAACTTGGTTGTTTTTGGTTAGTATACAATTCACTTGGAAAAATAGTGGAAGATCTCTTGACCCAAACACTCAAGTTATACATTTAAATCTAAAGATTGTTTATAAACTCTTTTCACAGTAGTGCTTTCCTTGCTGTCCATTCCCAGGGCTTTATTTTTACCAAGTGCATTATTGTAATTGTAAATTTTAGCTTTTTTCAATAAACATTCGACCCGTTTTCTATGTGTATAGCATTGTTCTTGTGGTTTCGACCAGTACCTGAATAGTTAAGACTGAAATTTAACCTACATGTACAACACGTAAACAGCAATGTGACTTCCCTCCTCAATAAACAGCCCCCTTCACACCCCACTCAGCTCAGCAGGATTAAGGGAAACAATGGCAGGTTCAAACCTAATTAAGATAAGGCTTAACCCATTGCATAGCCTCCAAGAAGTTTTCTCATCTCGTATAACGGGAAGTTTTCTCTCGTATAACGGTAAGTTTTGAATTACTTGTATTAGTTTGTGTAGTCATGTAAGCTCTTCTCTTTGAATTGTTATGCTACCGTCAAAATGGGGAGCGATAATGACAGTTTGAAATAAAAACTTCATGTCGCACGATATTAAAATATTTTTTTGTTAAAATTGGGTGGGGAAAACTATTCATTAATAACGGCAATGTATTAAATGTTGTCGCTGTCACAGGAGGCACGCTTCCACCTCTTCATGGTGCTGCAATTTCAGGTGACGTATGTAGAAACTCTGGACCGAAAGACGACATCGCGACAAGGGCACGACACTTCCCGCCAACCTGAAAAAAATTTAAAATCCATAAAATAATTGGTAAAGGGTTTGAAGGTACAGGTCGCCGATGATGGTTAAAAAGCAATCAAGGGTCTATTAATGTTTTAATTTGTATAAGGCTCCCTTCATTTACATCTCTTCATCTGTCCTTAATAAACTTTTAAAAGTGAACAATATTCAGGAATTCCAAATTCCTAAAAAAAATCTTAAAGAATCCGGAAATCAGAAAAAAAAGACAAAAAGTTCCTAAATTAAATCAGGAAATCCTGACCCCCAAAAATTCCAAAAGTTTTTACAAGAAAAAATCCTGTCAAAAATGCCTGAAATCAGGAAAAATCCACACAAAAATTCTTGAAATCCTGACAAATCGCACGCCTGGATTATCAAATCTGAATCAGTATTACTATTAAATCTGAATCTTGCATTTTCATCGCTTGCACGAATGTCAATTTACATTCAACCATGGAGCTATAAACACACCGCACGTACATGTACCGCGCCCGCGCCGCCTAGATATAGACTGTACGCGTCGGGGTCAGGTCGTATATGTGTAACGGCCACGCACGATTTGACGTACGACGTACGCATCAACGTCGTCGTCGCCATGCATATTGACGTGGCGCACTCAATACACTCAACCCCCACACACAAAACACGTTGCATATGATTTTCCAATGATTAACGAACACCTTCAGCCAGTGGCGCGGTTTCACACTAAAATCGCAACAAAAATATGACCTACCAAAATTCAAATACCACCAAGGAATCCGCGAGTTGTTGCGCCTCAGGTTGACACCAAAGAATTGGAATATAAAGTCGAAGAAAACCACGAATTCATACGATTTTGGTACCATTCGAAAGATCGTCGTGAACTCTGTGGAAGTGGAAACGACTCGAGGTACAGACGTGAAGCATGTGCGCATGCGCAACAGTTTCATTCATGAAAACTGCCTTTTATGGTCAGTATGATGACGTCATATGATGAGTTCCGTGCCAATTCATGTAGGGTATTTTTCGCTGTGGTACAGAGGCTTATTTCACACCTGGACATCACTTGACAACCTGTGTACAAATCCCATGAGACTAGTCTGAAAATTTCCAAGTGTTTTCTCAGTAAATGCTTCAATATTTTCCCTGCTAAATTTGACTTTTTAGGTGCATGTTATCGCTTTCTGATGAATGATACTGATAGGTCACTGCAGGGAAAAATTAGTGATGTCCATGTATGGAATTCTTCCCCCAAAACATTTCAACACATTGGTCCCTAGAAAAGAAATTATATTTTTTTGTATTAAAACCCCTAGTTCTCTTTTCTTTCTTAACTTTAAATTTGTTTACAGTTCAACATTGTCATTGTACATGGTTGTGTGTTAATTTTTTTATTTTTTTTATTTTGTCTCTTCCTGCAGTAGCAGCAGTCATGAGGACTATACTGTCAAGCAGATACATACATATCCCAGATAATGGTATGTGACGTACCCAGAGACTAGATTTTAACCCTAACAATCCCCATCCTTTCAAACTCCAACACCAGGGTTTGTTGGAATCTGTAAGGATGAGCACTGCACTAGTAAACTGATTATGCCTTACATGGGGTCAGGCATAGTCCCTACCACCAATAATCAGAGTCCAACAGCTTTTGTGTACAGTTTACCATATGGTGTTGATATTTGCCCGAGTGAGAAAGGTTAGCAACCTTTCTCACTCGGGGGGTTAAATCACCCTAGGGGGTTAGGATTAAAGTAAGCTTTTGTCTTTTTTGTTTTTTGTGTTTTGTTTTTGGACATTTTCCAACACTGAATCCTGTTCTAAAAGCTGTCATTAAAACTTGATGTTCTTTTAGTGGAGGTGACCATCAAGGCCCGGGTCATCACCGTCAAGGGACCGCGGGGCACGCTGACCCGCGCCTTCAAGCACCTGAATGTGGAGATCCTCCGGATCAGCAAGAAGAAGATCCGAGTCAACAAGTGGTTTGGGTCCCGCAAGGAGCTGTCCTGCGTCCGCACTGTCTGCACTCACATTGAGAACATGATCAAGGGAACCACACTGGTGAGTTTTGTGAAAGCTGTGATCGTCTTTGTCCAAGATGTTTGAAAATTTTAAAACATTGGTCGGCTTGCGAAGGTTTGTGTAAGAGATTGTGTGTATGTGTTGAGCGCGATCGGTGGTTCTGTTTTATCACCCAAACGTGCTGTGTTATCGGTCGATCGTGTTTTGCTATTGGTGGATTGCACTGCGATATCAGTCGATAGTGTTGCCATTGGTTGATTTTGCTGCCACCTGTAATTGTTTAAAAAAAAAGGGAAGTAAAGACTGAGACTTCCTAAAGAATCGGCCGATCGCACAAACATATTTCTGTGTGATCAGGCGATAGTACAGATCAGCAGATTGCATCCGATATTTATATTGTGCAGCTGTGCATCAAATTTGTTGTGTATATCCCATGCATGGTATCAATTCCGCACTGTTTCATGGAATGGGCTGCTGGCCCAGATCCGCTGATTTTTATTTTTTTAGAACTTGCCTGACGTGTGTCAGAGTTACAACAAGAGTCAGAGTTACTACAACAAAATGCAACATTTGTCATAAAGTGAGAAGCCTGCCCAGTTTAACAACATCCATCAGGTCAAAAGTCCCAATGTCAAACTACCTCCAAGTCTGCGCTTGCCAACTGCAGCAGGATACAACAGTAGCATTGTTAAATGGGACTAGCAATCATTGTCTCGGTTTTCAGCAGTACATGCACTGGTGTTCATGGCCCAATGCAACAAGTGTCTCTAATTTGGTAAACACGTTCACTGTGGATGTTGCTTTCAAGTTACACGTTGTGATCGTCCCCGACTTACCTGGCTAAAGCAGGTAGCTCATACGGTCCAGTGGCTCCCACGGAGGTTGGAGGTCACTACTAGGCCTGGGCGAGTAGTGGATTTTTCTACTCGAGTACTCGCTAAGAAATTACTTGTGAGAATCGAGTACTCATGAGTAGTTAACCAAATTCCCATAAAAGCAGAAAAATGACATATACGTTAGTATGACAGGAAGTACCTACAAGCAAATAGCATGCTAGTCACACCACATTCTTCAGCACTGAGATATCCTTATTGTGCGACGTTTTGGGTCATTTACTGGAATTTATTTATTTTTTTGACGAGTGGAATCCTAGGGAGAGAGTGATTCCCTGTTTGCAGCGGACGTATTAAGCTGTGAACCATCAAACTTAAACTGCTACTTGCAAGTTCCTGCTTCTACTCCTACAAAGACAAGTACTCGAGTAGATGAAAATCCATGAGTAGAACGAGTAGCATAAATTACTCGCGGGTAATCGAGTTACTCGCCCAGCATTAGTCGTAACCCTCTGATGATCTTGTGCAGTGGCAATAGTAGTAGTTGACTGTGTTGCATCCGGCAGGTTCAGGTTTTATTGCTCACAACATTTTCTTTCTACTCTGTTTCGGCTGAAGGGCTTCAAGTACAAGATGCGCTGCGTCTACGCTCACTTCCCCATCAACTGTGCCATCCAGGAGGAGAACAAACTGCTGGAGATACGCAACTTCCTGGGGGAGAAGTTTGTGCGGCGCGTGCACATGAAGGATGGGGTGACGGTCACCCAGTCCACTAAGGTGAAGGACGAGCTGGTCCTGGAGGGTAACAACATTGAGCTCGTCTCGCAGTCAGGTGGGTGATTGATCAGAGAGAGTTTATGGTTTGTTTTTTTAGTGAAGTCCATCACCAGTCCTCACAAGTCCACCACAAGGCAGACGTGAATGCATTGAAAAAAGTTAACATGCAAATGTGAAAGAAATTTAAAAAAAATTCTGCCAATGACTTTCCAAGAAGATAGACTCATAGTAGTGTGAAGTTCTAAAATCCACCCATTATAAAAACACTATACAGTATGTCCCAAAAAGTGTCTGTCTGACTGTTTTTAAAATAACTACTAAACCATGAGGTCAATTTTGAACTTTTCTGGTTGTGCAGATACTCCTAAGCCTTGGCCTTAACCCCTATGAGTTTCATTTAATTTCAGTCATGCATCACTACACAATTGTCAGTTGATCAAAACAACATTTTTGGACACTGTGACCAAGTTCCTTGCCTAAATCAATTTCAGTGCTGTGTTGTGTAAGCTGTGTAAAATCCTGCATGTTATTAAAAAAAAAGGCAGATGTGGTTTGGGATTGGAATTATTTGCCCTTGAGCATTAAACTGAGGTCTTGTGCCATGGTGACTGATAACCAGGCAAATGATTCCAATCCCAACTGCAGCCCTTTTCACAACGTCCAGGATTTTTCACAGCACTGAAAGTGAATAAAGCAAGGACCTTAGTTGCAGTGTCCAAAATGTTGTTGTGATTAATTGACAATTGTGCAGTGATGCGTGGATTTAAATGAAACTCATAGGGGTTGAGGCCAGTTCTGCACAACCAAATTTTTAAAAAATATACCTCATGGTTTTGTAGTTATTTCCAAAAAAGTCAGGCGGACACTTTTTTGGGACAAAACATACTTTATTATCAGTGTGATTTTTTTTTCAATAAGCCTAAATGGTAACAAAATCAGCTATTTCCATTTTCTCTTCCCTTAAATTTCCTTCTGCAGCTGCCCTTGTCCAACAGTCCACTACAGTCAAAAACAAGGACATCAGAAAGTTTCTGGACGGCATCTACGTCTCCGAAAAGACCGTCATCGAAGAACAGACATAAATATATCCATCCGGCCCGGAAAAAACAAAAACAATTACAAAACCTGGAAGGGGGAGCAAACCCAAATAGGAACAGCAACCTGATTAGGAATGCATTAAAATGTAGGTACCCGCATTAACAGTGTTCGGATCAGAAGCTTGTGTTTTATGTCAGTGTCATGCGTCGACCATAAATCTGTAATCTTTGACCCGAACATTTTTACTTGTCTTTAATGGTTGCATTTGCCTCATTTTAGATTTCTGGCTCCGTATTTTAAGGCATTCCTGTCAGAATTGGGATATATATCCTGTCCCTCTATCGTGGGAGAACTTCTATTTAATTGACGGTGAGATAACTCACAAATTTTTGCCATTCTGAGAATAAACAAGTCTTTGAAGGATCGTAATTGTTACTTTGTGTCGTGACTTCTTTATTTGTTATTCATTTGTTTATGACTGTTGGAGTTACTGGCGTTTAGACTTGGCAATGTCTTAAAGCAATCCTTTGTTTCCCCATGGTATATCTGTGTACTTAAAAAAAATCAACAAAATATGATTTATTATAAGATGGAATTTTGCGTCGGGGGTGATATAAATCAAATTAGGTTTTACCCTTCACCGACGATTTTTTTTCCAACTTTCACTTGGGAGGTAACACACTGAGTATACAGTGTTTAAACGTCGGTGAAGGGCAAAACCTAATTCAAAAAATATGATTTAATTTGGATTTTTAAAAAAATTTTGAAAATATTCATTTTTTATGCACAAATAAGTAAATGGAGACCTACTGATACATAAATAAGAAAAACCAAAATGGGATACAAATATACATATTTTAGGCTTTTATTGTCAAACTGCTGCTTTGTTTTTTTGTATGAAAAAAACTCTAAAGACATTCTTCCTAGCTAGTATAGGAACACTCAACATGTCGACTGAATGACTATTTCAAGGTTATATTATGTCCTGGATATAGTCATTCAAGTCGACAACAATTATAATATAAAGTCGTCTTTCTTTTAAAATGAATGCAAAAATTGAAGTTAAGCATGCGCCAAAATATCAACATTTACACACAAAGTACATCATCAATGACTATTGTTAATTGGAATGACTTTCAGTGGCCCAAGACTTGGTCATAATTCAGTCGATAATAAACTTTGATCAAACGTATTTTCTCGAATATCACACATACCAACCAAAACCACTATGTATAAACCCCTGTACATGAAATTCATATTGCACACAATTCTACAAATTTACTCGTAAAGAAGTAAATGTATATAAACATATGAGCTGTCACCAAAAAAACAATGTTAGTTCAATTAAATGATCTATAATGAAGCAGAAGAAAAGGTATATCTTATTTATAAAATACAGCTTAAAATAAAGTGTAATGAAAAAACAAATGTTTTACAATTATCTGCAAGACAATTTCATGGTGGTTTTCAAAAATTCAATGCATGTAGCTTATGAATCATTTGATTAACCCTAACTCCCTAGCATGATATACTAGAAACCATACCCATCCGGGCAAATTCCAACACCATTGGGGAAACTACACACACATATTTCTGACTTTGATTCTGGAGGTGTGCCAACCCAATGTAAAAGACTGTCAGTTTAGGGGTACTGTACCCATCCCGACAGATTCCAACAAAACATGCTGTTGTGGTTTGATGGGTTGAGTTCTGTTAGGGTTAATATAGGTTTTCCCAGCCAATTTCAGGTTAAATTTTAACACGAAGCCAATTCAAATTCGATGTAAAATGAATTCTCCCTGATGTGAGCATTCAAACATCAAAGAGTCTTTCGATTTCAATATATGAGCAGTCTTTCGATGTAAGTTCGTTCAAATTCAAATACTTGTTTTGCTATTGATATTCGTCGGAGGCCTCAGAAAGAGGTTGACGCAGATCAAGAGGTTGCACAAAAACAAAATTGAATAACGATAATAGGGAACAAGAAATCCCAGTATGAACAAAATCGAAAAATCCGCACGAATCTGAATGCATGTTGACGAAAATGAACTTTTCTTTGCTGAAATTGGCTGAGAAAACCTATAGTCATTAACAAGCTGAATTAAATCCAATCTTGGGAATTTGACATTTGGACGACCCAAGATATTGTTAGCAAACCTCACATACTCATGCATTAGCTTGAATACAGTGTGTGTGTGTGTGAGGTATGCTCAGAATTGTTTAGGTCAAGGTGCCAACGTTCCCAAGACTTGATTTGATTCATCTTGTCCCTGGCACCCTCTTAACGCCATAGTGGCTTAACCATGCTTGCCAGGGATTGGGACCAGCCGTATAACAGAGAAAAAAAAATCAGTATTGGAACAAGACTAAGTGTTGAACTTTGAACTTAAAACAAGTGCACCATGTACGCTTCCAACAGCTTTTAGAGCTGTTTGGTTGCTGCCGTTATTACGTCGTGTGCCGCTGGCTGATTGCCAACTCGGCCAGCACTGAGCGAGATGATCATCCAGCCAATCACAAAGTAGAACAGAAAGATGGGATAGACGGCCAGGAGCTTCCTGTGTTGCGGCTGGCTGTCTGCCAAGAATGCCAGGGAGGCTGTGGAGAGAGACGTTAAGATTTCAACATTTGGTTCTGTCCTTAACCAGTTCATGCTGGGATTATTTTGACAAAAACGGAACGAGGCGCGGGATTACTTTTCACTCGACCTCAAGCCAGGCGGGTTGAAGCCATGACCCTCGGGCAGCACACTCATATTTCCAGCTTCGCTCGCTGTGAGCGGGTCGCATAAAAGCACACTCCTAATGTTCCAGTGTGTTCATGTCATGCTTCCTTCACTGGCCCTTGTGAGCTGGGCCCAATTTCACAACGCTGCTCAGCACACGATTTCTGCTAACAGAGCGTCCGTCTATTTCATGGAGACCGTAAGCATAAGCACAGCAAAAGGCACACTAACTTAAGAGGAAAAATTTGCTTAACTTAGACACGTAACAATAGAAATCTCCATGTACGCACGACCGTTACCACATCCACGCCGTGAAATAGTGCTTAAGGTTAGCAAATTTTTCTACTATGCTAAGCACAACTTTTCTGCTAACTGTTAAGCAGCATCGTGAAATAGGGCCCTGGCCACATAGTGTACCTTCATTTCATGCACAGAGTTCAATTATTCTTTTTTTAAATATCGGGGATCATATTTACCCAAAGTTGACCAGACGAAAGCGCAGACGACCATGACCAGATGGATAATGAGTAACAGGCTTGATATCCTGTCCTGGCCGATCATGGTGACCCTGCAGACGATGAGGCTGATGACCAAGGGTAAGATGCAGTAACCCAGCACGCAGACACTCTGGAAGAAAGAGCTGTATGTGGAGAGACGAAGGAACATATGCACAAATTTGTATTCAAAGCTGGAGAGCAATTGACCTATCGCGGTTGAATCACGTTAGAATCGCGTCAACGCAGCTTGTGAAATATTGTCAAATAACATGATATACAAATGGACGCGGAACGCGCAAAATCTGAGGCAAACAAAACTTAGCGTACACAAATTCCATAGGGTTGTCTAAGGGGCGTGGCCAACTCACAAACGGCGACAGATTATTGTCCCAAACAATGAGCTCCGTTTTGAGGCACATCGAATAGGCTTGGGCAGGTTCAACATTTTTGGATTTAATTCTGATTCTGTCAGAAGTCACAAATCTGTTCAGAATCAACATTAAATTTTCCTGGCAATAATTGAGGAAACTTATGAACTGAAGTAGTAAATAAAGGTCATTACATGATGTTATCACTTAAATATATTAATTTTTCAATTGAAAAAAGGGTAAAAGCCTTTTTTTATTTACAGATGCAAAAGATCAATTTGGTTTGTTGTGCTATCTGTCTTGCATGCTATTATATTAAAAGCTCTTTAGAGATTTTTCTTTTTTTGGGGGGGGGAGGACACCAGATTTTGGTTGTTTCCCTAAGAATTGCCCAATCATTGAATTCATGTTGGAGTCCGCGCATCTTAAACCATTAGCAACTTTACTACATTGTATTACATTGTGATTATTCACTGGAGAATCTACGAAACCATAGAGAGCTCAGGTGGTTTTGGGCGCTACAGTGAGTAATACTTATAGGCAGGGCGGTTTCGGGTGCTACAGGGAGTAATAGGCAGGGTGGTTTGGGGCGGTACAGTGGCTGAAGGGTTAATGACTGTCAAGCATTGCCTTGTACGAAATTGTGTTTCATGACCAAAAGGTTGTGCATGGTTTTTCACTGTTTTCTGGAAATGTAATATCCACTGAGATGAAACTTAAGGTTTTTGAAAATTCTTTGTTGGCTTTTGAGTGTCATTGTTACAGGAAGCGAACAAAAAATGGGTGAAAAGCAAATGATCCTATATGCCTTTAAGGGTGTTCATCTTTGCACTCACATGACCCCGCCGAGAAGCTTGGAGTTCAGAGCCACCACGATGGCGCCGAATGAGATGAGGGCAAACACCTCCGAGAATTGGGCGTTGATTTTTGTGCCGTCGCCGTCCTTATCAGATGTCGGAGTAGGACTTGAGGAATCTTGAAGCAACCTTGGACATGGGAGACAAAAAAAGGTCACCTTTTCATTCACAAATTGACAAGATTTGCAGACCTGAGTGGGTGGTCTTGACTGAAGATAAAGGAAGGCGGAACAAAGTTTTGGGAAAATAACATGTTTTGAGAATCTCTCAATTTTACTTCTGTGATGTGCCCACTGACGTGCCAAAGTTGTTCTTTTTGACACTGCCTGTATAAACTGATGTTGCTGGGAAGATGGAACACAACTAGATGTTTTTTCATCAATTTACAGCAATAGAAGAAAAGAAGAGAGATATTTTACTTACATTGCAAACAATGTACACAGCACCAAAGGCCCCCACAGATCCCCTGGAAAATGAAAAAAAAAAAAAGGGCCAAACACATAGTAAGCATTTGTATCATTGTGATTTTGTTATATGGTCATGATTGTTGGTTGTGATGGTTGGAATTACAGTAAGCCCCCCCCCCCCAAAAAAAAAACAATAGTTCTGCTTCCGGTTACTTTATCTACCCTATTTTGACAGCCCCTACCCTAATTTTTGTTTTGGGAAAAATGAGGGAAAATTCCCTAAAACCATCAAGTTGCCTTTTACCCTTGACTACACGCAGACACCTCCATATGATCGTACACACAAAAAATTGCCCCCCCCCCCCCAATAAAAAAATTCCCTACCTACCTACCCTATTTTCAAATGCCATGTAATCGGAAGCAGAACTATTTTTTCACGACAGTTGTGCAAATAACTGTTTAAAGTGAAAACCTATAAAAGCTAAGAACTGTTTTACTGCATCAATAAATCCTTCATATCTTTCATTGACTAACTTACAGTCTTTCAGGAGAGCTCTGCTCTGTTTCGGGTATAAGACGTGGAACAACTTCACCCCAACAGCTCGTAAGTCTCTCATCTGAAAGAAAAGAAAAACCAAAACATGTGTCAATATGTCAAGATGTAAGCTTAACATTTACACAAAGACTAAACAATTCACAAAACTACATGAAAAAGATTTAGGAAAACTATCCCCTGAAATCCATATTCGATCTCAGACTTGTCGTCAATGATATTCAAAAATTTGATTTTGAACGACCAACCTGTAAGAAATCCGAGGAAAAGTGTTGTAAGCCAGTCCATCACAAGTCCATCACAAGTCCATCACAAGTCCATCACAAGTCTGTCACAGATCCATCACAAGTCCATCACAAGTCCATCACAAGTCCATCACAAGTCCATCACAAGTCCATCACAAATCCATCACAAGTCCATCATAATCCCATCACATGTCCATCACAAGTCCATCACAAGTCCATCACAAGTCCATCACAAGTCCATCACAAGTCTATCACAAGTTCATCACAAGTCCATCACAAGTCCATCACAACCCCATCACAACCCCATCACAACCCCATCACAACCCCATCACAAGTCCACCACAAATCCTTCAGTCTCAGGTCAAGTCCCAAACTATTCAAATGAACTGTGACAAAAGCAGTCCTTTGTAATTGTTCATCCCAACACTTGTGACTGGACTTTTGTAAAAACACTTTGTGATTTTCCTTTTGACCAGACTTGTTATGGATTTGACAACAGCACTGTGAGAGGGTTAAATGCTGAACAATTTTTAGAGGCATTAACATATCAAAAATCAAAGGCGGCCAAAAACTTACGACAGTAAATCTCACTGGCTCATCCAGCGTTGATAGTTCCGAGTCATCTTCGGACGCTCCCGGTATCGTGATGTCTCCATCCACGGGATGTTCCAACTCCAAGTCTGTGAACTTGGTATCAAACTATTAACAAAATAGTTCAGATAATCTTCGTAAGTCAATATTATGAAGTATGGCCAAACAAACAAATTAGTTCTGCTTCCGATTACGTGTCAGTTTTAAAATAGGGTCGGTATGTCAAGAAATAATTTTTTTTGGCACTTGTTTTTTGGCTGATTTATTAACTTTGGTCATGCTCTGGTCGAGGCATATATCACATCCAGTAATGATACCACGAAACATGCTCCACAAAAGTCATCCGACACGCCCCCTAAAATAACGATTAAAAGAAATATATTTAAAACAGACGATACTTGAACTAAAATGAAGGAAAATTTAAGTCCTTTACATCACTATTTGCGAAGAGAAAAAGGCCAACACGGTCCGTATTGCGTGGTATCAGCGTGTGTGGACTGCCATGTTGACCGACCACCGCATGCGTGCATCGGCGACGGTCATACGGAAAATCACACTTCACTGGCTCGTTACAAACACAAGCATTGAGACCTCACAGAAATCTTCATTACAGATTTTGATAGTTCTGTTTTCTGCTCATTTTCAATGCTGTTTGCATGAAATCTTAAGTCTTAGTTTTACGTTGTCGAAGTTCGAGCATGTACCACGCTAGCTGGCTCCCACCCCTTTCATTATCGTTCTTGCTGTTATCTAGCTTTGGGAACCACTGTACCACTAGCAAAATTCAAATTGATATGATAAAATTCCTTCATATTTGATCTACGGGATTTATTCCCGAAAAAATGTAAACAAAGACATCGCCAACTGCAAAGTCAATGGGAAAGTGTTTAGCGCCCTCTTTTGACCACAAAATCAATATTAAAACATGACCGTCATGACCGTGCGTAAATAAGTAATTGGCCTTTTCATTTGATGTACATTTTTTCTGCTTAAACTATATCTATATCAGTTCCATTTCATGTCATTCAATGATAAATGAACTTAGTCTCATGTTTCGTATAAATGTAGCAGATTTTAGCCCGACTTAATGGAAAAATACCAACCTTTTGAGATGGTTCTATCGTCACGTCAGCCATGTCGAATTCGTACTTACGTGTATCGTGTCTGAAGTCCTCTTTCTACACACGAAATCATGTGAGGAAATCAAAGACAGGACAGGAGCACCAGACTAGATTACACTAGTCTTTTTCAAAGCGTTTAAAGCAATCAAAACGGCAAATTTTGAACAAATTTTAGTTCACAAAACTCCATGCTTTCCGAATTGTATACTGTTTGTGTTCTGTAGTATGATCAATCTTAAAACATTAATGTGAAACTGTTTTTATGGAAAAGGAGCATATCGGGAACATCAAATCCTTGATACCCCTTCATAAAACCAAGACTACTCAAAATCAGTGTGCTTTTTTTTAACTATTGGTGGCGCTATTACATTTCACTGCTATCAACACGACTTCACGCGGTAGCACACCCCTCCAAAATCAGCCGTGCTTAAAAACTTTTTTTGAACCTGTAAAAGTTAGACAAGTTCACGAAAACTGCCAGAATCATGAGCGCGAGTATACTGTCGCTGCTTCTTCGCGACGAGGCAATGATTTTCCCTGCCGTTGTGTCGTTATTGCACGCATATCAACTGGGTAACTACTCCCATCCCACTAGTTTTAAGTTTAAGACTTTATTTTTATTTAGTAACTTTTGTTATACGAAGTGGCTATCGTTACGGCACTCGTTGTTTAGCGCCCTCTACGATATTTTTTTGGTACGCACGCAGGTATATAATTATTTGTTTCCACACGTTTTATCGAGCAGTGCGCCAGCTCAGCCGATAGAGGGTAGGATTTTGCACCGCGAGGTTGCGGGTTCGGATCTCAGTTTTGCACTCGAATTTTTTTCCTTTTCTAACCTGAGGCTTTGGAGGATTTTTTTTAAAAGGGAAATAAAGTCCGAATTTCATAAAGTTCAAATTCACTTTTTTCCTTCTAATTTTATATTTTCTTGTCATGTTTTTTTATAAAAGTTGCCAGGTTGCAGTCTACCGTAACGATAGAAAATGGGAAATGCATTACGGCTGCCGTAACAATAGCCACTGCGTTTGTTATAATGTGGAGTTTTAACATGTTTAACTGTTGAGTTATTCTAACAATATTATTAATATTATGATGAATAATTTAGTAAAAGTATTAGTAATTATTTTGTGCCTAATTGGTCGTGTTTTGGAATGAATTTTGAGACCTAAGCAGTGTTTTTTCAAACTGCAACTCTAGGATCTTGGTCAACAAGACATGTGTTAATGTTGTGTTGTTTGGGAAAACATGGGGGAACAAGACTTTCTAATATTCATTTTCCAGTTGGAACAACCATGCGAGTTAGTGAGATGTGATGGCGTTCTTCCAAAAGTTCCATGTTATTGTTATGAATCTACCCCCTCCACTGATTTTGACAAATTTTCCTTTGAGTTTGTAACACTGTGAGTGTGAGCCTTTGGTATTTTTCTTTTGCAGCGACTCAAAGTACATAGACTAGCACTGGTTGGAATTAAAGTAAAATTTTAGATTAGAAACAGTATTAAAATAGACTTTAGATGCATCTAACGATTTTTGATTTTTTTTACCCCTACAGCAAACATGGCTAAGGCTGTGGGGAGTTTGCGTCGTAAGTTCAAGGTGTCCCCTCCGGCCATCAATGGAGATCCTGGCTTTGAGAGAGGCTTCAGGGCTCAGTGAGTGGGAAAGAAAGTAGTATCAGACGCCACAAAGTCTATGGAGAGTCGCGCGCATTTTCAAAGTATTTTCTAACAAAATCGAAAATGTCTTTTAGTCCTAGATTCATGTCTTTTTAACATTTTTGCAATGACTGACCTTCATTGAGATAATTAATGTATGATGAAAAAAGTGGCGTCAGGATGCAACATTCTTTCCAAATCTTTCAATTTCTTTTCAGTTTTGGAATTATCATTGGCCAACTCGAGACAAATGGGAATTTTTTGAAACCTAGACTTCGGCTTTTGGGCTTTGGCTCCACCTCCAGGCTTTGGCCACGTAAAGACATAGCCATTTCCCAAACCTCGATTCATTTCCAAGCCTTGGCTTCACCTCTGAATATTTCTAGCTCTAGCTCCAGAGTAGATTAATTTAGAACGCAAGTGCAAACTTTGAAGTTGAAGAACACAAAAACTAACATCAATTTTTATCAATTTGTTATTTTCCCAACAGACAAAATACTTTGGAATTCACTCCGATGTTCATGATTCTTCTGTGGATTGCTGCGAAGTTTCTGAACCCAGGTATGTTAGCACAAATGCACTGCTAGTACTAGCCTGAAAAAATATGGTACCAATTAAGGTAGAAACAGACATGCCACACAATAAAATCAATCCTCCCCTTTCAGAATTGGTCCTAAGCCACGCCCACCTTTGGTTTGTGTACATATTTCATAGTGCTTGACCAAGTTCGACCAAGCTTCCATGGTTACCCGACCAAAAGTCGTTAGTCGGTGCGCACTGTTTGATTGAATGACAGGAAAAAAAATTTAATGACAGTGAAAAAAATCACAAGGCAGTCAAATCAAAATTACGAATTGCTGATTGTTACTGACCACCAACTTTTTTTGTGTGTTCTTGTTCTGCTAGTTCTTGCAAGTGTGACTGCCCTTCTGTACATCAAGGCGCGTTCGGACTACTTTACTGGGTACTGCGCACGTGCAGAAGAAAGGTATGAATGGTCATTTTTTTTTTTTTTTTTTAATTCTTGATTGCACCGAATAAAGCGTCTGCTGCACTCTTAGGAATTTGTTTCCAACCCCAAAATTGCCCTTCAAACCCAGCTTGGAGCCTGTTTTTGCAGGACCCAAAGCGGCAGCCGTTTGTCCTCTGACAGACTGAGCCACTGAGTGACTGATTCACCGAGTATAAACAATGTCTTTATCTGATATTTCTGGCTCCGGCTTGACTAGATAACCTGGTCTTGTTGCTATAGATTATCCCTAACCCCTTGGGCTGTTTTGGCTAGAAACCCAGCTGAACACAGCAACATGCAATGCAACACATGTCAACATGACAAGCCTGCCCAGTGTAGCAAGATCCATCAGGTCAAAAGTCTCCAAGCCAAACTGCCTCAGAGTCTGTGGTCTCCAACTGCAGCAGGATACAACTGTGGCATTGTTCAATGGGACTAGCTCTCATTGTCTCATAACTGGCCGTTAATGCACTGGTGTTGGTAGCTCAATGCAGCAAGGTCCCACAGACTTTTACACCTGATGCACTGGGATGCGTCTGGCAGGGTTAGGCTGAATTTGGAACTCGGCCAATTCTGTGTCGAGAAGCTTCTTAAAATTTCTCCCAAAAGAGTTCAGAACCCCCCCCCCAAAAAAAATGGTCTTACTCTTAATTTTCTTTGGCCCTGCAGGAGGGGCCCGTTTGGTCGCAGTGTGAACATCATCATGCTGCTGTTTGCGTACAGCGCTATCGGCCTGACACACACCATCCTGGCGACATACTTCAACGTCAACATTCCCAAACTCGTTGGTTTGGGCGACTACATTCTGCTTGACTAACCACAAGTCAAGGAGCAACAGGCTAAATTGGGCAGCAAGACTGCGGCCAGCGTGAATCATCCGCTTCATTAATTCAGAGTACTTAAAGTGAACGTACTCACTAGCGTATTTGATGAAAACCATTCCATGAAATATTAGCGTTAGTTTAACTATGAATAAGAATACAAAAAGCCTTTAATAATATTCATAATTTATGCTTATAAAGCGTTTATACTGAAGGTTTCAAAGTGGTTACTATTCCAGTTCATTGGCCATGAGACCATTTTTATTTCTGCAGCAGCTGGAGATCAGCGCAATCTGGTCTCTACCTTCACAGGTACCCATTTATACTCCTGGGTGGAGAGGCAATTGTAGTAAAGTGTCTTGCCCAAGAACACAAACGCCATATTCCCATAAGCATTCGAACCCACGTACCATGGCCACACAAGGCAAACACCGTAACCTTTGGAGCACAGCGCTCCACAAAATTTAGCTTTTACAAAATTTAGCACAAGAATTGTTCTGAACACCTTGATGAAGTCTAAAGTGAACATGATTCAGAAGAGAATTCATAAATCAGGTATAAGAGAGTCTTTTCAGATCAAGTTAGCTGGAATCTGTTCAAATATTTACACATAATCTTGAATACGTAAGGAAGTTGAACCAATATTAGGTTTCAAAAACCATATTTTCATTCCAACTTCATCTCGTTAAGTTTGTTTTTGAAATTTTTAAAGAAATTGTTGGTAAAGCAACGTATCTATGAAATCAGTTAAAAGCTTTAGTTAGCTAGCTGTATCATGCCAAAAAATCAAGTTGAAATGTAATTATTTTTACTTTAGTTTTCTTCTAATTGAATGTCAAAATTAATAAGCAGAGTGTGTGTTTTTTTAGACTTGTGAAATAAATCAAAATTTCTAACAAAGGTTTTGGCTTCTGTTTTATTTACACGATCAACACGTTGACTGAAAGTCATATTTGATACATTTTTTATGAATAATTTAGAAGAGATGTTTAAATCAAACACTAATGTTGCTGCCCTGACTAACATACACTGATTATAAATACACTGGCCCAATCTACAATTGCTAAAAGACTATATCAAGTAACTACTCCAATAGGAAAAAACTTGTTGCGGACGAACATATATAGTTTCACGAAGTATAAAACATGATGAGTACAATAAATATCTACATTTTCGGTTCATTACAAATAGTTTTTACCCATTTAATATTACTTGTGGGGTAAAATCATATACCTCATCCCATGTTATAAGGCTATGGTAATTGTCGCATGTCAATTACTCGTTCCAATGCACGGCGCGGCCGCACAGCAAAAATAGAAGTTCCATCCACGGTAAATATTTCCAATGATAAGGATATTTAGTTGGGCGTTGTATAAAACAAATATTGAATGTTTCACATTCATGCTATGAAAAGAACAATTTCATGAGGTGACGAATGGACTCTTCCACTAGGCTTCACCTCGTGGAATGGAACATTCCATCTGTCACCTCATGAAATTCTTCTCACCATCGCCCTCATAAACAGTCATTATTTGTATAGTATCAAAAAAGCTGTTTTTGTTGGTTGATGAATCAGCGCTGATTCAAATTTGCTTGCAGATGATAAAGGCAGTCCAACCTAAAATTCAAACGACTTCAGCTCCTGAGCGCAGTTCCACATAATTGGTATTGGCTCCGGACTTGGATCTGAAACTTGTTAAATAATAAATACACAGAATGATACGCGGCATTTTACAAACACTGCTGTGGAAATTACTCATAAAAAAAACATGCAACAGGCAAGGTAAAAATTAGCACAGAGATTTTGAGTATATACAAATTGATGAGTAGTACTACTCGCTGAAGCTCATCAAGACTCATCGCGACTCGTCATCAGGATTCATGTTGTATTATAAAATGTCAGGACTCGACCTCTGGGCTTCAGTCACTTCGCAAACAATTCTGAACTCTTCAGAACTCATTGAGCTCATCTGAAACTCGATTGGAGTCCTGGGATTTCTAAGGTTTTGTGACTACAGGCATTTCTAGACAGTTTTGTGTATAAAGGACGTGTTGTCAACATCACAAAGGGAAGATAATGGGCAGAATCATAACCAGAATTATTTTCACATTTTTGAATAGTGTATGAGTTGATGTACTGAATGATGTCTATCCGGTTCGTTAGTGTGACGTCACCTCCAGCACTTTCTGCACGATTGGAACCGGAAGTTAACGCAGCTCGAGCGTTTGTAGCCAATGAGCGCTAGTAATCCATGGTGGGCGCGCGTGTATGACGTTTTTACTAACGAACCGGATTGACGTGATGGACTCGACTCCAACACTTTCTCAAAACACACTTCTCCCCCAATGGTGACCCCTAAGGTCTTGAGTCTGCCATAACCTCTCGGGATTTTGATGAACACGACGTTCAAGACCATTGAAGCTCCAAGCATTAGTGAGACTGGCTATCCAGTAGTAGGATTCAGGACTGGATGACTTGTGTTTGACTGGTGACTGACTTGACAATAAAGCCACTTCCAAAAACAAAACACCACTTCCAAACACTCCTCCACTTCTGTTTACACCAGTGATTGTTCCTCATCCATAGAGATTTGGTAAACATGACGTATGAGACCGTTTCAAGCATTAAGCGTTGATGGGACTGGCTACCCTGGGCGGTGAGGAGGTGCCGCCCACTTGACCCGATTGCACTCCCAGATCCCTGGCCTCGATCTCCTTCTGTAGCTCCTCGACTTGCTTCTGAAGGAAGGAGCGTAGCTCGATCAGGTCACGGTTCCTCTGGTTGATTGGCTCCTGGAAAATAAGCGAAGGGAAGAACATGGGTTTTTAGGATGGCTGATGTTTAGAGAGTCTTGAGTTTAAGAAAACTGCTAGATCAGGGCCCAATTTCACAGCACTGCTAAGCACAAAAATTTGCTAAGCACAAAAAAGTCTGACTTATAAAAGCAGGTTAGCAGCCAAAACTCCATGTGATTTTCATGCTAAGCAAACAACAGCTGAATACTAATCACTAGCAATTTACATCACGTGGAGTTTTGGCTGGTAACCTGCTTTTTATAAGCCAGACTTTTTTTGTGCTAAGCAAATTTTTGTGCTTAGCAGCGCCGTGAAATTGGCCCCAGCTGGCTGAATAGCTCTTGAAAAATGAGCAGAGCAAAAGAAAGTTGGCCTCTGGGATTGTTTGGTTTTTTTTGGCGGAGTTTTTAGGATTCTGATCTTAAGACAAATGTTCAATTAGGTCAAGATTTCTCTGGTTGATTGAAAAAGAATTAATTGAATCTGTGACCTTGATTCTTAACCGGTAGACTTTGGCAAAGGTTGTTCAGACTTATGTGCTGTTTTTGCAAAGTGAAACTGACTAGGTGCATTGAAATAAGTTTTAAAGGTTGAACAAATGAATTGACTGGAGCAGGGTTTGAATCTTAGACCTCCGGATTGCCGTTCCGATGCTCTACCAGCTGAGCTACCCAGTCCTATGTTGGCAGTTCCCCAAAACGGAAAAATGAAAGTTGTCAAATCTATGTACTGTTGGAATACTGAAATGGCCTTCTCTTTGGCCAGGCCATCTACTCAACAAAATAGTTGACTTTGAAATTTTGGCCTGGTTAACCTTTGACATTTGACCTTTTTGACCTACCTGAGGTCTCATCCTGGGGTTCCAGCGGATGTAGTAGCCCGTCCAGAGCTCAATGCGCCTCATGCTGGCTACAGGGAACAGCACGTGCTGGTGATGGTAGGCAGCGTACATGGGATTGCTGAACTCCTCCTTGCTGCTGTTGATGTAGGACCACAGGGAGATGGTCTTGGTCTTCACTTGCTGCAAAAGGAGGGACGCAGGGACAAGAAGGCAATGCTTAATTTGAACTATTCAAGACATGCCCTAACAACTTGTGAAGAGCTCAGGGGTCCAAGATCTAGCCTTGGGTCACCCTGTGCTAGAATGAAAAAGAATCAATTCCAAACTCATGACTGATATTGTTAGAGGATTGGACTCTTATAAAGAGCGACCATTGACCTCTTAAGAGTTGATTCCAGGCAGATGCTGGCAATTCTGATGTTTGGCCAACTCCAAAATGAGATCAACGATCGAGGCACTTATGGAAATTCTACAGAGCTTTTTATAGTATAATAATAATAATCGGCATTTAAGAACGCTCTTTTTAGTAAACTAAATCACAGCGCTTACAGTATTATTATTACCCCTGATCATTGGGCCAATTAACATTCCAATTACCATCTCAGCTCCCAGGGGAGTATACAGCTCGATGCTGCCTGTTAGGTGCAAGCAAGCTTATTCAATCACAATAACCATCTCTGCCCTCACAGGTACCCATTTATTCCTGGGTGGATAGAAGCAATGAGTGACAAAGTGCCTTGCTCAAGGGCACATGCACCATGACCCCGGGCTGGACTCGAACCCACAACCCGCAGCTTTACCCACAGACCACGAATCCAGTGCCCTTAACCACGAGGCCACAGCACTCCACAATCCCCTTTAACAATCATTCCTCATAGTATGAGGCACACTGCACAGAAAGCTGATCTGTTTTGTTGCATAAAAAGTGAACACTTCAATAGCCCTAACAGTCCTGAATCCTCCAATTTCAATATGATTTTGCACACCCCCTAGGGAGTTAGGGTTAAAAGATTGTAATGATATTCACCCACGCTCTACTCATCTGAGGAATATTTCCTGGATTCTCAAATCAACATAATCGTAGACGGATCTACACATTTTTCAACCACTCTCCCGAATCTAATGATACAAAGTGAAATCACTCAATCAAACAACAATAGGCTATTTGTTCACCTCTCAGACCAACGAAATCCATTCAAAACTTTCCCACTATTGGATTATTATTGGATAAAGCACAATACACGACACTACAATTTATTGCGCATTTGAAGATCATGCAAATCCCACTGAGCTGAGATTAGATTAACCCACGGGATTATATAGGCACAGCATTCGGATCAAAAGATGAGCGCTCCCCCACCCTCCCTGTCTGGACTTGAGCCTAGGCCGACACAGGTGAATGGTGAGATGTGGCCAATCAGGGATCAGCATTAGCTCATGAATATGCATATAGCGTACTTACTTCCTTGACGCGATCCTTCATGCAGTTGTAGAGGAACGTGCCAAACAGGCAGCTGTACAGATGGTCCAAGATGGTGATGAGGAAATGCTCGTTGAACTCAAACGCATTGGGAAACTAATGAAAGAAAAATGAACATCACAGTAATGTCATGCACAGGTTTTCTGGCCTCACATTTTGGCTTTGTAGATTTAGGAGTTGTCCTCATGAACTAAATAGCTCTACGCTCTGTGATTTCAAATGCGTTTTATTTTACAGACTATTCAGAAAATACTGAGCTGTTCAGGACCAGCTTTCACAGCCCTTGTATTTTTGGCAAAACTAGAGCCGACTTGGAAAGAATGTAGTATCCAGACGCCACTTTAGCGGCTGTGTACAAAGTCTACGGAGAGTCAAGAAAATTTTGTTTTCCTAACAAAATCGGAAATGTTTCTCAGTCCCAGATTCATGTCATGTGAGATGATGTATGAACAAAAATGGCGTCAAGTTGCAACATTCTTTCCGCTAAATTCATAAAACTTATTAGAGTAAAAAAGAACTTTCAAGAAAATACGTCACTAGGCAAATTGTCATTTTGTTTATAATTGCTACTGACTAGTTTCTGATGATTTTTGGCTTATTCGACTTGGCACGTTAATTTTCTATGCAGTATTGTCTTATGGTAACCATAATTGTCTCACAAAACAATTTTTTAAAAATCAAATCATTCCCAATATCATTAGGAGGATACCTCATCAATGAGGAGAGCTATTTTACTAAATGAGGCAAAACTTACTTGTACTGTAATCTGCCAGACGCAATCCATGAATTGTGCGAAGATGGGGGAGCGATCTGCATCGGCGTGATTCTTATCTCCATGACCATGGCGCTAAAAAAAATTAGAGCAAACGGAAAGACATTTTTTTAAGGAGCCATTACTCAAATTTTACCTTATAATGTATACAGAAGAACACCACTATAATGAACGCAATGGGGTCCATAAAGAGTGTTTACTATAGTGGTCGTTCGTTATAGCAATTGTGCATTATAATAGAATTCAATATTTTGGGAAACAAAGGGGATGTTCATTATAGCCAAATGTTTGTTATAGTGATGTTCGTTATAGCGGTGTTTCACTGTAGCTGTGAAAATATTTTTGCCTCTGCATAGTAGGAAAATAACTGAAGACACTTTCTGAATTCCTATTTACAATGTTCCATACGAATGAATGACAAAATTCTCATCTGATGACAGACAAACATGGAGCAAAACTCACATTCCCCAGCATATGAAATGAATTCTACAGACCAAAGTCCATAAGGTTTGAAATTCGAATATGTGACACAAACGCTAAATAAAAAGGGTGAGTTACCTGAGCAAATTTGTGGCCGACCTCGATCCACTCTTTCTCCACCAGCACCTCAAACCCCCTGATGGTTCTATAGAAAGGATCCAGCATCAGGAGGGCCAAGGCAGTCAGTTGGGAGGTCCTGTCCCAGCCGTCGCTGCAGTGGACCACGACGGACGTCTTCTGGCTCTCGATGCGATCGGCGATGCGCACCGCGCCAGCGAGAACCATCTGATTGGGTGAACCACAGACAGAGATACGATGAGTTCAAATCATATCAGATTTCTTGTATTCATCCTGTGGGAGCCGACTCATGGAACTGCCAGGAGGGGGTGGAGACGAGCCACGTACATCGACATGATGCAGCGGGATGTTGGTTTCAGTGACACAGGGGAGCTGAGGACCCTAATGCTGGATAGGGGGAGGGCGGCGGCCAAGTACCGAGTTGGTGTAGGTTAGGCTGACCCTCGCATCGCATCGCATCTTATATTCACATGAGGTATTAAACAGACCTACTTTCAGGAGTACGGGTGCTCATTGCTTCAAGTCTCCAACTTGAAGGGTTTTTTTTCTCAAAAGCTTTTGGACCGCAGTATTAAGTAGTGCTCGTAACATTAAGTCAATGAAATAGAAAATGAACATTCAAATCATTGTGATTTTACCACGACCTAAAAAAAAGAGACTTTTATTATAAGTTGTGACCATGGAGTGAAACTTTAAGCTCCATTTCACCACTTGTGAACATGTATACGGCACGGAGTACACAAGACAACTTTCCATCTAAATGTTCCTAAACACAGAGCACATTAGCAGAGAAATGCCCTCCTTAACAGTTGATGTTTTTTATCAACAGCAATCGAATGTGCATCATTGCCCTCTCTTTTCATCATTGAGGGGGGGGGGTAGTTGTACAAGCCCACAGGGCCCCGCAACAACCCCAAAAAATTCAAAATGAATTATTATTGAAGAAATATGGTGCTTTACCTTGATGTGTTCCAGCCAGTGAGTTGCTTCCAAGTTGGATAACCAGTGGTGATCGTCTATGCTGGGATAACAGATGTCCTTCAGTTTACGCAAACTAGGGGGACACGATGAGATCAGATATTAAAATGACTGAGTTAAATGCATATTAGGCCATCAGCCTCGGTCCAAAATTTTGGCCACCGGTATCAAATGAGAGGAATAATCATCATAGCGATTTTTGGCAAGGCATACACATCCAGAGTTGGAAAATATGGGATAGCATTGCAGCGGTGGCAGCTTTTTGGGTGTTATCACCCTTTTTTTCAAAATGTCCATGAAGATGCTTGTTACCACTCTAGGGGTGGTATACCTTGCGCATGCGCACTATAATCATTTATGCCTTGATTTGATTGTGGCCAAACCCCAAGCTGATGGCCTACACAGGGTGAGTAAAAAAAACGAAACCCAAATGTTGGGACCATTGTTTTAGTGAAGTTCTGCATGTAGTACTTTCAAAATCTAGGATATGAAAGTCCAATTCATAAGCTTTCTTTTAGTACAAGAATCGTTCAAATCACTCATGTTCTTTTCAAGTTACGAAATTTTAATCACAACCACCGTTTTAAGGTTCTGTCCACAGATCGCAAAAAAGTTCAGTGTTCTTTCAGCAAAACAAAAACAAATCACATAGGGATGTGAGTGAATTGTTTTCGTTTTGCTGAAAGAGCGTACACCTTTTTTGTGATCCGTGGACAGAACCTTAAAACGGTGGTTGTGTATAAAATTCTGTAACTTAAAAAGTACATGAGTGATTTGAACGATTCTTGTACTAAAAGAAAGTTCATGAATTGGGCTTTCATATACTAGATTTTGAAAGTGCTACATGCAGAACTTCAATAAAACAATAGTCCCAACATTTGGGTTTCGTTTTTTTACTCACCCTGTATAGGCTTTGTATGGTGAATACATTATGGGCTAAGCTTGTGGATAAACCATGTGATGTGACTGAACACTTGAAGAGAAATTGTTTTGAGAAGATCCAAGGTGTTAACCCATAGCTTCAGTCCGTATGTTCCTGTGTATTACAGCATACTTTTTCATTTCTGTTGCCTTTCTGTTCTTGACTTTTAAACATGGTACGTGAAGCTTTTTACTGGAATTCAGACATTCTGTGATGAGCTTTATCAAAGCTTTACCAATTTTTTGCCCATTTTCTTTACCTCTCTCTCATGACGTGGATGTTGTGGATGTCTAAGAAAATGACTTCAGCATTCTGATACGTATCTTCGTTTTCATAACCGCCTCCTTTGGCCTGAAGAAACGAAAAGACAAAACCATCTTAAAAACAAACTTGGGCAAATTTTCAAAGAATAAAAAAATAAGCCACAAGATAATAAGACTGAGGACTTGTAAGGACTTGTCATGGACTTGTGATGGATGTATGAGGACTTGTGAGGACTTGTGATGGACTTGTTATAGACTTGTAAAGACTTGTGATAAACTCAACTACAACACTGTTGTACACCAAAGAATATACAGTACTTGAACAGTTACAACTAACACCTACATGTAGTGTTAACTACATAAATCTACATCATAGTCTACCTTGTTGGCGACAGCATTGACGCTAGGCCTGGCGTCCATGATGACCAGTTTGTGGGACTGCGCGTTGGCATCCAGCAGCATCTGGATGTACTTCTCGTCTTCTTTGCTTCGTCGGCCGCCGACGCCTACCAGGGGCTGGCTGCACCGTGTGATGGTGGCGTGGCTCTGGGGGTGAATCCACGATAGTATCTAACCCAAAAGAAGAAAGTAAATTGCAAGTAATGATAATAATGAATATCTGGTATCCTTAAGATGTTACTCTCAGGGTGCAGACAAACACAAATCAAATATAACTCAAAGTAATCAAATAACAAACTACTGTAGCAATACTGAAAAAAGTGAGTGTGGCGACTGGATTTGAAATCAGATGCCAATTCAAAGGAATATCGCAAATGAAAAGTTGGAAAACCGATCACCACCCCAGGAATTGTGAGTGGGAGGGACAATAAGCAGAGGAGAATTGGAAAATATCTGGCGCCTGGAGGAATAACAAGCTGGTGTGGTATATGGGTAGTGGAGATATACAGGGAATGAAAAACAGCAATATCTTGTACTTTTAAAGTGTACAGAAATCCGATGAGGCTTCTAGTGTAAACTGTCTCGCCAACGAGTACAAGTTGACAAAGTAAAGTGAGAATTCAATTATGACGACTCAAGACTTGCTGCAGGAGCTGTTCAGTCCACAAATAGCCAGAAAAGTTCAAGAATAATGTGTCACGTTAGGCTCCTGCACAGTGGTGAACTTTGTGGAGTATTCAGGGGAATATGAAGGATTCAGAAAAAAAATATGCCATAACATGATGGTAGGGATATCATTAAGAAATGCATAACTATTTTGCTCATACAAATTCATGGAGCATGTAAATATGGAGCAGAAAGTCTGGTTTCTGTACTTCAACCAAAGCTAAAGGTTATTTACTTACAGGGATTCTGTTTTTACTCCTGAAAGCGGCTACCTGTCTGAGTAGCTCATCATCTGCTGCTGCTGGTACTGCAAACTAAATAATTGGCCAAAAAAAAAACCACTCTTCAGCTGAACAACAAATTGTCCAATGTATTCATTTATAATCAGGGATTGCACTATCAGGGGAAAGTTTAAAGATTGGAATTTAAGGTCGGATGAGTTGGGATATGTGAACTGCCACTCACTGTTCAAGATATTCTTAATAAATGTACTTACCACAGCAGCGTAGGTATCGCAGAACTGATGCCCCTCGTTGATCTTGCTGATACGCCAACTCTCGTTGGGCACACCCTGTCAGAGAACACAATATGTCAGGCATTTATTCATCTTTGTGGGTCATTCCTTATGAACATTTTATAACAAACACACATCTATGTAACACACGACATTGTTTTGGTCACACAGTGTACGTCTGTGAGTGACCACAAGAGGGCCCTATTTCCCTTAAACATTGTCAAATAGCCCAGGCATGCACTAACAAGTAACATTGGATAGTGACCTAATTGCTATTCAATATCTGTATGGATGAATCCGGGCACGTGATCCCTAAACACTCAAGAGGCCCCCTTCAATGGAGGAACCATTGTGCAAGCTATTGTACAAAGCAACTGCCCTGTGATGGATTATCTGAACAATAGCAAGCACAATGCTTTCGCCATTGAAAGGGGCCTTCGTGGCAGAAGTGATAGGGTGCTTCGATTGGTCTATGCTAGCCAGAGATGAAGGCCAAACTCAAGCAAATATGAGGACATTGCGACACGCATATTAAGCCTATAACTCCCTAGGAAATTTTGCTAGGATGCAACCTCAATCCTGCAAAATCCTCCAACTGCCTCCATGTAAAAAATGCATTCAGCTTCAATACTGCAAAATCCTCATTTTTTTTTTTTTATAGTGGTCCTTGAAAGGGGTTACCACTGCCTCAATCCTGCAAAATCCTCCAGCGATCACTGTCAATATGTTCAGGCAGAGCCAGTGATATCCAGGAGAAGTGTGGAGGATTTCAAGTATAATCCAGGCCTAAATGTATGCACGGCTGAGCATAAACAACACAAGGATCAGCCCAAGACCTTGACACAGTGCATCCTCAAAAATCAGCCACACATTTTTGCCTTATAGCCTCAATCCAGCAAAATCCTCCATTTTGCAAAGATGATTTTGGAGGATTTGGGAAGGTTGGGGCTAAGGTGCCAGTGCAAGTACCTGTCTCTTCAACTCGCTCATGGGATCATATACAGCCCAGCCGTCTTCGCTGTGGAAATTCTTGTACTCAAAAGCAAACAGTGGCTGTAAAGATGAAAGAAAAGAAACGTCCGAAATTAATACAAGCGACTAAAAGTCACACGAAAAGTTTCCAGAACTTAGGCAAGAGTCAGTTGCTTCAGAGGGCTCTCACTGATCCAAGCGACCCAGTCTACAACAGGGTTCCGGGAAAGTCAGCGTCGCCACTGAAGTAGGCAAAAGATTGCATAGCGCCGCGCGGAGTAGGTAGTAGGCAAAATGTTCAAAACAATCGTATACAGCACAGATAGTGACCATTTATGCCATTTGATAAAGAATTTGCAGTTATTTTACCTGAAACTAAGCCCTACTCTCTAGTTTACAATTCACAACTTGGTTGCTTACCAAATGCTTGCCTACTGCAATGGTGGCCGATCATGGGGAAACCGGATGATCAGGTGGTACCTTGACGTCATAAGATGGGACCCCTATTCCTTAAGAAATACGGTGCAGTCAAATTTCTTACCAATTTGTTGGATGACGGGAAGGCAAAGGTCTGTAGCTTCTCGTAGACATTCCGCCTGGAGTGCTGCTCGTGCTTATGGGCGAACCTCAAGTTCCGCATGTCCTGCATTAAAAGTGAACAGATATCAACTCATTAACCCAAACAATATTACACAATCAGTGCCGAATGAAAACGCATTAAAAAAAAGCAGGGACTCCTATAGCACATCAAAGTACTCTCTTGACCTGAAGCAGGACCTTATTCATAGCACTGTATTTAAATTACAAGAGCGCTGCCTCGATATGTTCATATACTTCATTTACCTGGCTTTGGTTGCATTCTCCCCCAGCGCTTTGTATCCTCTGGCAAAAAGCGCTATATAAATACAGTTATTATTATTATTATTATTATCTACTAAGTGATGCCTGCCATCCATGTTTGTGCACAAACCTATGGAGAACCTCAACATTTTGTACCGCTTTTGTACGGCTATTTGCATATCTAGGTTTGTATTCTATACGGGTGCACTATCGAAGCCAATACGCCCAAACCGAAATGCACGATCAATAAATGAGCGTTTCATTTTGCTCTGCGCAAACATGCAAAAGCGTGCACGTATCCGCTGCAGATGAATTTTGCTGTGACCTTTTTTTAACCATCATGACGCGCTTAAGTTGTTTGTGTATGCTGTACTTGTGCGTTGCATTTAGAGTACACTTTCCAAATTCACTCCATCTAATTTCATTATGTTCTACAAACATGCAAATGAATTCATAATGTCTGCGCCCAGGATGGCTTCAAAGTATCTCCAGCGCGTAAGACTCAGGAACTAGTGCTCTAGTAATTTGGTATAGCTCCATGACCTAACTCCAACCATACATGTAAATTATCTAAGAGGGCTTCCCAAATTGGAACCACTATGCACCAACCTTGCAGAAAATCTCTAGCCCGTAGGAGTTCTCCCCCCGGCTTGTTGCCCCGCCCACCTTCTCCACTCTGTAGATAGATCCCAGCGGTACATCCAGAATGAACGGTGGCTCCTGAGTAAAATAACAATGTGTACAATCGATTAAAGTAGATCTTTGCTTACGTCTCCCAGATGCAAAAAATTCCACCAATGACATAGTTATTGGTTGCACTAATGCAATACCTGCTGCAATATCAGATTCGAACCAGCCAGCCGACGCTTGCGAGCTCAATGGTCGAATGCTAAGATCTGTACCAGTAAGCGAAGGTCGTGGTTTCGAGTTCCACCCAAGTAAGATAATGATTTTTTTTTTCTTTGTAAGCCCTCGGATAACACTACTGGTATAAACATAAAAGTGTTTATGAAAATCATGTTGGTGAAGGGCAAAACCCAATTATTGAAATTACCATACATACAAATAAATGGAAAACAGTCAATGCTTAGTTGGAACCAAACGTTATCTGAATAAGTCAGGTATTAAAGAGGTTTGGTTATGATTTCAAAAGTTACAATCTAAAAAAAAAGTCAATACACATATTTTTCCTTATTTCGCCAAAAACAAATATTTTCAAATGTGAAGTTCACACGAATATGAAAATACTTCCAGCTTGCGGAGAGTTGATAAAATACATTCACATATTCCAACATGTCCAAGAACATAATACCTATTAATTGAACCAATTTAAATGATTTGAAAAAAATAATTTTTGAAGTTAAATATACACACAGTGTGTATTAAAATGTACTATTGTAAAAGCTCATTTCATTTATACTCTCGGTACATAATAAAAGCAAATAACACTGTTTGTTCTGAATGAATGAGCCAAACAAAAAACTGGTATTTAAACAATAACAGCCAAAATTATATTTGAGTTATACATATTTATTTATTTGATGTATACTGTATTGAAATATTTTACCTGAATCTCATGAAATTTACCTGTCATTTTTCAATGTATTTTTATAGTAATTTTTTAATGATAGCCCATTGAAAAATCATCCCCGAGTTGACATGGCTACCATCTATAAATAAACTTATTATTATTACTATACAAACCAAAAAAGTAGCAGTCTTGATGGCATAATACAAAAATTCCAAAATCAAAAGAACTAACTGCTAGAGCACAAAAACCAAACTCACCCTCTCAACTCCTTTGAAATATAACTTGTAGTTGGTGATATAGAGCGTGCCCCTGACCGGCCCGGTGAATGGGCATAAATAAGTCACATCCTTCGCTGTAAACAAGGGAAATCGAAATGCGTACCGAGGGATAAGACACCTTGAGCGTTGGGTGCTTGTTGCTTAAAAAGGGGAGGTGAGCCAAAATTTGTTTTGTTTGTTCGTTTGGTGGGGGGTGGAGGGGGGTTTATTCTTGAAAAAGACACTCCAGCATGTAATTCACATGCACACCTTCAATTTCAATTGTGTGCTTACGGGCCCCTCTTTCACTTGAGTCCATAAAGTGTTTTTATCATCCCAAAATGAATTTTTAATTTTAACGACTCTATTGTTTTGTAATTTTTCTTACAGGTATAGTCCTAACTCTAGCGGGATGCGGATTCTACCGTTTAGCTGGAGCAACTGATGCAGATACAGATACAGATACAGTCCATCATTTGTAATTTATGCATTTTGTTCGGTTGAAGCAACAATAGTGCTCAAAATCTGAAGAAAGGTGCTGAACAGCTAACCTGATGAAGTTTCAGCTCAGCTTCAGCTGTATATTTCGAGAAAAACAACACTCTAGGATCTGGATTTCAAATCAAAAGTTGCTGAATCATGTTTTGAATTGGGCCAGAATTCAGCGCCCGAGACACGTTCTCACTGTGCCGATTGCAGCTACGCGATGTCGCGCACCGATCTGACAAATTATAGCAACCGCGCGCGCGTGTGCGTCATGCCAATGCTTGCGGGCACTTCGCCTATTGAAAAAAACGAAATACTAACGGAAATTTCCAACAGTGCTTCTTAAGACGTACCGTTGGAAAGGCCTTCTTTTGTTGATTTTTCAACAATAAATACGCCAGTTATTTTTTGGATAGCTGCAAATGATGGACTCTGGCTTTAAGCATTTTTCAGATCACTGCTCTCATGCAGTGCATCACACTGATTGCAATCTTTAGTTCTGTGTTTTCCTAAAACATTCAAAACCCTGCCCTCTATCCACATAAAAAACCCTGTTGTTTTTAAACATAATGCAAATTAGTTGGGTGACTTCCAATAACTTAATTTCGTTCTCTTATAGGAACAGGGCCCTGTAACTACAAAATCGCCAATGTTCTATGAGTTCCCACACTCATAACCAAAAGTCTTTTTGAATAGAAGTTTCAGTTCAAAGCCGTACGGCTGTGACAGATTTTGTTTCATTTTGTTTTGTTCAATTCTATTACTGATGTAATTCTCTCCGTTTCCTACTGTCACTCATGAATGCGTAATGTCTGTTCAGTACATTTTGCTCAAAGCAGTCACAAAATGACACCTGGTGTGGAGCTTGCATTTAAGAAACAAAAAACGGTAAGCTACATACCTGCTTCTTCGCTTTTCTCCCCAAGCAGAAGCGGTAAATCCTCGGACTGTACTGGCTTGCCCCCGGATGACTGCAAGAAACAATATGGTCAATATTTGATTAAAAAAATGGATTTATAGTGACACTGAATTGACACAGAACGGAATTCGCAACTCGATGACACATTTCTTACTTCGCAAATGGAGCAGCGCCCGTCCATCCACACCAGATCATGCAGCCCTATGTGTAGGGCAAGCGGTTCCAGCCTGTCCTCGCATTCATCCGCCTCCTCCGAGCAACTCGGCCCGGCGTTAGCGCAGCGATCCATGCCGTTCATCGCTCACTTTAAACCAGTTTGCGTAAAAATTCCTCCCAACAGCAGAATTGTACGATCGTATAATTCAACCACCTAGTGGAGCAGAATCTGTGCACACATGAGGTTTTCAACACTTCCTCATGAAGTACGGTGGGTAGTGTAGAAAGTCCGTCTCAAGCTTTCTTGTGTTTGCAACAAGAGGATCCAAGCATCTTTTCACAAATCTCAAATGCTCACATTATGCTGGATTGCTCAGAGGGGGAAAAATTCATTGTTGAATTTTATAGAAGATTTCTCACATGAAAATGATTTTGGCTTAAACTTGTATGTCTTTCTGGACACGCAAGCAGATATTGGAGAGAAAAATATATAAGAAATCTCCACAAGCTTCTTTGCTGAGTTTCAAATCGGTCCAAGACTCGACAGAAGGAGATGCTGACCACAATGCTTCTTGCTTCAACTGTTCCGGTCAGAGATGGAGGCTCAACTATATATGTACATGTTTGCGAGGAATTTTGAGAGAGCAATCCCCACTTTAGATGACACAAGTTGCTTGCTGGACTCAGATTCCAACACAATTCAATCAGCATCAGTGATGACCTTGGCAATAACAGTTCAAAGTAGGCTGCAAGAATGCTGCGAAAATTGGCAACTTAAAATTGTATCATCCAGTCTCTAAAACTTTCCAAAACAGATCTTGCCCAATCAATTAAAAAATAAAATGAACAGCAACACAGCTCCACTTTTATATATAAAAAAAAAAAGTACGCCGGTTGTCATCCAAGCTGCAATTTTACATAGTCGTGGATAACAGAACAACACGAGCACGAAACCTACAGTCAAGCCGGTAGGTACATGTGCAGGTCTGTTTGCCGGCTGATGCCCACTCCCTGCCTCGTGAATCAGATATGAGCCAGGAATAGACGCGACGATTGCCGGGATGATGGGGCGAGGGCCTATCAGACTACCGGGCTAATTAACAGAGGAAGCAATTTCCAAAAAGGCAAGCCCGGCCCCCTGGAAGGAGGGAAGCCACTTGTCGTAAACAGGGGCTGGGCCGTTAACAGATTTCTCCCTTGTTAGAATGTTTTCTCTGAGGGCATGTTTTTGAAGGATTCTTCATGGCTGTTTTAAGTCTGTAAGTTTTGATAGCTGAGCAATGATAATGCCCGACTGGGGAGTGAGAAAAAGGGGGAAAAAACAGGATGGAATTCCAGAGGCTATCCAAGGTGGGAAAACAAGATGCAGGCCTGCATGGCTGTCCAAGCCTTGTATGTTTTCATAACATGATCAACAAGTACCGGACTTCGGAGTCAGCATAGAAGAAAAAAAACAGGACAGAATTCTAGAGGGTTTCCCAACTCACCATTGGGGGACACAAGTTGCAGGTTCATTTGTCGGTTCAATTGAACAACTCCGCACGAAGCCAATGTTTGTTAATTCATATGAGGTTTGTAACTTTTTTTCTTTTTATTTTGTCATCCTGTGCCTCAGACCTGGTGTGTTGGCTCCCTGAATTTATTTAAACCCTTAAGCAGTACACAATAGCCCACACATGGGTGTAGGCCTATGGGCTCCGTGCACAAGTACCCCATCAATGGCCAGAAAAGGAGAGTTGAGGGGGGCCTATAGACTGGTTCCCGATCCATCCACTACGTGTTTTGAATGTATCCAAGGTTATTGGAGGCGGGGATTAGTCTCGGAGCCCTTGCAAGTTGAATTCGAACGTATTCGCGCGCCGACAACGCCTGATGCTCACGCAAAGACGCGGTGGCTATAACTTTTGCACATTCAGGAAGTCGTGCATACTTCGTGCGCGAACCAATACAGTAAAGCACGCGCATGCTGTGTGTCCCGTCCACGGAGCTCTCAAAAGGGGTAAGAACGCGCCTTCTTTTGTTGGCACACAGAGCACATAATAGACACCACTCCAGTGTGTTGAACGAAGTCCAGTACTATCACTTCCCCCTACCCCTCAGCCCCTCCCCCTCAGCCCCCTCCTCTCCCCCCCCCCCAAGTTGTAAACAAGACAAGGAAAGCTTAGTCAAATTGGTCCCAGAGTGCACACAATTTTATTCAGTTGATTCGGAAGGGATATCCACAGGAAGTCTTTTCATGTACATGTGTTGGAATCAGCCTATTCATTGACATTAGGGTAATCCTATATGATAGCACTGCCCGGCTCTCAAGTGGCATTCAGTGAGCCAGTCAGTGGGACAGGTACGGTGCAAAGATGACGCTAGGCTGGCACTCTGGAACCAGCAAAAATACGTCCTGGACTTTTAAGGTACTTTGTAGGACAGTGCCCATATTATCCGCTCTCAAGTGCACTTACATATGTACATAAGCCCACAACATCCGCACAAAACAACGTACATGTACATGTATCAGGCATGCAACTTGGACATGTTGGAAGAAGCAAAAAACGAGGAAACTCCAATCTTTACAAGACTTTGTACAGTGTTTTTCTATTTTCAATGGTATAAGTGTGAAGTGAAAAACGAGGAAATCAGCTGATCCGAGGAAAAGTTGCATGTCTGATGTATACGTGTGTAGCATGTAATAAAGTTTCACAGCACTTATCTTTCAGGTCAGAGCTAGTGCGCACATGTGATACACTGTTCCAGAAATTGCCCAGCCCATGGAGCCTACTGCCGGTGGGAAACGACCTGCTTTGCTCCAAACAGGAAATTGAATTTACCGTCCAATTTCACTTGAAACTTGTGTTTTCCACTCTGGGAGTGAACTTCCCCCAGTTTTGTCCAGGATTGAACATGATGTACTAACTGCAATAATAACATTCAGGGACAAGTCTAGGACTAATTTTTTTTTTGGGGGGGGGTGGGGGTGGGGAGGGGGAGTACACTTTTAATGCTTCACTCTTAGCGAATAAAATGAGGTCCCAGAATGTTTAAATTGGCCATGCTTTAACACACGAGGGCGCTATCCAGGTGGGACAGCTTACAAATTGTATTTTTTGTTCTACATGTACTTCTGACTGTAACAAATGTGACTAACATAAATCATCAATTTGGAGACGAGGGGGCAGGGGGTGCGCTTGGCGAAAAGTTCCAGTCATTTGATACTTTTTTTTCATGGAACCAATTCTCATATCACATGTCAACAATTTTACGAGTGCCCTTCAGGTGCTTGGAAAAGAAGGACAGAAATTCTTTGTCAACAATAACCAATAATTGGGAGTCAGGTTGGCGTAGCGGTACTTTCCTCGCCTTCCATCGTTGTGACCTGGGTTCGAATCCCACTTCGGCAGTCCCTACCTCATTTTGTGGGTTTTCCCACAATATTCTTCTGGGCTTTTCCTCCCACCTCTAAAACTGTAATTTCTTCTCACTGTCTCCTCTCTACAGGTTTCTTCAGGCTTGTGAACAACAGTGCACTGCCTAGGGCACTTTTGAGGATTCCTTGGTTTCATTACCAGAAATAAACGACAATAATGATAATAATAATCAATGTTTACTCACTTTTAAAACTGACATGACTGAAGAGCCATTTTTTAAAGTAAATCGTGAATTCTTTGGACGGGTTGTCAATCTACCGGGTATATAATGCGATTGAAGACTGCAATACTGCTGAACTAAAAAACATTAACTCTCGCAACCAAGATTGTATTTCTTAGGAGCCAAAAAAGTTACTCAAAGCCAAAACATTCTTTTCAAGTCCCAAATTCATAAAAAAAAACTCTCAGGTGTGGAAATTGATGGCATGCAGGCTTACTGTAGTAGCATATGTGTAGGATGAAAGGAGATCACGATTGGCACTTAATGGCACTGAACCCTGACCCAGAGTTCCTCACCTTCCAACTCTGTTGCCTGGGTTCGATTCCTGCCCTGGGCTGGGTTAGATTTTCAGTCCCTACCCGATTCCATGAGTTTTTCTGTGTGTTTTTTCTTCGTAGAATACCCTTCTGTGGTTTTTCTCCCATCTCGAAAACTGTTATATCTTGACTGCTTTCCTCTCGACAAACTTCTTCATATTTGTGCTCAGTGGCGTACCCAGGATTTGGGGGTTTTTTTTGGGGGGGGGGCTCCAAAATTTCTTGTTTACAAATTTTTTTTATTTTTTTTGAGGGGCGGCCTATTTTGACGTTGGTGGCACCACTCACACCCCTATTATACTACTCAAAAATAGGCCACATACATATCACCAAGGTCAAATTGTGGGACTAAAAAAAAAAAAATGAAAAAGCTCTTGGGGGGGGGGCTCAAGAATTTTCTCAACTCTTGTGGTATACAAAATTGTTTCCAAAGGAGCTGGTATCCATTTTACATATCTATACAATATGATAATACATGCATAGGCCTACAATTGAAATAAATTATTGCAAATATGTATGAATTAAAAAAAATAAAAATAAATAAATTTGTCCAAGTGACTTTGGACCAAACAAATAATTTATTTAAAACGCAGTGGCTAAATTGTTACAGCAGTCAACCATCATTTTCCCTGACCTAATGGTATTCAACGTCACCATTTTTGGCTGTTGGAACCAGACTATCAACTGAATGGTTCTCTGACTTTATTTCCCTTTTTAACAAAATCCTCCGAAGCCACCGATTACAAAGAAGAACATGAATAAAATCTACTTCAATAAAAGTAGGATTTGGTTAAAAAACCTTAAAAAAAGGAAACTATATAAAGAAAAAAAATTGAAATAAAAGTTGGCATAGTGTGAATTCAATCCCGGGACCTTCGGCATGCCATTGTGGTTGAGCATGATTTAACTGATCGTGCTACCAAAGCGCTCTGTTTGGAACTTGGAAGGACAGTTACAAATGTACATGTACAGACTCGCAACAGTGTTTATGCAATCATGGCAATGCTGTAACGATAGCAGTCGAAAGTCGTGTTACAGCTGCTTCAACGTAAGACACTACATTTATTTAAATATACCAGATTATTTATGTCAATTGTCATATATCAAGGAGGTAGGAAACATGCAAACATAAAATATAACGTTACATATCAAAAATATAGCATGAAAAATGTCAACATACGACCATGAGAATTGTTTTAAATTTTTTGTTATTACGTTTAAATATGTTGGGCAACAAACACATCCCAAATATCATCCCTCCAATTTTTTTCTAATAATTACGAAATGTCATTATCACAGCCTACCTTCGCTTCCTCTGGCTCACGATCGTGGCGGTCAGCCGGCGGTTCCGTGGAGGCGTTGTCGGTCGGTGATCCGCCCTGCTGCTGCTGCTGCGGCTGCGGCTGCGGCGGCGGCCGCGACACGACAGGAATGGCCAACGTTACGTTGTCTAAACTCGACCCGCTGGACTGGCGAACATGCTTGGACGGCTGCGGCGTCTCTTCCACTTCTTCTAGACTTCCATTGCTCTCCATTTTTGTGGGATTTCGTTGATATATCTTAAGTCATTTACAGGAAAAATTACTCTTTCAGTTTCACAACACGGAATTATAATTAAACACCGCAGCCAAATCTGTCGAAGGCACGGTACAGTGCGCCCTCACTTGAAAAATTGGGGTCAGTAATAGCTAGCACGAGAGGGCGGGCTTGGCAAAACAAAAGTTTTTTGTTTTTAATTCACGTGCAGTGCCAATTACTGTGATTTAAAGGCTGTGAACGTGACAGTTTGCTAGACTTTCGGCAGCAAATGTTTCAATCGTAATTACAGGTCTTCGTTAGGATAAATTTTGGGCATACCAGATTTTCAAAATTGTGCCCCATTTTGTGAGCTGTGGGGTCGGAAAATGTGAGCCCCCCCCCCCATAAACTGAGTATACGATCCATGCGGTACAAGAAAGGTTTTTGCAAGGTTTTACAAATATTAAAGAGAAATTCAAGATAAAGGTGCCTCAAATTTAAGTTTGATAGGTGACTATAGGTCTTCGGGTTCTCAGTCGCATATCTACAAAGCATTATTGACTTCTTGCTTTCGTACGTTAAATAAAATGTAAAAAGTCTGATGTAAATGCTCAACCTTATCTATACTACAATTCAAGGAATCTCTGTCTGTCTGTCCGTCTGTCAGTCTGTCTGTCTGTCCGCCGATTATCTCCAGAACCGGGCGACGTATGAAGTTAAAAATCGGCGGGTTTTTTGCTCGGGACAGCAGAATGTGCAGTGTCGAGTTTGAAGTGGTTTGGACCAGCGGTTGTCGAAAAAGCTGCAAAAAAGCAGTATTTTCTGAGGCCCAGCGCGCCAGAATATAGCCTAGAGCCCGGCGCGCACTGATGTTCTTTTCAATTGTTTACGTCATGTTAAAGCAAGAGCGCGCGTGCTCAATATGACGCAAACAATGCAAAAAGGACGGGCACGCGCACGTGCATTGTAGGGCGATACCATTGTCCAGTATGGGTGAATAGCACTGCCTACCATATGTTTCCGTACGTGATGACTGCACGGGCACATGCATTTTGCAGTCGATTGAACCACTATTGTAGGCGGTGGATTGAGCAACCTTACTCACGTAGGTGAGTAGCTGCACGGGCCTATTGGTGAATATCAGTGCCGGGGCCCTGCAAAAATGACGGGCACATTGTAGGGCGATAGCACTGCACACCATGTCTTCGTGCGTACATATACGTGAGTGGCATGCACGGGCACATGCATTTTGTACTCAACTGAGCAACCATCACTGCACTGTATGTGCCGGGGGGGGGGGGTGACGACATTTTGTGAGTTTAACTTGCGAGTGTGCGTTCACACCATTGAATAATGTGCGTTATTTGCACGAGCTGCAGTTCTCAACTGCCCCTTCCGAACACGCACATTTTCGACTGGCCCTGCACTAGTCTATACTACAATTCAAGGAATCTCTGTCTGTCTGTCCGTCTGTCTGTCTGTCTGTCTGTCCGCCGATTATCTCCAGAACCGGGCGACGTATGAAGTTAAAAATCGGCGGGTTTTTTGCTCGGGACAGCAGAATGTGCAGTGTCGAGTTTGAAGTGGTTTGGACCAGCGGTTGTCGAAAAAGCTGCAAAAAAGCAGTATTTTCTGAGGCCCAGCGCGCCAGAATATAGCCTAGAGCCCGGCGCGCACTGATGTTCTTTTCAATTGTTTACGTCATGTTAAAGCAAGAGCGCGCGTGCTCAATATGACGCAAACAATGCAAAAAGGACGGGCACGCGCACGTGCATTGTAGGGCGATACCATTGTCCAGTATGGGTGAATAGCACTGCCTACCATATGTTTCCGTACGTGATGACTGCACGGGCACATGCATTTTGCAGTCGATTGAACCACTATTGTAGGCGGTGGATTGAGCAACCTTACTCACGTAGGTGAGTAGCTGCACGGGCCTATTGGTGAATATCAGTGCCGGGGCCCTGCAAAAATGACGGGCACATTGTAGGGCGATAGCACTGCACACCATGTCTTCGTGCGTACATATACGTGAGTGGCATGCACGGGCACATGCATTTTGTACTCAACTGAGCAACCATCACTGCACTGTATGTGCCGGGGGGGGGGGGGGTGACGACATTTTGTGAGTTTAACTTGCGAGTGTGCGTTCACACCATTGAATAATGTGCGTTGTTTGCACGAGCTGCAGTTCTCAACTGCCCCTTCCGAACACGCACATTTTCGACTGGCCCTGCACTAGTCTTACTATAATTCCAGGAATCTCTGTCTGTCTGTCTGTCCGTCGATTATCTTCAGAACCGGGCACCGTATGAAGTTAAAAATCGGCGGGTATATTTTTCGGGACAACAGAATATGCAGTGCAAAGTTTGAAGTTTGGACCAGCGGTTCTCGAAAAAGCTGAAAAAAAGCAGTATTTTCTGAGGCAAACGTGGCAGTATACAGCTTAGAACATAACACCCGCACGCACTGCCGTTCTTTTCAATTGTTTTTACGTCATGTTTAAGCTAAAGCGCGCGTGCTCAATATGACGCAAACAATGCAAAAAGGACGGGCACGCGCACGTGCATTGCAGGGCGAAACATTGTCCAGTATGGGTGAATACTAATGGATCAATGGGTGAATAGCACTGCGTACCAGGTTTTCGTATGTACACGGGCACATTATTTTTGCCGTCGACTGAGCGACCATTGTAGGTGGTCGAACTTCAAACTTGGCAAAAATGTTGACGTAAGTGTGCGTTCAACTTGTGAAACCAACACCATTGAATCGCGTGCGTTGTTTGCACGAGCAGTTCTCCAAAACTCTGCAATGATGCAACCTATACCAGCGGCAAAGCAATTTGCGTTTCCCGAACATGCACATTTTAGACGGGCACTGCACTAGTTATCTATAAATGAATGTTTCTGATTGGGATATACATGTAGATGAATATTTTATGGTGTATCTGTATCTATATTGGTTGCATCAGCAAACCGAATATCGTTAGGATACATCACTTGTGGTATGCTTGGTGTGCATCTTCTAGACGAAGTTCCGTACTATTTATGCCGGTAACCTCGTCCCCAGTGCTTACTTTATTTCCAACCGTGTTTCCAATAGTAAACCCTGGATAGGAAACTTTCTTTCTGTATCCTGATTGGATACCGCAATTGGCTAGTAATGGATTTTTATCGTGTACTTGGTGCTATTATTCACAACGTGCAGTACGTGTTTTCGCGATCATTTGTCCACGCCTTCACGAAAATACTAATTTCCTTTCCAATTTGCTCATATTAACATGAAATATGATACTGCATGTTGTCTTGATAAGATCGTTACAGTTTGATTTCAAAAATCGTGTTTTCGTAACTCACGCCATGCTCGCGCTGCTACGAATTGACTCTTGTGTTTTTACCCCAGACACCGCATACAAAAACGAATGCTGATGTGTAACGCATATCCAGGCACCAGACTGTTCCTCATTTGCATACGTGTTCAAAAATCTTGCACATGCAAATGATCCAATACCAGGGTGAGAGAGCAGGTAGTGGTGGGCGCGTACTGCTCGACACCCTGGGGACGAGGTTGTTATGCCGGTTGCTGAGGCCAGATTTGAAATATCCAGTGGTTATGATATGAGGGCGATGCATTCTACAGTCCTCGATCGTTAGGCGGACATTCTCCAAAGGCTTAACTAAATTTAAGTTGCGAATTTAACGATGTTTATTTTTGATGTATGCGGGAGGATATTTCATTCCGTTGGATGTAGATATCTAGAGGGACTTCAACCATCTTTTTAACCATTTTGTAAAAACAAAAAACATGCTTACATAAGTCTCCTGCTGCTTCTTTGTATATTTCCAGCATAAGTTTTGAAGAATTTTTTTCCTACAGTCTTGATGATGTAGTGCACAGAATTGTGCCGCCTGTCACCTTTCAAGTGCACCGATATTTTTCATAATCGGAGATTGTATCGTCTTGTTTCTAGTTTGCTTTGAACTAGATGGTATTCGAGTCCGCGCGGACCCGGAGGAAGGTACACTTATCATAATTTATGCTTACGCCACCATTTCGCCACAGGCGTGGCGCTTATGGCATCACTGGAAATCATGAATTATGCAATGTTATACAAATATTGAATGCTTCGAGTGGTGTAGTAAAACTAGCCTCCCTAGGTGATCCATGGACCATTCTATTTTCCTGCTTGATTCTGCTTGATTTTAATATTTTAAATTATTTAAATCTGAACACAGTTGAAATAAACTTCTATTTCAATACAAAATTGGTGGAAAAGGTATTTCTCTCTTAAAAACTACCCCTTCACGAAATTTTGAACCCAAGGCTGCGGCGCGCTCTCTTTGGAATAATACGCGCTACGCACAACGCGCACACCAGCATGCATTTGCACACAAATACCGCGCCGTGGAAATAGTACTTTGGTTGCTAATGGTATAGTACTTTGGTTGCTATGCGCATAGTACTTTTGGCCGTGCACAGAAAGATAGCAAAATTAGAAAGTAACATGTGACTCGCTCTCGGCCAATCAAGACACAGAATCTGTGGGTGAGGTGCTATAAATGGCACTAGCAACGTGTGCACATGGGATCGGGACTCGGGACCGTCCCGGATGATGGATGCATGGCCTTGTTTTGTGTACACGTGAATAATCATAGCACCGTGGACAGGCTTAGATTATAGGCTGTAAAGATAGGCTACTGAAAACTAGTGCGCAGAAACCTTGCGTGTAAACAGTTCTCGTTTCACTTATTACAATTAAACACGGTGAGTAATAAAAGCTGAACCCAAACCCCTAAAAAAAATATTTCATATTTAAAAAAAATATGTAGCACCAAAATAATAATGACTGGAAAACCATTTCAGAAACTACTTTTTGATGAAAAACAAATATGAAACTGTTCAATCCGTTCAAAGAATATCACCATTAAAACGCAATGACTCTAAAACCTGTTTCATCCCCCCAAAAAAGCAATTTATTGTGTATTTTGACAGTTTGGAACAACAAAGAAAATGACACCGTCAGAATACTTGTTTCAACAACTGTCAACAACTGTACATAGTATCTTTACAGTAACAAAGTCATTATAGCAATTAATATGAATAATTAATATATAATTTTTTTTTTAAAGACGGGCCTTCAAAATGACTTTGTTGAATAGTTTTAACTTTTAAACCGAGGTTTAATGCTGGTGATGTTTGAAGACAATTGTGACGACGATTTTTGAAATCAAGTTAGTTGTTCAAAACACCCTTCCTTAGATTGTTAGCCCTTTTGTTGCAAACGAAAATGATGTACAATATGGGGAACTTCCCAAAATTGATGATTAGCAAGATTGCTGTTTTTACATACGGACCACTACATTCCTTCTGTAAGTTTGCATGGACATGGCATAATGTCAGAAAAAGTTTCGTAAAAAGGAACGGGAATAATATTGTATCAAGATCCTCTACAAAAAAATGAATAAATTGGAAAGAAAAATGCATTGTCGATGACTTTTTTGTTTGTATGCCGTTCAAATGTAATGTAATTTCACGTAATCAGGGTTCGACCTAGCCCGCGTGCACTTTTCACAATAGCCTGCATATTTTCCATTTACAGAGTGTCTCATAAATATGTGCATACTGGAAACAATCTTGTCAGTGTTTTTAATTAACAGATATAATCATTCAATCTGATACAGCTACAGATTTAATTGCTATCTGAGTTTAATGATTTATTTCTCCCTGTCCCGTTGCCGTAGCCCAAAACTCGCCAACCGGGCTAGTTCGATTAGCCCGCCGCTGTTTTGACGGCGGGCTCCTGCTAAAGTCGAAATATACTTTACTCGTTTGCACACTGCAACAAGTACTCGGCCTCCATGCCTCTGCCGGTTGGCACGGATCTGCATAATTTTTGAAAATCGAACGTACATTCTTCACAAAATAATCAAATGCATTTTCAAAAAGAACGTATTTCGAAATATCGAACGTGTAAGTTTACCACCCAAATGCATTTCCCAATACCGAATTAAATTCTTTATGAATCGATGGCCGCTAACACGGAATTAAACGCCACAGTCGATGGCACGGCGGTATAGTGCGCCCTCACTTGAACAATTGGGGTCACTAATATCACGAGAGGCCGACCTTGGCCAAGAAAAATTGATTTTGACCCCCCCCCGCCCCCGATGTTGATGCATGTAGGTCCACATCGAGCTATCAACCGAAGCTAATAACCAAAGCGTTAATTAGTGGGATTTTAAGGCAGTGAATTTGACAGTTGGCTAGCCGCGGTCGCTTGTTTCCTTATTATGAGTCTTCGTTTGAATGAATTTTGTGCATACAGGTTTTTTTTAAACAATGGCCCCGCCAATTTTGGGGCGGTGGCGTCGGAAAGTATCAGCGCCCCCGTCTCTCTCCACCCCCCCCCCCTCACCTTCCCTACCCCCTCCTCCCCGAAAATCTCGAATTCGGTATTCTTAAGGTAAAATGGAGCGTTTTACGAAAATAAATTGAAGATCAATACCTCCAAGCTTGATACACGCGAGGCATTCGGGCTATTTAATAATCACAGTCAATAATTATGAACCCGGCCCCATCACTGCAAAAACTCTGCGAGGTTCTACCGTTGAGAATATCTTAGCATCAGCAAAGGCACCAGTGGTACAGCCTGCACGCTGCCTATCAGTAGAAAGGCTGCTGTGTAACTTCCGGTCAAGTCGTAAACCAAACCTTAAAACAGATCGACACAGAAGGTAAAATTCAAATCAGGAAGTCTGTTAGATATTTTATGCTGATGCGTGGTGTGTTGCATGATGATGCCACACAAATAAACCGAGAATTAAAGTACTTTCTAATAATTATTACATGCATATTGAAACTACTTTCTATACTCCATGTAGCGGAGTAAGTGGTGTCAGAAAACGGCACTCTGTACCCAATTCATTTAGGCCCTGGCAGAAAACGTACCTGGTAGAAATCCAAAAGCGAATGTTAACAGCGCCACCTTCAGCCCGATCCAGCCAAAAGCACCAGCAATTAACTCGACACCAAGAACCTGCTTGATGAGAACATCCGTCTGGCAGGACAAGACCCCGTCACTGAACAAAATCAGCACGGATGACGTCATCATTGTCCAATAAGAAGTCAGCCAGGAGGAGGCGACGTAGGCGACGGAGCTAATGACGAGAAAACCGGCAACCAGAGTCCACGAAGATATCACTCCGCGGTCGGTGATAAGTCCCTGACTGATTTTACCAAACAGGTTCGCAATGCCCCCGATGGTCACGAAAGACCCCGCCTCCTCCAAAGTGAACCCGTTGGACTGCGCCTGCGACACGAAATACACGATCCACATGAGGTACGCGTAGATCGTGCAGCAATATAGGATGGCCACCGACCAGTAGCGCGCGTTGAGAAGTAGTCCTGCGTCGAAGTTCTTAGAGACGAACTTCCTCAGCGAACCACAGTGAGAACGGAGAGCGCTCTCGTGTGCCGAAGACGAATTAGTGTGTTCGGTCTGGGGGAGCGTTTGGTATGCGCTTGACTGATCAAGTTTAGGCTGCGGGTTTGCCACCATGAGGGCGCCACTCGCAACAGAATGCATGGTGATGGCTCCCACAAGTAACAGGGTTCCTCTCCAGCCGTATGTGTTCAAGAAAAGCTGAACCAGGGGCGCGAAGACGATCAGTCCCACAGAGTAGCCGGATCGTGCGACGCCATTGGCTGTGGCGTAGTTCTTGGTAAAACAGCGTCCGACAGCCTCGTTTCCAACGACTTGCGATATACCTGTAGAAGTACCTTCAACGATATAATACAAGAAGTATCTGTCAAAAGAAAAGTTTCAGGCAATGTGTATTTCTTTTGCGTGAATTGGAATTACACGTTCAGATTTAGCTGAAAAACCGTTAAATTCAGAAAAGCGCGCGATTTCATATTGCGCTGAGTTTGAATGCCTTTAACCTTGCAAGCGGCAACAGTTATTACATTCGCAAAACAGAACTTGAAGAGACAATAAAGTTTAAAACGAAGGCTGGAATTTGTTTTCAATGTTTTTGAATACAACCTGCCAGTAACGTGTACAGCAACGCCAGTTGCAGAGAGTTCTCGACGAACGATCCGGCAATGGCCGCTGCACTCATCATCACGCCACACGTCATCATGACGTAACCAGCCCCAAAGCGCCTGCTCACTAATCCTCCGAAAGGAGCTGTGGAGAGGAAAATATTTTGAGAGTTGATCAAAGGATGGAACATCATCAACAAAACATCGAGAGGCAAAAAAACCCCAAACAAACAAACAAGTATAGGACACAGTGAAAATTCTGTTTGGCTTTGTACGTTTTGGGCACAATAATAAAGTCTGTAGAACATTGGAAAGTGCTATAATCAAATTGTCATCATATTAAATTACGTTGTGACCAATGTCTATAGATTCAGCAACATTATAAAAGAATATTGATTCACCGATGAAATAATAATGATCGTACGAAGCCCGGAAAGGGACAGGGTGGAAATGTTTTTTGTAATTTGCTAATTCGTTCCCACGAGTTGCTAACTCGTTCCCACGAATTACTATTTCGTTCGCACGAATTGCTAATTTGTTCGCTCGAATTGCTAACTCGTTCGCATGAATTGCTAAATCGTTCGCACGAATTGCTATCTCGTTCCCACGATTTTCAAATTCGTGGGAACGAATTGCTGACTTGTGGCCCGGGAACGCGTTGGTAATTTGTGGGAACGAGTTGGTAATTCGTGCGAACGAATTAGCAAATCATGCAAACGAATTAGCAATTCGTGCGAACGAATTAGCAATTCATGCAAACGAATTAGCAATTCGTGCAAACGAATTAGCAATTCGTGCGAACGAATTAGCAATTCGTGCAAACGAATTAGCAATTCGTGCGAACGAATTAGCAATTCGTGCAAACGAATTAGCAAATTACAAAAAAAAATTCCACCCTGTCCCCTTACCGGGCTTCATAAGAACCAATTTAGTCATTTACCATTCAATCGAATTCGTCTCATGTAAATCAATTAGCCTAATTTGATTTCTGAATTACAAGGTTTGACGCAGACGAGACGAGATCAAAATACTCCGGGACAAAAACGAGTGCTCCTTATTTGAATTTGCTTGAACTGAATTTGAAATTATCTGACTAAAGACAAAATTAGACTAAAAACAAAATTAAACATTGGAAGTGCTTGCACTAAATCGATGTTGATGGACGAATTTAAATATTAGAAGCGGTGAATTCGAATGTCAAAACGTTTTAAAATAGCCGGGGAAACCTATATTATGCAGTTTACTTTCCTCATCCACATAAGTTCTGACAATTACAATTATTATTTAATGTAGGAATGACTGTGATATGGTATTGTTGAAGGTACCCATTTGAAATTGTTTACATGTGTATAAGTCATCTGCAGTACGCATGCTCAATGCGCAGGGAAAATTAAAACCACATTCTTTCAGTACCATATTCGAATGTAGTATGGGTCGCATTACCAATATAGTTCCTTGTCCCCACTCGTCCCTTTGCGTGTCTCCCTCCAGCCCTGCATGCTTGTGTGTCCCATACATGTTTGTTTCTTGTACCTCTGTCATTTCGGAAGAAGTCCTTGCTAAGGACGAAATATATTAGGCCTCTCTCTAATTTTTCTAGTTTGTATATTTCAGGTCAATCCAGTCAGTGAGCAGTTTGCAGCAGTTGTGTGCATTTTCAACAACTATAGAGGCTTGCAGTCATGCGTATGAGTATTTGGTCAATTTTGACCCGTGGGTTTCGCAACACAATAAAATACAAACACACGATTGAATTGAATTGGTGGCAAGGAGAACGAAAAGAACGGTTACCTACGAATCCACCGATTGCGATCAGGGACGCTATCCAGCCGAGAATCCACATTTGGTCGGTCAGCTGGTGTTGCAAAATCGGCAGCATTATCCCGATACCTTTAGCGGTGCCGATCTCCATCACGTTTTTGGTCCAGAGCGCGAGGACCGCCACCCAGCCGGGCCTTCCGCCGTCCGGCCCCTCCACACTGTTGCTCAGCGCCCCGCTCATAGTCCGGAGATTTTGGTAAAAGGAACAGGGCGCGTGAATTTCGATGCTCTTACTCCAAGGTTTAAGAACGGGTATCGGATGGCCGTGGACATCCAGGAGTTTGTGAGATTGTCTCGTCTTATTTCTAGTTTGCTGTGAACTGAATGGTATACTCGAGTCCGCGCGGAGTAGGGCCTAGGCCTACTGAGTGCTAGTTGCAGGCCTATTCAGTGACATGTGTATCAATACATGCAGCCTCAATAGCGAATAGGGAAATACTAGGCCTAACCACCTATTGTCGAATTCCATTGAAATATCTTGGAAACCTCTAGTCAAAAATGTGGGAGTCACGTCACGGCCGGATGCACACACAAACAACTCTCACTGTAAGAGCCAGAGGCTTAGCAAGGTCGTTTTTTTTTTATCGGGGGACGAAAGTTCGCAGGGTGAGCGAATTTCGGCTAAATTTGACAGAATTTTCCGGGGAAAAAAAACGAGTTTGACAGAAAATTTAGCAGAATGAATTTTTCAGCGGCTTTCTCGCAGATTTTCTGTAAAATTGGTGATCTGACAGAAAAATATGGCAAGAGTTGAAAAAAATATAGCTGATTAATGTTGAAAAACAGCTTCAATTTAAGGTTCCCTGACGTGTATTAGTACACAGTAAAGTAATTTAGACCATTGCAAGGCAGGCTAGACACGTGCAAATAAAAAAAAAAAAATTTGAAGGAAATTTTATGATTCTTGTTTTGGTTGAGGAAATTTTATAACATTTGCATTTGAGTATGAATATTTATAATGTATTTCGTGTGGTAATAATAGGTGATTTAGCAGATTTTTGTTAAATCTAGCAGATTTTTTTCAGGGTATGTTTTTTTTTGCCATTACCTTACGATCACCCTGAAAGTTCGTGTAAAGGACACTCGCACATCCGTGCTGAAATGTTGGTTGTTTGCAGATGTTTTGAGTGCCAACGTCAGGGGCGTAACTGGGGTGAAACATCTGGGGGGAACCTGGGGGTGCACACATTTTTTTCAAGGAGGCACTGAAAGTAAATGAACTGCGGCTTGCCGTCTTCGTTTTTTGTCTGACATGATAAAGGCCTACCTGCATGTATATCAAGGGCGGATCCAGAACACCATTTTTTTCGGGGGGGGGGGGCAAATAATTGGTCCCCCAAAAAGTGGGCCAAAAAATTACGGCGTGGGTTCGGGGCCCGCTCAAGGGCACCCGGTGGGGGGGGGGGCGTAGTTACACCACTGTCCAAAGCAGCAAAGGCTGTCTTGGTACGAGGAAGAATTAGAGTCAAAAAGGCTCAGACATAATAGAAAAACGGAATGTGTTTTTGAAAATCGAATATGTATTATCCAAGATCTATGTACGTACGTGCCACTTATTCTAGCTCAGTGTGCGTGTGCAACCGGCCTTGACAGACACGTTTAAGTTCAAAGGTTGCAAGGATTAAATTACTTCAATGGAATTTGACAATGGATTGGTTTGCATTTTCTGGCGTTCGCTATTTATTGAGGCTGCATACGGTGTACACGTACATGTCGCTTATTGAATCTCCCACTAGATGTAGGACTATCTCACTCGTAAGTAATTTCCATAACATTCACGTGATGGCGGCGTCACGTAACTGCGAGATGTGTTATGTATATATCATGTCCATGACCACCCGGTACCCCTTCTAAAACCTTTGAGCAAGAAAGTCAACCTCCGCGCACCCTGTTCCTTCACCAAAATAGTCCCTGAACTATGAGCGGGGCGGTGAGCAACAGTCTTGAGGGGCCGGACGGCGGAAGGCCCGGCTGGGTCGCGGTCCTCGCGCTCTGGACCAGAAACCTCATGGATATCGGCATTACCAAAGGTCTCGGGATAATGCTGCCGATTTTGCAAATCCAACTGACCTCCCAAATGTGGATTCTCGGCTGGATAGCGTCACTGACATCCGCAACAGGTGGATTCGTAGGTAACACTGACAGTATTTTTCTAAACTGCAATTTCATGCTCCTTCGCTTCGCTCATACGCAATAAAAACAGTTTCACTCTATAACGAAGACTTCAATAAATTACACTGAAACAGCATATCAATTCAGATATTTTATTGTAAAGCATGGGGCGTGCCTAGTGTCAGTTGCTGAATACGTACAGGGAAAAATATTGAGGGAAAAAAACATGTATATCAGGTGTTTTGCATGTGGTAATTATTCTTTACGCGTCTCAAAATACACAAATCGTTACATAAAATAGCATCTTCATTTAATTTTTCGTCTTCACAATACGATGTAATTTAAGCATCCAAAAACAATCTCGGCTCCGCTTTGGAGCCTCAGCCCTTTTGGCTCTTCGGATTATCTGTCCGGAATATTTTTTTTTTTTTTTTTTTTTAACCAAAAACAAAACAATTTCTTAAATATATTACATCGTCAATTCAGAATGAAATTTATATAATACATCAATTAATTCCAGCTCCACCTTGGAGCCTCAGCCCTTTTGGCTCTTCGGATTATCTGTCCGGAATCTACTACTGTCTATAATCAAAACTAAACAAAATATTCCATCTTTACAGTTGCGTGAAATGTTTTATATAACACATCAATAATCTCAGCTCCTCGGATTATTTGTCCGGTATCTGAAGATACATATATAATTATACATGAAAACTCGCATTAGATCAAGTTTACGTTTATACAAAATTAAGGATAAGACCCTAGAAAATTGGTTATCCAATTTTAATTACTGTTTACTTAACGTAACTGTAAGACTGAGACGACGATCTATGTCTCGTTTAATGTATCTGTTTTTGGATTGAGGCGTTTTCCATCGCCCATGTTCCATGATAAGCTCTTCAGATATATCCTTATTTGCCAAATGAGAGGCCCCTCCTGAACGCATGCTATGTAGGCCGTATTTTTTAGGGTTTTCTACGCCAACTTGCTTTAGTGCTTCTAAAAAGAGCTCTCGGCACCTAGAATAACTCAGGGGTTTGTTTTGTAATGGTCTATACGAATTCGAACTGGATAGAAAAGACAAGGCTGTGAATATATAAACATCATCTCCTATCTGAATGTTACATTGTGTCAAATATCGTCTGAGTATCTTTGCTGGGCAATACTGACTATCAATTTGAGATAAGAAGGTGAAAGTACCTTCACGATAAACGTCTGTTTTTGATCTGGGAATGTGAATACGCAATCCAACTTGACCAGGCAGCTCAGTAATGTGGCTTGCCTTTAACTGTACCATCTCATCGTGCCTGAAGAGAAGCGAAAACTTTAATGATACATAACAAGCGGTTCGCAACTGCAGCAAACTACAATTCTGATTGCCAAAATGATCAATAATATCATGTACTTGCTGAATTGACAATGGTTCTTTCTGTTGTGGAGGATGATGCAAGGTTCTCCGTAAACTAGTAAATACCTGTTGCACTACTGGCGAATCAACGGGATTCGGACGAATATTGAGTAAGGAATGCAGCCATTTGATGGCAGATGCTAGTGTTATTATGGAGCTATCTGAATTGACAGATTGACCTCTATCAGACAAAAAGGATGCAATAGTTATATCGGTAACTGTAAATTGGAGTGGAATGTTATGCTTTCTCAGCCAGGCGAAAAACACTCTGCACTTATACAGGTAAGATTGCGTGGTACCATCTGCTTTGGCCTTTAAAACATCATGAAATATGCGATCTCGATATGCTTGAAGACTGGCGGGAAATTCTGACCAGAATTGCTGGCCGGAAATAACCTCTATAACGTCGCTAAATTTGCGAGAGAGATTGAACACCTGTGGTGAAGCCTGCGTATTAGGCTGTAGGGTTTCCAACCGAGGCTCCGGATGGGATTGCTGCGCTAGTGGAAGCTTGTCCGATGGCAGACGAGGGGAATGCTGTGATGGCTAGGGGTAGCTGTGGAGCTTGCCAGGGGATGAGTGCATTTCGTGAGTGAAAAGTGTGATATCCGACCGGCATAGCCGCTTGGGCTCTTGGTTTGACTCGGGAAGAGGGCGCGAGTCCGACGTTGAAAGGACAGTCTCTGGACCAGTGTCCGACCATTTTGCATGTGAAGCACATATCATTTGGCATGCCTGGAAAGAAAGAAATATAAGGAAAAAACCAAAGCAACTGGAATATAACGTGATACACAGAGATCTAAGCAACGTGTTCAGCAGTGATACGTAGGCCTGAAGTGAAGAAAGGCGTGGCGCTGCGTGCCTTTAAGGGTCTACGGTTGAATGCCTTTTCTCATTCCGATTCATTGAAAGAATTCCTTGCATATCGGAGCCAGAAGTCTTCTGGCCCAGGGAATGTTGCAATTGCATTGAATTCAATCGACCGAATAAAACTAAATTTTCATGCTCCTTCGCTTCGCTCATACGCATGAAAAACAGTTTCACTCTAACGAAGACTTCAATAAATTACACTGAAACAGCATATCAATTCAGATATTTTATTGTAAAGCATGGGGCGTGCCTAGTGTCAGTTGCCCCTGAAATTTGACAAAGATAGTGTTACCTCGAAAAAGAGGACGGTCAGTAGTAGATCTGAAATCCGAAGCATACTGCCTATCTGTCGAAGATCTCTTGAGCTTCTTTCTCCCTTCCAGTTCTTTACAAGCAGCTTCCTCGGCGAGTTGAACTTTCCTTAGCTCTTCAGGGGATTGATTCTTCTTGGCACCCTTTTCTAGATGTTGAATGGTCATCCAGCCGGCTTTGCTGGAATCAGCAATTTTGATTTTACGTTTTCTGTCCGCAAGAAGGTCTTCGGCTTGCTGAATCGCTGAAATTGCTGCGTCGGTGTTACAAGACTGTAGAATGGCGCACTTGATTTTGTCCAGAATAATTTGGAGCTCACCGCAAAAAAGATACTGTGCTGTGTTTCCCGGTCTTGCCAATTCCTGAGCTTCTAGCTTATTGCGGAGCTCTTTGATACTAGGATCAGTGACGGGCTTCGTACTGCTAAGCTTGTCGAATTTTTGATCAAAATAAAGCTGAAATTTTTCAAACAATAACTCGGTACTCGTACCGCTGGCTTCATCTCCTGGGTTGGACATATTAAACTGGAATATAACGTGATACACAGAGATCTAAGCAACGTGTTCAGCAGTGATACGTAGGCCTGAAGTGAAGAAAGGCGTGGCGCTGCGTGCCTTTAAGGGTCTACGGTTGAATGCCTTTTCTCATTCCGATTCATTGAAAGAATTCCTTGCATATCGGAGCCAGAAGTCTTCTGGCCCAGGGAATGTTGCAATTGCATTGAATTCAATCGACCGAATAAAACTAAATTTTAATTCAACTGTGTGTATTATATATTTATGGCGTTGCGAAGAAGCGCATGCATGGCTGTTGTAATGTATTAAAATTGAGCGTTTTCATGCGTATATCAATTACTCATCTGCATGACTGTAAGCCACTTTTTAAATGTAATAATTGTTGGTTGTAATGCAACCCAGACTATATGTGAATATGATACTTTAAAAATATAATTATGATTTTAATTTTCTCCATGCATCGGTTTCAAATGGGTCCCTTCAGCAATACCATTTTCATTCTATTTCACAGTCATTATTTTAAAATTAAATTCACATAAATGGTGAAATTGTGTGAACTGATATACGTGCGGAGAGTAAACTGCACGATCATTATTATTTCTTCGGTGATCTGGTCACAACATAATTTACTATTATGACAAGTTGATTATATTACTCTTAATTTACTACATACATCATCATTGTGCCCAAAACGCAACATAGCCGAACAGAATTTTCACTGTATGGTATCCTACTTCATTGTCATCCTACTTAATTGTTTTCCAACTTCATTCGCATCTAGAAACAAGTATGTTCCATCCTTTGATCAACTCAAAATCAAATATTTTACGTCTCCACACAGCTCCTTTCGGAGGATTAGTGAGCAGGCGCTTTGGGGCTGGTTACGTCATGATGACGTGTGGCGTGATGATGAGTGCAGCGGCCATTGCCGGATCGTCCGTCGAGAACTCTCTGCAGCTGGCGTTGCTGTACATGTTACTGGCAGGTTGTATTCAAAAACATTGAAAAACAACGATTTCAACTTCATTGAATTTCCACATGAAATGTATCGGTTTTCCCGGCTAATTTAACACTCGTAGCAAACAGATTCTATCGCAGAGATACTCCAGCTTCTTTCCAGTCATCATTGAGCTTATAAATCTAATGTAAATTAAAATGTTAAATAATATTACCATCGAATTTGTTTAATATAGGTTTTCCCGGCCAATTTCCTAAAATGTTCAATCACTTCTGAAAATCGGTCAATCATTTTCGTCTCAAATTGAGAATCGCTCTGAACACACGTTTAATTTTCGTATTTCGTCTTGAAAATTCATGATCCTGCATACCCCATTTTCAATTTCGTCTTTGGTCGCTCATTTTCGCCATACTTTTTCGTGAAAGACAATTCAATTTCGTGGTCTACAATTGCTGAATGTGTGATAGATGAATCGATTCCGTCATTTTGCAATCAATGTTATATAAATTTCATTCAAATTCCTCTCATAATTGTAGGCCATCTTCCGTATTTTTACGTTTTCATCTGTTCATTTCTACATATTTACTTTTTTTGTGTCTGTTAGTCTCCGTGTAACGTAGGTCTTTAAACCTTAAATAAGCATTTTTTTTATGTAACAATTACTTTGCAAAATTGTAATCTTTTTCAATATTTATTTAGTCCGTTGACAATTTTATGCGTCAACAACTGAAAGAAATAGGGTATACACAGGCAAATGAAATTGCGTATATTTTCCATTTCACGCAAGAAATAAGTAAGCCTATAATTATTTATTATGAAAAGCAAACTGCATTCATATTTTCACATCTTCGAAAACAGTCATTCAGTTCTTCTTCTTGTTCTTTGGATTGGTTGTTAAACCAACAATTTATTGTCTTGCAATACACCATGCCAAATACGTCTGTGTATGGTATACCAGCGTGCGCATTGTTTGATGAATTTGATCAAACACATCGATTGAACAAGACGAATTCAATCCTTACATTATGTACATGGTCATCAGGTCAGACGAATTCCATTGAAATTTGACGACATCGAATGGACAAATGTTGAAATTGATCAATTGGAATGACCAACGACAAACGCGTTCCAGTCTTCTGAAGACGAAATTGAAGTTAACCGTTTATGAATTGGAATGAATTAAGTTTCAAAATGTGCAGGAAAACCTATGTATAAAGCAATGTACATATATCGGGGTTACAATGAGACATTTGTATGTGAGATATTAGTGTCTAGTTTTTGGCAATTAACGTAGATCAAGTAGGGGACCCATGTCTTCACAACAGATGAGGAAAACTATACACATTGCCAAAACTTGTCTTTGATGTATACTTTTTTATATTATATCTTTGAAGGTACTGCCATAGGTATATCTAATGTCGTTGCAAAGGAGGCTGTCGGACGTTGTTTTACCAAGAACTACGCCACAGCCAATGGCATCGCACGGACCGGCTACTCCGTGGGACTGATCGTCTTCGCGCCCCTGGTCCAGCTCTTCTTAGACACCTACGGCTGGAGAGGAACCATGTTACTAGTGGGAGCCATCACCATGCATTCTGTTGCGAGTGGCGCCGTTATGGTAGCAACGAGGCAGCCTGAGCTGGATCAGTCAAACGCATACCAAACGCTCCCCCAGACCGAACACACTAATTCGTCATCAGCACACGAGAGCACTCTTCGTTCTCACTGTGGTTCGCTGAGGAAGTTCGTCTCTAAAAACTTCGAGGTGGGACTACTTCTCAATTCGCGCTACTGGTTGGTGGCCGTCATATCTTGCTGCAGGAACTACGCGTACCTCATGTGGATTGTGTATTTCGTGTCCCAGGCGCAGTCCAACGGGTTCACTTTGGAGGAGGCGGGGTCTTTCGTGACCATCGCGGGCATTGCGAACCTGATTGGTACAATCAGTCAGGGACTGATCACCGACCGCGGAGTGATGTCCTCGTGGACTCTGGTTGCCGTTTGCCTCGTTATGAGTTCCGTCTCGTACCTTGCCTCCTCTTTGCTGACTTCTTATTGGCCAATGATGACGTCAGCGGTGCTGATTTTGTTCAGTGAAGGGGTCTTGTCCTGCCAGACGGATGTTCTCGTCAAGCAGGTTCTTGGTGTCGAGCTATTGGCGGGTGCTTTTGGCTGGATCGCGCTAAAGGTGACGCTATTATTAGTCGCTTTGGGATTTCTGCCTGGTACGTATAAGCCTAATGAATGAGTGTCGTTTCCTTACGCCACTTTCTTCACTGCATGGAGTAGTCTAGTATGTAGTTTCAACGTACAAGTAATAATTATTAGGAAGTACTTTAATTCACGGTGTTACTTGTGTGGCATCACTGGCAATGTGCATCACACCATGCAATAGCGTAAAAGATCAACAATGTCAAACCATTCTTCGAGACTTCCCGATTTCAATTTTACCTTCTGTCTCTGTTTTAAGGTTTGGTTTACGACTTGACCGGAAGTTACACAGCAGCCTTTCTACTGATAGGCAGCGTGCAGGCTGTACCACTGGTGCCTTTGCTGATGCTAAGATATTCTCAACGGTAGAACCTCGGACAGTTTTTTTGCATTGGAGGGTTTCATAATTGACTTTGAGTCGATCGGAGTTGAAATAGAAGCATAAGGACATAATGTACATTGTATAAGTGTGTTTTGATCAATTAAAGATTGGTTGCACGCAATCCTGGCTTTATGCCTTTTCCTGGCTTTATGCCTTTTCCTGGCTTTATGCCTTTTGGTCTGTGTCTGGTGTTGTTGCGATTTCTATAGGTGTGGCAATCTTGCCATACCTCGTGTGAACAACATTCATCCGAGTATGATAATGCAGCATGGCAGTGGCGCACCCAGGATATGGCTTTGGGGGGGGGGGGCTCACAGTTTTTTTTTTTTTTCAAATTTTTTAGGAGTAACATTTTTGTCAAAAAAAATTTCCCACAATTTTTGGCTGTAGAAAAAAATTGGGGTTTTGTTTTGGGGGCGGACTATTTTGACGTTGGTGGCGCCACTAACACCCCTATTATCTACTCGAAAATAGGCCATATTATCACCAAGGTGCAATCGTGGGCAACCTCGTCCCCAGGGTGTCGAGCAGTACGTGCCCACCACTACCTGCTCTCTCACCCTACTCTGCTCTCTCACACGTATGCAAATGAGGAATAGTCTGGCGCCTACACGTGCGTTACATTAGCGGTTTTTTTATGCGGTGTCTGGGGTAAAAACAACACCAATTCGTCGCGCCGTAAGTCATGAAAACACTTCTTTTTTTTTAAGTTAATATGTTACGATCTGCCCGCCAATTTGCAGTATTAGATTTCAGATTAATAAAAGCAAACTGGAAAGGAAAGGAGTATTTTTGAGAAGGCGTGGATGTTTTAATTACAATGATCGTGAAAACACGTAATGCACGTTGGAAATAACACCAACAACTACACGGTAAAAATCCATTACTAGCAAAATACGGTATTGAATCAGGATACAGGAAGAAAGTTTCCTATGCAGGGCTTATTATTGGAAACGAGGTTGGAAATAAAGTAAGCGCTGGGGACGAGGTTGAATAGTGGGACTAAAAGAAAAAAATTACAAATAGAAAAAACATTAAAAATTGACAACTTTGGGGGGGGGGGGCTCAAGCCCCCCGAGGCCCCCCCCCCCTTGGGTGCGACACTGCAGCATGGGACCAACACACAAGAATTGCACTTGAAAGAATACACCGAAAACAATATCGTCAAAAGTCGAAATTAATCCTAAGCCTTCTTAGGAAATATTGTCCCCCTCCAACCTTCAAGGACAGGAATGCATTATCATCACTTGCAATCTCATCCTCATCATTGAATGTATTGTATTTTTAATCTGGCCTTAGCAAGGACAATACTAACTTAAACAGTAGGCCCTATATAATTTCGTCTAGAAAATCCTATTGCTGCCAAGCGCATCGCACGTTTGCGCTACGGTGCAGGCGACGTTTGTCTGCCATATATGCAAATTCACCATGCCCATAACAAATCATTCGTCTATATATCCCGGTGGTAGATCATCATCGATAGATTACTAGGAAGTTGAGTGTTTCCGTACTTTTGCCTGTATTTGTCTTAAAAACAAGTGTATGAAACAAGCCGTTGCTGATTTGAAGATAATACATGTTTGCGAAATAGCCCGAACGCCTATCGGTCGCGTATAAAACTTTGAGGCATCTTGATCTTCACTTTCTCTTAATTTTCGTAACCTTGTAAAAAGCCTCCCTTTCGGACTCGAA